GCCATAAAATTTGCCAATATTTGGGCTTTCATGGCGGGTATATACCTGATGTTGAATTTTTTGAACCTGATTAACCATTTTACGAGTCATCCAGATGTCTCAGCTTGGTGTAATTCCTTTTTCAGAGAGTAATTAGTTCTAACAAATATATACCATGCCCGATGTCTCTATAGAACTCGCAGTATCTGCTCCTGTCTCTATATCTTATAGTATATTCTTTCAATTTCCTTGTGAAGTTCAACTGCACTTTGTTACCTTCCTTTATTATTTACGCCAGTATTTTGGCACGTGGTTTGTTGAGGGGGTGAACTCCCTCTCTTTAGTGAAATTGGTCTCTCTATGGTAGGGAGATCTTACTGGGAAACTAGCTTTTGGATGCTTGATGGGCAATCTTCGCCTTGTTGGAGGTGAGTGTCGCCTTGCACTATATCTATCATTTCGTGGTGAGCTTTTTTGTTGTCCGAGGTAGGCTTCATCAAGCTTGTATATGTATGAACTCGGGTCATTAGTTCTGTGAAAGATAGAGGAGGGTTAATGCTTATACTTTTAAAAAGTTTATTATACTAACAGTTCTTCGCCATGGCGCTGATAGCGACTTCATCATTCAAATTCTCCACTTGCATTGCTAGTCTTTGAAATTTTGTTACATATTGTCTTAATGATTCTCCTTCTCGCTTCAGATCAATGAGGTCAAAGGAAATTTTCATCAAAGGTGACGCTAGTGATGAACTGAGCTCTAAATAGTGTTGATAGTTGAGAAAAACATAGGATATAGCCAATTTTTAGCGTCTAATACCACTTTTGGGTAGCTCCTTTTAGCGTGATGGGGAATACTTTGCACATGAAGTCTTACGAACTGGTCTGCAAACACATAACCGTTCTGAATGCCGCTAGGTGACTACGAGGATTGATACTGCCACCATCAGTTTGGAAAACTGACATCTTGAACTTAGGTCAGAATGTTGAGCTCAATATATTCAAGATAAGGGCGAATCGTCTCTAAGCCCAAAGTTTTTGATCTCGTCGTGTTCCCTACACTCTCTGAAAATTTCTTTGACAATGTTCCGAAGATCAACGTTGTTTACTATTGGCTAGGTGGGCTCCATACTGTCTGGCACAAACGAAATCAAATGCCACTATGCATCATTTCTCTTGCAAAAACCTATCAAATCCTCTCTCCCCCCTAAATCTCCCCAAATTCTCTTGCTCTCTTTCCACTCCACCTCAATTACCAGAGCCAAGTCAAGTTACACTGACACAACGTTCTTTGACATATTCTTTCGTCTCTTTTAATGAGGGCCCAATGAAATAGGGGAAGAGACTGTCGCTACATTGAAGAGCTATATGAATCCGCTTTTAATGGAGAGAGTTGTTTTGGTAATGATGTATATAATGGATTCTAAGACAAAAAAAAGGCAAGTGGGTTTAGTTCGAGAGTGAAGAGGGAGAAACTAAGAGGTGAGTTTGAGTAGAGAGTTGTGCATATCAGAGATGGCGATGAATGGAAGAAATCTATTTCTTTTTTCTATGTTATTGATGTTAATAGAAATAAAAAAAAATTAAAAAATTCACCCTAGCTTGAAACTAACAAACTATGTCGTTCAGGGTGTATTTTATTTATTTATTTTGAATCCACGTGTAAATATGACTTGACATTAATACGAGATTTCGTGGGCTCCACTTCTAGGGCATAACGGCCACATAAGCATAAATTGGATGGAAAACTAACGAAGGTTAGAATTGATAGAGAAAAATAAGCATGTGATACTGATTGATAAAATTAAAAAACTGGCTAAATTTGAAAAAAAAGGTTAAAGTTAAGGCTTTTTTTTGTCATTAGACATTTTTAATATATTTTACTTCCTCTGTTCTACTTTGATAGTAACAAATATATATTTTACCTTGCATCAAAACTAAATGAGAAGCTTCTATTTTTAAAAGGGCAATTTAGGCATTCTATTATATATTTTTAGAAAATCAATATATTCTAATAATTTTCATAATCTTTGTGAAAAGATCAAATGTTGCTATTAAAGTGGAACGGAGGGAGTAATTTATTTCACAATTTCTCTCAGTCTCTTTTATAATTCAATCCTCCATTTTTATCTTCTTCTCCACCTCCTAACTTTCCAATTTACAAATACATCCCTAATAGACAAAAAAAAAAAAATTTAAATTATATGCGCCTTCCTTAGTAAAATTATAATCCCAAATGTTTTTCAATCAATTTAAGAATAGTTAATTAAATTAATTAACTATATTTTTTCTTATCGTTTGATATATACCCTTAAAAACCTTTATTGATAATTTCTTGAAACTTTCAAAATAAGATAACTAGTTATTATCAATACTTCAAAATTAATTACCTTAACATTTTTTTTTTCACTATCTAGCAAATGCAGCTAATATTAATTTGAGCTGTCCTAAATGGTAAAATTTGAGTTTGACATAACTTTCAGTATAACGAACTAAAATATCTAAAATGCCCTCAATAGATATTGAGGTGAATTTTGTCTGTAAACAACACACAAGAATATTTTAGACATTTTAACCAATTACAATGAAAATTATGTCAGACTCAGATTGAGACAAATATATTTTTTGTATTATTATTCATAGGAATTATTATATAAAGATATTGTGAAAAATGATGAGATTAAATTAATTTTCTTGATTTATGTGTTTGGTTTGCAAAAAATTTAAAATTTAATTCCATAAATTTGAAACTTGAAATGAATTTTATAAAGTTAGACACAACGGTTGTTGCACTAAAATGCCTATGCCATAAAAGATTTTTTGTCTCCACTCTATAGTCAATGGCATTTCTTTTGACAGTCATTTTGTCTTTAATAGGCATTAGCATATAAGGAAATGTCAGCGGTGATTCTGCTATTAATGGTGATTCTACTGTTAATAGTATCACTGTACCTCAATAAATAAATAAATATAAAATGTCAGCGGTGATTCTGCTATTATGGTGATTCTACTGTTAAATAGCTATCCACTGTACCTCAATAAATTAAAATTAATATATTTATAATATATATTATATTAATATATATATATTTATTATATATATATATATGCAAATCCCTTAGAATATTAATCATAGTTTATAGTTATTTAATTATATGCAATCCCTTAAATTTAATCATAGTTATAGTTATAATTTCATTTCTTTTATTTAAGAAAATAAACTGATTATTCTTTAAGGTTTAGCTCCGTAAAATTATTTAAATTTTTTCCATTTAAAAATATCCTTCTTGCATATTTAATGTTGATGAAAATAGTAAATATAAAAGAATAAATAATATGATATATTAAATAAGTAAGATTAAATTGTCAATTAGCAGTACATGGTATTTTATGGATTTAACTAATTAATGTATTGGTTAATTCAGTATATTCTCTCAAAACCTACAACCCTAAAAGATCTATTTTCTTTTTCCATGGGAGGCCACCGGATAGACCGGTGGTGACTTCTTTTCTTTTTTTGTTTGTTTTTTTTCATAATAGTCCTAAGATCTGTATATAGATTTAAGTGGTTGTCGCTCAAATATTGGATTTATTATTGTCATTTCTTGATATTTTGTTCTCAGATCTAGTTATGAGTTATTGTAATCATTATTATAATGATTTTGTTCAGTGTTTTTTTGTTATTTGGATAGTTATGCTAAAAGAAGTACAGATCTCATCTGTAATAGAAGGAAAAAAAATTGAATGGTAATCACGTCGGACTTGTAGAAGGAAATATTTTAAAAGGTAATCAGATCGGACTTCTAGGAAGACTATGAAATATAGTGGCTATGAATAGCCACCAAGTGGAGTAAGCGATCTCATAAGGCACAAATATTATGCTCTATCAACTTGATCATATACTTCAAATCAAGTGGTTCATTATCATACTTCCCATATAAAATATAGAAATATATTAATTGTCATACTTCATATATAAAAATATAAAATATATTAATTGTATGCTATATCTGTATATAGGCATGAATACGGTTCCAGAACCATCGGTTTCAATTTCAAAAATGTCAATTTCAATTATAAAAAAGATGGAACCGGAATCGAGCTGTTTTTAGACGGTTTTGGAACTGTTGGTTTCGATTTGTTTTTGGTTTTACTGAAATTAATTAATATATTTTAAAATTTTAAAATATTTTTTAAAGATTTGTAGTTTGAATAAATAACAATAATAAATATTACTATTAAAAAAATTAAATCAATTTAATAAAAATTGTTAAAAATTACTTTAAAAAACTATAATAAAAAAAATAAGTTAGGTAGTTTTTTTAAAAATATAAATTTCATGGTTTCAAACCGAATCGAACCTTAAGTTTACAATTGGTTACGATTTTAGAATCAGAATCGTTAATCATGGAGTAGTGCTGATTATAGTTCCGATTTGAAATTAAGTCGTGGTCATCCCTATGTGTGTATACATAAAATTTCTAATTTGATTTCTTATAAAAAAAAAAAAATTATAGTTGAAAATAATTATATTAGGATTTGAATAACCAATCCAAATAAATACAAAATACAAATAGCCCAAAGATAATAGGACCTCTGTCCAAAAACTATATCACTAAATTGGATAACATAATTCATTTCTCTTATAAGAAATTTTAATGAAAACAATATGGTAAATTTGAAAAAAAAACAGAGAAATTCAAAGAAAGTAAGGATTTTGATAGAAAAGAAGAAAAAAGATAAAGAGAGAGAGAGAGAGAGAGAGAGAGAGAGAGAGAGAGAGAGAGAGAGAGAGACGAGAGAGAGAGAGAGGAGAGAGAGAAAGAGAGGAGAGAGGTCACGCAGTAACCAAAAATATATGGTTTTCAAGTTAACATAAATACATAGTTTCAATCAATGGTATGATGTTTACTGTATATTATTATATTTTATATATATGATATATATATAATTATAATATATATTATATATATATATATAAAAAGATATATGAGATATATATATATAAAAGATATATGAGAGAAAGAAAGAAAAAATGAGATTAGTTGAATGGTCTGTGTCATATAAGCTCATGTTTCCTTCTCCACAGACGTAAGACCTCCATAGACAGATAGAAGCAGAGCTGTAACCAAAATGAGAGAATAGAAAAGGTAATACTCCGACAGGCACCCCTTCGTAGATAATTTACAAAAGCAAGGGTTGTAAAAGAGACGCGTAGCCGACAGCTTTGACAGCGACATAAAAGTAACCAAAACCCATCGACGAAGAAAACCAAAGGAAAGGAGAGAAAAAGCTGAAATGCAAATGCTATAACACTAATAAGAACAACCTCAATTCCTTCTGTGTTTTTCTCGTTTTCCTTTACAAGATTCAACAATGGAGGGTTGTTCTGTTGCCAATTCCTCTTCTTCTTCGGCTTCTTTGGGTTCGGTACGCGGTGGTGGCAGCAGCACTAGCGGCGGCGGCGGTAATGATGATAATTCAAGAAGATATGGGATTAATATAGCTGCATCCAATTTGATACATGCTCCATTGACGACACTTTTGGAATACTCTGGTATTCTAGGAGGAGGTGGTAGAGGAGGAAGCTTCGCAGCCGTTTCTTCTCAAGAACGGGAACCGTTGATTCTTCCTTCTCCTCCTCCGTCTGCTGCACGGTCGAGCAATGGTGGTCACCAAGTTACAATTAGGATAATTGGTGCTTCGGAATCTAATACTGCAGCTTCTGTTGAGGCTTTACCTTCGTCGGATGATCAACAACCTGGTGGTGGAGCTATCATTTCTGAAACCCTAGTTGATGATGGCATCGCGGACGACCCTTCTTCTTCTTCTTCCTCTTCTTCTTCTCCCTCGTCTTCTTCTTCATCATCGTCGTCGTCTTCTTCCTCTGCTCCTGCTTCTTCATCTTCTTCTTCTTCTTACCAGAGATATGATATTCAGAATTTCGCTAGGTGGATTGAGCAAATTCTTCCATTCTCTTTACTGCTGTTTCTTGTTTTCATTCGCCAACATTTGCAAGGTATTAAATAATTTCTTCATTTCCTGTTCTTTTTAATTAATTAGAATAATTTAGTCTCTTGTCCAAATTTTATTGTTAAGAGTCTCAAGTCAAAGATTTTCTTTGATTAGGAGTGTTGAGAGATTATATTGTAATTGTATTTCTTGTATGTCGTCAATCGATTACATAGGTCTATATATAAGGAATTCCTATGCTACCTAGCTATTTAGGCTCTCTCAAGAGAACCCAAAACTATACCTATGCTAAAAACACTAGCTATTTAGGAATACTAACAATCCAAAAAACTACACTTAGGATTCCACACATCACTATAGAACTCTATTTTACAACTAATCCTAACACCTCACCCACATACAAGTGGAAGCACAAGACTGTTAATTCATGCATACAACTAAAATGTAACAAAACATACATAACTTTCAGCAAAAGCACAAATAACACATACTCAGCAACTGTACGCACTTCATAATATTAGACAATAAGAAATCCCAAACCATAATAGGTTAAGCAGCAGAATTAAGCGAACAAAAAACCACACTTTAGAAAGTTGTCGAAACAAAATCTCACTGACACCAGAAAACAGCTCCCCAAGGGACTGTTTTCAAGCTTCCATCAATCAATGCCTCAAAGAGGAAGCCCAACAACTTAACCAGGCTTATTTCAAGCTTCCATTAAATCAAATTGCCTCAAAAAGAGGAAGCCCAGTTAGCGCTCGATATTCACAAAGCAGCAAAAGGAAAACTCTTGACAAACGGAGCACACCCACTGCAAGGCAGAACACATGCAAAACTCACTTGAATGCAACTCACTGGGGTTGCACTGCTCTCGACAAAGGAGAAGGTTCAAAAGCAAAATACCCATAACTGCAGCAAAGGTGCAGTACCAAACCCTAATGCGATAAGGAATCACTAGCAAATCACCGAAAATTACCTAAACCAATTGTCACAGCAAACGAAAAATATGTTTCCTCAGAAAATTAAAGCAACGACAGTAGCAGAGGACTGCCCGACACAGCTGCAATAGAATCGCAGCAAACAAACCTATTGAATAAGCCTAAGAATGATGATGCAACTCACTGGGTTGCACGTCTCTCTTCAAGCCAACGTCGGATCCGGAGTGGAAAAAAGACCCATTGGGACATGCGCCAGCGTGGTGAACCAGAGCAGGGAAGAAAGACGGTGGCGAGTGGTGAGCCAATTCGCTGGAATCCGGCGACTGGATGTTACTTTAGGACGTTGTTGATCCGGCCGGCTGGAGAATATCCTGGGGTGAGTGGTGAGGCAAAATACTAACCCTAGAAATCTTCCTTGGGTGGCAGTGGCTTCTCGTAAGGGAAGTTTCGCGGAAATTTTCTTTTTTTCTTTTTTTTTTTGTGAATGGGAAGGCTCTGATACCATTGTTGAGAGATTATATTGTAATTGTATTTCTTGTATTGGTCCGTCAATCGTTACATAGGTCTATATATAAGGAAATTCCTATGCTACCTAGCCTATTTAGGAATACAAATCATAAACTAATTTAGAATCAACTCTAATAGAAACTCTTAATTTACAAACTTAATCCTTAACAAGGAGGAAAAAAAAAAGAAAAATTGTAGGTTTTTAGATATTTATGTAAATTTTGTTCCTATGCTACCTAGCTATTTAGGAATACAAATCATAAACTAATTAGGAATCTAACTCCTAATAGAACTCTATTTACAACTAATCCTTAACAAGGAGGAAAAGAAAAAGAAAAATGTAGGTTTTTAGATATTTACTGTAAATTTTGGATTATGCATTATTGAATTCCTGGTACTTCAAATGCTTGTTTAGCTAAAAATTTGTTTGAATTTTAATTTATTTCAGGATTTTGTGTTGCATTGTGGATTGCTGCAGTATTGTTCAAATCAAATGATATTCTGCGGAAGCAGACAGCACTGAAGGTTTTGATACTTGCATTATGACTAACTTGGAATAGACTGAATTCGTAAATGTTATTGGAATGTGAGACTATTGGGTTTATGCTAATTTCTGCAGGGGGAGAGAAAGAAGTCTGTTCTTGTAGCCATAACTGTTGGGTTTATGCTTCATGTGATGTCAATTTATTGGTGGTATAGAAACGATGATCTTCTATACCCATTGGTATTACTGCCTCCGAGCACAATTCCTCCTTTCTGGCATGCACTGTTTATCATTGTGGTGAATGGTAAGTGCTTGATATAAGTTTTTACATATGCCTATGAAAAGTATGCATAACCTCTTGTGTAGTAATATCTGCTTCTAAATTGTGGTGAACTTCTAGAATGGTGTAATTTCTTTTGATGAACCACTGTTCAGAATATATAATTTTTGTCCTGTCATCCTATTGACTAATTCATTTAGTTTCTTGTTTTTGAGCTGAAGTAAGTAAATTAAGATTCAATAAGATTCTTTTCTTCTCTTCATATCAATATTTATTTGATAGAAAATACTCGCTAAACATAGATTATCCGCAGCGATGTAGTGTTCTGTTAGCTCTCCCTTCCATTGATTAGTTGGAAGATTGAATGTCCTATCTGGATGTTGTAACACAAATTTAAGAACCATATCTTGATGATGTTGGTATTTCCTCATTGAAAATGGTCTTTGTGTATAGGACTAGAAGGCCTAGAAGCGAGTGCTTTGCCTGCTTCTTATATATATGATAATGTTAGCATGATTGTGACCTATTCTTCCATACTGTTGTTTGTGATATTTCTAAATATGTCATGTTAGTTGATAGTTGATACTACGGGAACTTTTATTGTAACACTTTGTTCATTGAAGTATTAAGTGGTTCATGAATGTTCTTTAATGGAATACCATGTGGTTTTGCATCTTCTAACGATCCCTTTCTGTATGTAAACGAATAGAAAAGGTGGAAAATAATACCTTAGAGCAGGTTTGTTTTCAGAAATTGTCCATTTGTCTAGAAAATTTTCTATGATAACGGAAGATTGTTAGAAATGTGCTTGCCAATCAAAAAACAAATAACTTTTTTATTGGAACCATTATTTCCCATCTTTTCCAATCTTAAAGAGATTTTGGAAAACATGCTGACCACCTATGTAAGGGTTTTCCAAGTTCTGTTATCAATTCAAAAAGCTAAATAACTGTGAGATGGTTTTCTTTTTCCATAGGTAAAGATGATTCTATTTTTTCGTGATAAAATGAGTGAGAAAAATAGAGATGAAAATTGGAAAATATCTTTCTCAAAGTAATCACACCCTGAATTTCGTTGTTATTGGTTAACATATCTGTACGGCCTAAACATTCTCAGTAACAGTCTTCTCTTTCAGATGCTATGGTGCGGCAGTTAGCAATGGCCTTCAAATGTATACTTTTGATGTATTACAAGAATAGCAAAGGGCACAACTACCGTAAGCAGGTCACTTGTGCAACTGATTTCAGACTTCTATGAGCACTAGTTTGCAATTTTATTCTGTTTTACATTTCTTTTCTCGAATAATTGACAGCTTGCTTCTTTTCAGGGTCAAATTCTAACTCTTGTTGAGTACTTTTTGTTGCTCTACCGTGCCTTGTTGCCAGCACCTGTCTGGTATAGGTTTTTCTTAAACAAAGAATATGGAAGCTTTTTCTCTTCATTAATTACGGGATTGTATTTAACCTTCAAGTTTACATCAGTGTTGGGGAAGGTATGCTTGGCTGCAGAAGTCAAATGCTGTCTTTTAGGAATATTAGCTTGATTTTTTTTCCCGTTTTCTGGAGCAACAACCTGAAAGATCATAATTTATTTAAATAAATGTATAGGTTCAGTTGTTCTTTACTGCATTGAGGGCTTTATCACGTAAAGAAATGCACTATGGTTTTTATGCCACAGCTGAACAAGTAAGTGGTCTTCTTTAAGCAGCATAATCTCACTTTGCTACCTCTCTGTCTCTAGATTGCCCTGGAATCCTTATTGGTGCTCAGTTTATATCATGAATTCTTTCTTTTGGTAATTTCTTTTTCGCACATCTGATTGTTGCCATATTTCAAGATGTTTGTTAATAATGTTTGTAGGTCAATGCGGCAGGGGATCTCTGTGCCATTTGCCAGGAAAAGATGCATGCACCCATTTCACTGCGCTGTAAGCACATATTCTGTGAAGATTGTGTATCAGAATGGTAATTTCCTCCCCTTCTGTGTCGCTAAATTTGTAAGCACTTGTGTGTATATATGCATTATCTAATAATTTCGTATTTGAAGTTTTGAGGTAATAAACTTGAGAATAACCAAAGTCGTGAAGTTTATATGAACCAACCAATTAAACCTTTTGCTCATCCATGAAATTTTATGTTTGGTTTATATAACCTCTTCTGTTTCACTTATGAAATGATGATAAGTGTTCAAAGAACTTTTAATTAGTGACTCACTGCTAATTTGCAGCTTGGAAACCTTCATATCTGAAATCTGAAGTTTAGATAATGGCACATTTATGACAAATTATGAATTTCAGCTGATGTGTTTTGTTCTAGAAGGTTTGAATTTTCAACATTATGTTGTGGTTAGTGCAAGGCATGGAATAAGCAAGGGGTGGGTGGAATAAGTGTTACCCCCCAGTTAGCAGCATTATGATCTGATTCTTCTGCCATTATTCATCATAATATTGTTATCCAGTTTTCCTGGTCAGCTTTTCTGATATTATTTTTATGATAAACATTACAAGCATGATGTCTTTTAGCACCATATAAAAATGTGGTGGAGAAAGATTGTACCATATAAAAATGTCTTTTAGCACTCTGCTGGGAAGGAATATTAGATTTAGAAGTGGCACTGATGTTGTGGTAGTACACAACAAGCAAATAAATTGCGTCACCAATCTATATATCCTTCAATGATATTCCCAAATACTCAATTTGTAATTCCATTCATATCTTCAATTTTTTTTAAAAAAAAAAAAAAAATCTGTGAATGAATCGTTTCAGTTTGCTTGTTACTTTCATGAAGATTGTTTTGTTATCTTAGTTTCCATCATAGAGCACCTAGTTCACTGCACCATGCTTGTCTGGTTTCTTAATCTGACTATTGCATTCTTGTTTGTTTCCTGTTTTTATACTGAATTGTTGATGTTAGCGTTTTCTCATTTCGATTGCAAATTTTCCATTTACTCGTGTTTGTTTTATCGCCTTTCAGGTTTGACCGAGAAAGGACATGCCCATTGTGCAGGGCATTGGTTAAACCAGCAGATATCAGATCATACAGTGATGGTTCAACCAGTTTGTTTTTCCAGTTATTCTAAAGAGCTGCTGGTCGCCATGAACACAGCCATTGTACTTCCAAATGAAAAGTCATTTTGCTTTCCAGGTGGTTCACATTTTCTTACCCTCATGTGTAGATTCATATGATATCTGTAACCAGACTGACAGTTGAGTCAATATAGAGGTGGAAATATATGCCTAATTGCCTATATAAAATAGTATTATTTGTCGCCCCATTTAACATGTTCATATTATTAAATTCCCAATGGAAAAACCACCTGCCCTTTAAAAAAAAAAAAAAAAAATTATAGGGCTTAATTGAAGAATGGAATTTTATCTTAATAGTAACACCAATATAAATATCATATGCATAAATTACTGGCCTACAAAATTTCATAGAATAGCATTTTCATTTCCATTTCAAAAGAAAATACAATTAAACCATCAAAATGATGGTTTATGTAATTTATGGTTATCCAAGGAATATGTTATTTTTTATTTTATCGAATGATTTATAAATTAAACCATGTGATTAAAATTGAATGATTTTACTAAAATATAGGTGAAATTCACATATTCTTACCTATCTTTTGGAACTTTACATCGGTTATGGAGAGAGTAATATGACCTATCTCTAATTCGTATATTTCTTATTTCACTAATAAAAAGAAAAAAAAAAAAACTCATTGTATTCAAGAGAGGGAGAAGCACACAGGTTAGCAACTAATCAATTTGTACCAATAACAGTGCCAATATATGCATATATAATCAGGGATGACAATGAGTCAGGTGCACTATATAAAAATTCAGAGTGTTTACATATATTTAAAATAAATCAATTTAAAATTTATTACTCATCTGTCTGAAACAATAATTTTATAAGCAAAAAGAAATCCTGCAGAGCAGATGCTGACAATTAGACTATGAGGCTAACAGTCGTTAAAATGGTTTTAACATTATAGCAAGCGTAGAGCACATTTGAGTATCAAATATACAACAGTGTCAGCCCAGTAAAGACTGAAAATGAATAACAGAAAGGTAAATAAAGAGCAATAACATACAGTTACAATTTCCAACTAGCAAAAAAATATAGGACATGAAGTAATGATCTATTCAAACAGAAGGATTTGAGTACTTTTTTGGACCCGTTGCAGCACTATATGAACTCGGTCGGGCAGCACTCTGAGCATCCTCCAAAACTCCTGGTGGTCGGACAGGGTGAGGAGCGATGTCTCGGGTTACTTGCAGACTTGGATCAAGGAGAGCTTCAGTAGGCAGTGAAGAAGGTAGAGATGTGGGGTTAAAGTGTGTATTGGACACTAACTTGATAGGATAAACTTCAGTTACTTCCTCAGTGCCCTCATCCAAGTATACAACATCTTGCATTGTAAGCTGATGGTATTCGACAACCTCCCTTAGGAAACGATTCTCACGAGCATAGACTGAATTCTCATGTGCCAATCGAGCTTTCTCTGACAATAGAGTTTCAAGTTGAAGACGAATCTGGAATGGAAAAATGGAATCAGAATACAAATTTCTTAATTTTAGAAAATAACTTGTTTCAATCATTTTTTCCATTCACTAGGAAGAAATAACTTTTTCCCGTTTATTTTGTACCATTCAGTAGCAGATACAAAAAATTACAAAATATCCACGAACTCTTGGTCCTCTTTAACTATGAAATAAGGACTGTAAACCTGTAATTTTTTGGGTTTTCAAGGATAATAACATTTGCCTCCTGTTTAATATTGGGATAGGAATTTTTTTAATCATGACTTATGATCCTACAAAGGAGTAGACCTATAATCATCTATATCCCCTGATTACTTGGCTTTGATTTATGCATTAGATTTAAAGGTGTGCATGCCTAGATCAATTTCACTCTATTTGTCTGTCTACTGAAGCTTGATTGCAACATGAGAAGATGGCCATCTCCCATCCATCAACCTTAATTGCAACCACTCTTTCTCAATTTCTCCACTTTATCCCTTTCTGCTTGATATTTTTTCTCTCCATCTTCTTTTGTTTTTCTTTTCTTCTCTTCTCCAGAAATCACTAAAGCTAATAATAATACAAGTAATAGTTCTATATAATTTGGTTTCTAAACATGGCATAGACGAAAAATTTGTTGCGACGCTGAAGATAAATAGAGCATGTAAAGCATAAATTTCAGTTTTATTTGAAAGAAAAAATATTTGTATAAGTAGATGTACAAAATCATGCATAGAAAAAGCAACAAACTCCTTCTCTACATGGCATCATCATATGAAATAAGAATTTCAAATATGTAGCCTTTCATGACCTTAGCATGGTATTACAACTATTTGTCTCACTTATATGCTATACATGCTAAAGAAAATATATTTCAAATGCCCACCTGTAAAAGTGAATGCATTTCAATTGGCTACATGATCATTCAATGATATCTTTCGATGTTTTATTATATATGTATTACCATTTCGATTTTGAGAATGTGTACCAAATCTTAAAATCTGATTCAACTCCTGATTTGTAAAATTAGAAAAATCATCAGAAAATAATCCTATTTTCTACCTTGACCATAAGCCATAAAATCCAAAACTCCATAGCACAGCTCTAACAAGCACGTGCTACTCTGTTCTCTAAGATTAAAGCTTGAATCTACATTCTAACTTTGAATAAGACCACAACATTTGCAGATTGTTTTTCAGTTTTTGAAGACAAGGAATATATAAGTGATCATCACATTCAGTGCTAGCATTTTCGAGCCACTATAATTCTTTTTTTATTGTGTAAAGTAAGGACATGCTAAAGGTGCCTATTGCAATTTTGTCACAGTAAACGAAATAATGAAGTCTCTTCATTTGTCAGATAAATAGATAGATTTACATAACACCAAGCTGTCCCAGTTTCATATTTCCACTTTATCTTCTACGTTTTAATTCATCATAGAGCATCTGCTGGTTTATCAACAACCAATTGGCCTCTTTCCAATTATCTTAAAATTTAAAAAAAAAAAAAAAAAAAATTATCTTCTACGTTTTTTAATTCATCATAGAGCATCTGCTGGTTTATCAACAACCAATGGCCTCTTTCCAATTATCTTAAAAATTAAAAAAAAAAAAAAAAAATTAAAAAAAAAAAAAAAAAAAAGAGAAAAGAAAAGAAAAGAAAAAGGAAAAGATGAAAATGATGAATAAACAGAAAAAGAAGTCAGAATGGTGTGAATGGAAGGAAATACATACCAAATCATCATCTTCTGGGCTGTCCCCCCTTTCACGATTCTCTCGAAGGATTTTATTTTCCTCCTCCAGTTGAGCACATCGCTCCTTAGCAAAAGCCAAATCCGCTTTAACAGTTTTTAACTCTCGAAGAAGAAGCTTTGCCTTTGCAGCCATAGCCATAGCAACCTGTTATACAAACCAACAGCAGATCATGCTTCTCACCATGAAAATAAATCAAGCTACTTAATATGAATCCGCTACACTGGATGTCATTCTCCATTCCCCACCAAAAGCCACTATATCTCTTTCTACAGTAAGTCTAAATTCAAGCTTCTATTGCTGCTATGGCTGAATGTTAAAACATATTTTGTTTAATCTTAGAAAAGGTTTCTCTTGTCAGCATATCAACATACAGCCATGTCCAGTGAAAAAAAAAAAAAAAAAAAAAAAAAAAAAAAAAAAAAAAAAAAAAAGCAAATTCATTGATAGCAAAATTTCTCAGAACATTACAAACCTCACATTGGCAATAGTAGGATACTGATCAACAAGAAAAGCAATGAAAGACAACACAAATTGAAAGATCAGGGCAGCTAGTTAGATTATAGATGTACTATAAGATAAAAAGAAAACATGTTGCCTATGTCCTAGAATTAAATAAATGTTATTTTATAATATGCAGAAACGCCAATCCGTCAGTTTCCAAGCCAAAACTACACAAGTTTAAGGCAACCCACACATGCAATATACTTCCATTATATGAACCAGTGACACAGCTGCCACCTTACGTCGCGAGATGCTTTAAGTTGAAGTTCTTGGTCAGTTTGCATCTGAGACTGTTGCCATGTACTACCACGATTAGTTGCCTGATTCTGTGCAGCAGCACCACTAGGCTTTTTCCTGATATGCTTACGAGTTTCTTGGATAATGTCAGCAGTCCTATTCTCCACAATAGTAAGACCCTCCTGAAAGTGTAAAGCACAATCATGTGTTTCAACAACACACAGAAAACAGGTAGAAAACTGTCAATTTGCAATTATGAGCTGAACAACAGAATAGCCAATCTTGGCCTGATTCATTGGTGGCCAAAGCTCTGCTGAAGGGTCGCCACAATTGCAAACCACAATAAATGGATCTGGCTATGATTGGCAATTCAATAGTTCAGACCATCTAGCAAGTTGACATGAAGATAAGGACTTTTGAGGTGATTAACCAAAACCTAAGCTTTATAATACAGAAAATGGGTATGCTGATTGTTGTGGGGTGTGCACGCACACACTGACCATCACACAAATCCCATGTAATTTGAAAAGAAATTTTCTATAGAGGCTCACCTCAACAGCATTGCCAATATAATTTAGGGAGGATGAGATAGCATTCAGTCCCTTCTGTAATTTAGGACTGTCTGTTTTTCGATGGCTCTCTTGAGATGGGTATGGATTCTGGTACTGTAAACAAGATATACCATATAAATAATTCCATCTTCTCAACATTCAGAAAATATGCAATAATAGACCTTAAGTGCAACAAGGTTATAGAAATACAAAACAAATAAGGAAAAATGAGGGCCACATAATTAATCAGCAAGTCGAGTATGCTAAAGCCTAAATCTTAGAAACTGATAAAGGTGAAATGTTTTATATTAACAAAGCAAGTTGTTGAGGACCTTGGTTTTAGTTGAATTGTGAGGCACTTGTTGCGGCGACTCCACTTGTTGAGGACCATTTTCATCTTCAAGAATAGATTTAGCTTTTCTGGCAAGACTACCCCAAAACCCTGGTTTGGATTCATTCAATTTATTTATTGACGTATACTCATAGGGCTTTGAGTCCTACATTAACCCATCAAGAAATAAAATTGAAGAAATATCAAAGAATTGAAAACACAATAAAAGGGATCATTTAAACCGAAAAGTTACTGGGAGATAATGAAAAATTCGATCTACGAACTAAAAGAGGTTACCTTTGAAGAAGAAGAAGAAGAAGAAGAAGAATGAGAAGAAGAAGTGGTGGTAGTCGCCGCGGTGTTTGAAGGAGGAAAAGAAGAAGACCGGTTGTTGAAGCCGTAAGCGGAGGAGAGAGAAGATTCCCGATCGGCGGCGGAAGACGCCCTAATTGCTTTAGCAGCTAGTGAAGTTGAAGATGAATAGGAATTGACTCTGTCATCTTCTTCTTCTCCCTCCTCATAGGAAGTAGCAGTAGAAGTTGATGTGTGGTGCTTTCTCCTATAAGCCATTTTTTGTGCACAAATCTTTTACTATATAGTAATAATAATGATAAAAAGAAGAAGATGATGATGATGATTTCGTCTTCTGATCTTAAAATCCTTAATTCCCTTTTCTCTCTCTATCTGAACCTGATTGGCTTGGTAGCCGTAGACGAGTAGACGAAGCAGAGACACAGTTTTGAGGATCCGTTTACCAAATACCAATATCAAAATGGTATACAGATCTGTGTTTGCGGATTTGAATCTACAAAATGGTAATTTCACCGAGGGTGAATGTATAAATAAAGTTAAATAAAGGGGTGAATTAGTAATTAGCACATCTTTCTATTAAAATTATAATATATACAGTATTGAAATCCTTAATTGCCTCTCTTGCCTCCTCCTCTAACACGTAGCTCCGCCCCTGCTAGGGTATTAACTTAGCATTTCAAGCTACTATTAAACAATTAAATTCTAGAATAATTTAATTATTTAAGGATATAATTTTTTAATACTATATATATTATCACATATCAAAATTCATATATCATATAAAAATAAATTATTATAAATTCTACTAAGAACCCTACTCCTAAATTAATAAATTCAAGAATGATTTAATTATTGACAGGAATTATTAGGGATATAATTTTTAGTATCTACATGTCTTATCATATATCAAAATTTTAACTTTTGCAACTTCATATAAAAAGAAAGACATGTTATTAGATTTTTGAATACTCAATTGAAATATGTAAGCAATTTTTTATTTTCCTTTTCAATTTTTTAAGTATTAATTTTATGGCTTAATTATAAATTTGGCCTCTAAACTTTCGAAAAATTTCTATTTCAGTGACTCAATGGAAAACATTTGCAATCAAATGTCGAAATTGATAAATTTTTTTTAATCAGTGTCTTCGTTTCACGTGGCTTGTCAAAAACATGAATAGGATGCGTGAGACCCACTAATTATTAAAAAATAACGCCCTAAAGGATGCCAAATAGCTTGACACGTCTGACGTGTCAAGCAGCGAAGTGTAAATAGAAATTGACAAAATTGCCCTTAACCTTACTCCCAACACAACTTTCATTGATCAATTGGAAATCACTCTCTCCCAAAATAAAGAGAAACAAACCCTAGCATAATCGTACTTTAACACCAAATGAATCGAAGCCTTGTCTTAAAAAGAATCAAAGCACTATACTAAACGATTCACAGAGAAGAAAGATGAATCGTAGAGAAAAAGAATCGAAGAAGGAATTAATCACATTCATTGATGAAGGTTATCGTTGATTGTTAACTGTTTTCTAGTATCGAATCCATTTTCTATGTTTCCGTTTTCTTTGTTTCTTTGATTTTAAACAAGTTGACGCCTTTGTTGTTGATAGTTAATGATTTGAGAAATCGATTGCATGTGTGTTTTTTACTGAAGAAAGGGAAAGAGTTACTGTTTGTGTACTTTATATCGATGCAATGACAGTGGGTTGTGGGGAAAAATCCTATTTTCTATAATTTTTTTGGTTTTTTTGTATACAATATTGTTGATAAAATTTGGAAAGTAATGGGTGTTAAGATTATTAATAGTTGAATCAAATCAATGTTTAAATTATTTGACTATTACGTTAAATTGCAAAGAAGGGCACAAAAAAGGAATATTGAGGCAATTGCAATGTCAGACCAGTTGGAGTTGTTCCAAGAAAGAATAAAAAAGCAAATGCCCAAGCAAATGATTATGTACGCAGCCAAGAAGCAATAGCAAGGCAGTGATGGAGAGAAAGAAGAAGAAATGATTGATGATTTGTGTATTGTTGACTCTTGTGCACCATATTTTGTAGTTATACTTTCTTGTTTAAAATGATAATCCAGTAGGAATGATTTTGATTGTTAAACTTTAAGCTGCAAATATTTGTTGGAAGAGTTGAACAATATATGCAAATTACTACAGTTATGACATTTTGGATTATATAGAAATGAATGATTTTTGGATGTATATGCTTGCTATTTTGATAAATGTTCTTTAAAACTTATGTTAGACAAAACTATTAGCTGTTTGAACATATTTAATCTTAAGTTTTACAGGAATGACCTTGGACAAAATATGGACAAAAATCTTAAGCTTAAGCTTTAGAGGAAATTTGTTAATTAAGTTTTATTCATTGGACAAAATATACAACTAATGGCAAAGAGATGATGGAATTAAGCAATCTTCATATTAGATGTGAACACAATTAAGGCATTACATCAAGCATTGCTATAAAGCTTAGCAACGTTACCAAAAAAAAAAAAAAAAAGGAAGCGTTATTGAAAAATTATGCAGCCTGCAGTTCAAATTCATTGAGGCATTTCATCAAATATAACATAAGTATAGCTACTACTCCTACAACTACTACTGTCACTCTCACTTAAGAAAGATTACAATAACAAAAATAACAAGGCAACACCATAGCCATTTCTCTCTTTTCTGTCGCCTCCTTAATTAATTTTCCAAAGAATTTATTTTCTATGTAAACCAGGAATAATCTGCTTCGATCTATTGCAAATGGTGGGATCAACCCATTCAAAGGAATAGCACACAATAGTCTGTCTCACCTGCAAATTTTTAACTTCAAACCAAACGCAGTAAACATGGTGCAAACAAATCACCTTCAACCCAGACGCAGTAAATATAGAGAAAAACTTATACTTCTTGACTCATAGCACATAAACCTTCTACTTGGATTCCAATCTATCCAAGAAGTGCAAATGATGCACTGCTTCTCGCATATACAGACTCCATTTCAATTTTCCTTATTTTAGAACTCTAACACAAAGGATGCTGATTTTGAAGGTGATCGATGAAAGTTGTGTTATGAGTAGGATTAAGGATTAAGGCAATTTTTTCAATTGCTATTTATACTTTACTGCTTGACACACCAGATCCGACGTGTCAAGCTATTTGGCGTCATACAACGTTACTTCTATAGTGGGTCCCACTATTCTATTCATGTTTCCGCAAGTCATGTAAGACGGAGATACCTGATTGAAAAAAATTTATCAATTCCGACACTTGATTACATACATTTTCCGTCGAGACACTAAAATAGAAATTTTCAAAACTTCAGGCACCCAAAGTTATAATTAGGCTTAATTTTATAATAATAATAATAGTAATAGTTAATCTTATTACAAATCTATACTTCAAAAATTTATGAATTTCATATAAGTTCAAATATAATAAAGTAAACTTCAGTGCAATTATTTTTCATAGAACTTGATTTTTAAATATGTAATATTTATATATTATTGTAATTAAGATCCAAAATAAATTTTGAATTCTTCTCATGTACCATAGTATAAAGTACCTAGACGTGGGTCCAATGGGCTGGCTTCTGGCTTGGACTGCCCATTAGTGTCGGTATTGCTGCTGGAAGCTTTTCAGCTTAAGCTTGACTTGTTGGCCATACTAATGTATAGGAGATGTACATGTACTTGAAAAAATTGGAATCAAAGAAATAACGTTATGTTGAAAATTTTATATTTCCTATTTAATTCAATAAATTATTATACAATGAAAAATAATAATTTTCACAAGTGCCTAAATTGCATTTTGTTCGATATAAAGTAATCAAAGACATTTTTTATAGGACTTAAAGTTAATATAAAATTTTCATTATTAACCAAAATTAAAACTAAAAATATATTTATATTAATTTCAATTAAATTTTATAATATATATTTATATTAATTTAGGATCTAGTTATGAACATAACAGAATATACACGAAAAATTTATATAGTTCATCTCAATTAGCTTGAAATGAAAATTTAGTATAGCACTATTTCTATGTCAGAATGAGTTCGAAATAGGTGGCAAACATTTTTTATTTTAAAAAAATATAAATAAATAATTGAGGGTTCCATAATTACTTTATCCTTATTAAATATCCAAAATAAATTTTCACCAATCCTCAAAAGAATAAATAAATATATAAAACATGAGGTAGCCTTTCTTCTCAGTCATTGCTACCTATTCTTTCATTCCGAATTTTATAAAAAGCAATTTCATCATAGCACAACTTCTATTACAAGTACATTCCAATTTCAAATTTTAATTGCATTTATACCCTAAAACTGATTTTGAGTTAATTTTTTTGCATTAAAATAGAATCCAAAAGCTAAGACTGCGTTTACTTACAAAAAATAATTTTTTGTTTTCTAAGAAAACGGTTTTTTTAAGAAAATGAAAACTATAAAACATAAAATGAAAAATACGAGAGATAGATATTTTGATTTTTGGATTTTGGAGTTTGAAAAAAGAAGAAAGATCAGAGCAAAAATAAAAATCTAGATTATGTGTTTCTTAGAATATATTATTTTGATTCAGTAACTAAATTTTGAAATTGGAATGTCCCTGTAACAAAGGCGGCACGAAGGTGAAATTACAACTTTGTACAAAGTTTGAAGTAAATGTACGATTGAGCCTTGTTGTCATGTATTTTATATATATATATATATATATACAAAGAAATCTAAAATTCTGATAAAAAAATAAAACTATTAATAGAACCATCTTTTAAAACTATAGGGTTATGAATTCAAAACATTGTTAATGGCAGAGCCAACGTTTCTGTATTGATAAGATTAGTCTTTTTGTTTGGTTCAAAAATAGTCCATCTCTTGAAAATTACACTTCCGGGAAATCATTTCCCACAAAATATAATTTTGTATGATTAACTTAGAAAGTAAATTATTATTAGTTACAAAAATAATAATTTTAATCCCGAGAAATAGAATTGATATTACAAATTAAACAAAAACAATTCATGCATTTCCCAAGAAATTGCATTTCAATGTTCTACTGCACAAAAACAAAAATTGCAATCCCTTTGATCAAGATCTTTAATGTATTGAAATACCCTGAATATTTTATTTTGACCTTTCTGTCAGTTTTAACCAATTTCGACACCATCAGTTGCAATAATAATGAAATTGCTAATAAAAAACATTTCCAATTTTTTAAAATAATAATAAAAATAAAATTTTAAATATTCTTTGAACATATTCACAGCTAATGGTTGACGCATTTATAGATTTAAAAAGGTTATATTTAAGGCGTGTACAATTAAAATAATTAAAAAATTATTATTTATTTTTATTGACTGAATAATAATTTAACTATATTTAAATCTAAAAAATTACTATTATTAATATCTTTATCCTTCAAATACAAATAATATAAAATAAATACATAATTAAAAAATACATTTTATTAAATTAATCGCTATGCCATACTTGGTATTTTTTCATAAATTACAAAAATTTATACTATTAATTAGCATATTTGTTTCAAAAATTAACATTTCATTTATGCACCATTATTGTTTATACTATAGATTTTTTTTTTTTTTTAATTTTTAAAATTTTATCAGTCATTTGATGATTTAAAATAATAAAAATAAGGGGGCTAATGTTATAAAAGATCGTAATTGATGTAAATTTGATATAAAAAGTCAAAATAGAGCAAAAAAATCTGTAAAATTCAAGAAATTCTGATATATTAAACCTAACCTAAAGTATAAACCGCAGTAGTTGTACGGACTAATTAATCGCAATGAAAAGAGTTGCTGTATCCATTCCATTGTAGCCAAAAGATTTGCGACAGAGGTTTGCCTCTTAACTCGCTGTCGTTTTGTTCAAGTGAATTATAGGTTTATAACAAAGATGAGCCAAAAAAGAAGAGATTAAACGCTACCCGCATAGGAGAAAAAAGGGCTAATTTTTCTCTCGAGATTCTTGCCAACCAAACAATAGTTTTGCAGCAGAAAGAATATCATTCAAAACCGATAGAAAAATGGAAATTTTTATACTTGGTAGAAAGGAAAGGAGAAAAGAGAGAGAAGCCATTAAAATCTGGAAAAGGTGAAGCCTTTGCTTCCAGATATGGATAGAATTAGAGAAATGCAGTATTTCCTCCTTCATTAATAATGTTAGATTAAATTAATATTAAAAAAACTACTGAACATTTTATATTAAGTTCATAAGAAGAGAAACACGGTAGAGGAGCTAGCAGAGTCTTCCTTGTTCAAAACCCTAGTATTATATGCAAGAAATCAAAAAATAGATTAAAGATTTTAATATAAAAAAGGACAAAGTATATAATGATGAAATAAAAAACACATCACTTGGAATTACTATTAAAAATAGACTTCATCTGTACTTCCATTCTCAATCTCTTCAATAAACTGCATTTTTTTATTCTGCTTCAGATTTCTCTGTCTCAGAACTTAAAAGGGCCTATATATATATTATTCTATGATTATTGTTTCCTTCAAGAATCAAGAAATCAAAAAAATTCAGCAGCTTCTGTCAAGAAACTGTACTTTTCCTTTTCTTTTCAGAAAAATTACACAACCTATTGGACCCGTAAATTTCCCTTTCTAATTTAAGCATAAAAGAATTTTAATATCATGGCATATGAAGTGCATAATTATCTAAACAAAATAGATTTGTCAAGTCCACTTATCTTTACCTTCTCTGTGTATTGGATTCTGGTGATTCGCACTTACAGATAATATAACCATTGAAGATATTTCTCAAACTCAAAAAAATAGTACTAGTAAAAATAAAGAAAGAAAGAAAGAAAGAAAACCTTGATGATATATAAAAGTGGGGAGGTGTGCTCGAAAAGTGTAGAGAAGAGAATAAAATAAGTAATATAATAAACGGAAATGGGAAGGTCTCTCACGAGTGTCAAAAACAATAGGGCATAAGAAAAACCTAATCTAATTAGCTCCAAGTTCCAACCACACAAAGCTTTTTATAACTGGACACAAACATTTGGCGGGGCATTTAATGCAGCCGAAGCCTTACCAAAAGAATAAAGACAACAACAAACCCTTTCTAGCTACCTATTTTTTATTTATTTTTCTTTTCTTTTTCCATTGGTGGGATTCTCTTCTACATGCTTGCTAGTTGCTAACCTCTCTTCTGACAAAGATAATACTGTCTCTGCCTCAAGGTTTTGCATTAGGTCTTCTTTATTTTTTAATTACCAACTCAAACTCACTACTTCTCAACCCTAAAGATAATTTCTTAGGATAGTTTCATCCTGAAGATAATTACAGTGCAACTAAGCTAATACTTCCTCTCTTTGAAGGTAACTCTAATACAACTAAACTAAAACTCATTCCTACAACAAGTGCTTCCTAAAACCTAATTATTTATCTTCTTTTTCACTAATTTGATTCTTCAAAGACTTAACTAAATCTCACAACCCCCAAAACAAATATAATCAATCTATTTTATTTTGGTAGAACTAGGAAGTGTTAATTCCTCTCTAACACCATAAAGCTAAAAACTTTTTGTGTTCCCAAAAAATAAGCTTACTTAAAATCTAACTTTCGTTCTCAATTCTTACAGAAATTGAAACGTTCTCAATCCTTATGGAAATTGAAACTACATACCCGCCAATCAACATGTTAAACTACTTGTATTATTGTTGAAAAAGTTGTGGAAATATTTTCTGAGTTCAATATATTTTGTTCGCGCACACTTAAAAAATCACTAAGCCTTTGGTTCGTATAAATTGTCAAGTTGTTGGGGGGAAATATTAATTAATGGTGAATTTGGCATATTCAATATTGCAACGTTAGAAACTTCAAACCATATAAATAGTTGTCAAACTTAAAACAGCTTCAAAACAGAAACAGAAAAACACACGTATTAAAAAGAACAGTTTTACTGCCTTTGTTTGTTTTTTACTGATAGCAAAAGGGTAAATAGTTAGGAGGAGGGTGAAAAAACAAGAAAAAGGAAGTCTCTCTCACGTTATATCATGTCATAAATGTCTAGTCTAGTCTACTAGTCCTATAGTGGAACATTAGTTTTTAGCGACATAATGCTAAACATCTTCAGAGCTCAACACTGTAACTTTGTACCCAAAAAGTACTTTTGAGACAGAAACTAGTCATGTACCAAAGTTACCCCCCTCCATGTGAGAGAGAGAGAGAGGTTCCAAAAGAGGCAAAAAAGAAGACAAAAGAAAATCATTGTTCCTTGCCAAATTTCAGCTAAAACCTAAAATCTTTCATTATTAACAACATGTGGACAGCTTAGCCTTGAATGATAAATACAGTAAAAGCCTTTTGGACCATTGGACTAAAGAGGTTTCTAAAACCTTAAAACACTCAAATGCACAGCAGATCCCTATGTAGTGAAGATGAGGTAAAAAGAAGAGTCTTTTATTCATTCTCTCATGTAATTTGCAGAGATGATCAATTACAATGTCAGGTTGGTAAAAATCAAACATACAAATTCAAGAACTTGAACAATAATAACACTTACTACTATCATTAACAAAAAAGAAATAATATTTCCCAAAATTATGTGTTTGAAACAAAATTTGCAAACTTAGGAAGCAATTGTGAATGAAACGGCGAAAGGGAGCTCCCTTCAGTCCAAGCACAGAGAAAAGAAGATCGAAATTTATCTCCCGCATCATTCACGCAGTCACAATAGCAATTACTACTACTACTCGATCCTTTTCTATTGCGTTTGAATGAATGAGTCGGCAGATAATTCAAACCCTTCGCTCATCCATGAGTGGACTGAAGGAAGCTCTCTTAAACCATTTCTCACAATACAAATGAATGAGAAGAAATTACAAACATTAAAATTAATTGATGATAATTAAGTTTAAATCCCACACAAAAACCTTATGCACTAACTAATTAGAACAATATTACCACTTAAAGGATCACAAGGCTAATTTTGAATCAAATTGCGTTTGATGATTCAAATTCACCAATTTTATTTATTAGTTTGAAGTAAACTACCTAAACAACAATATATAATAATTTCTCTTATTAACACAAAATGAAATTAATTAATTCATATTTCACGTCTAAAATCCATAGGATCTAACTGTGGCATCTTTGAATTTCAGTGAGCTAATAATAACACATTCAAATGTTGGAAAGATTCACAGAATCTAACAAATCCATGTTTAACTCCTGGTTAAAAAAGAGAGAAAAAACAACCACTAAAACTCTTAAGTAATGATTTATCAAAGGAATTAGGTTTTTAAGCTTCAACAAAACACAGAATCCCTCAACTCTTAATACATGGGTAAAAGATTTAGAAATTAATTAAATTAGTACAAACAAGTTACATAATGGTAGTAAATCAAAAATTGGGGATGTTAAAAATGAACTAATGAGGTTTTGCATGAACCCTAACCCTAAGTGATAAGCTTCTTTACTTCTCTCCTATAAAGGAAGAAATAAAAACCCAAATGCAAAAATAGCAAAAACCCAAAAAATTAAGTATTTAATAAAAGACCATGATCATATCCATCAGTTAAACAGTGTTTTAGAGATGCAAAATTTATTTCCTTTACCTAATAAGAAAACCAAGCTTATAGGAAAAGAAAAACTCTTAACTCAAACAACAAAAGGGAACAAAAAAAACAAAAAAGAAATGCTTAGGTCACTTACCATAACCAAAGGCAAAACTTTTCCTCCATTAGAAGTAGCATTTACATCTTGATCTCCAGTTACACTGTTTAAAATGGGGAAAAACTTGTATATAGAGAAAGGGAAAAAAAAAAAAAACAAGACATGAAAAGGGTAAAAAGTGCATAAATCACGGAAGCTGAAGAGTAATAAATTGAAGCAGAATGCAGAGGAAGAAGAAGAGGAAATGTCACTATCTCCATGAGAGTCAGCGAAAAATAAAAAACAATAGAGAAAGCGATAGTTAATTAAAGATCTCTATAAATCTGCAGAGAAAGCTCATCCTCTTCCTCTTCCTCTTAAAAAAAAAGAAAAAAATAAAGCTTTTCTTTTCTTCCCCTTTTCTCCTCCCTTCCCTTTCTCTTATTCTTCCTTCGCTTCTACAGACTACATGGAAATGAAAAATGTGAAATTTAAAAGGATATGAAGTGGGCATGTAGTTGAACAGTAAGTGACACCTTGTACACCGCAAATCATATCATATCAATACACAGTTTTATATAAATATATATAAAAATAAATATGGGGAGAAGGAAAGAAAAGAGAAGAGTGGAGAGTGAAGAAGAGAAGAGTGGCGGTGGGGTTTTGATTTGATCTGCGGTTATCTAAATTGCACTGTAGGAAGTAGAGAGAGAGAGAGAGAGAGAAGAGCGTAATAGTAGAGTATAATATACTATATATGTATATATATAGAGTGTGGATGGATAAAAGCGAAAGTAGAGGAAGGTATAGGGTAGAGTAGAGAGGGTAGAGTCTAGAAATCGTACATGGATGGATAAAAAGGTAGGGTTTGAGGAGGCTACTCCAGACCCAATACCAATGTCACGACACAGCTGAAGTTACAGTCACTGTATGAATAAATGTGGTCCACGTCACCTCATTCACCTTTTCTGGGCAGTAGAAGAATATTGTTTTTTTTTTAAGTGACAATAAAAGTATTATATATATTAAACTCGGTTTATGTAAAACAATATAATTTTATACTAATATTTAATATTTTTTTTACCATTTTACTTTTTAAAATTTTTAACTTTTTTTAAGTAAAGTGTATTTAAAAAAAAAATCTCAAAGTGTATTATATAGTAAAAATTATTTAGATTTTTAGAGACATATAGAATAGGTTAGAGTGATTATAATTTTAAAAATAAAAATAAAAATTTTCAATTTGAATTGAACAAAAACCGTTGGTTAATTGCCATTTTTGAGCCTATTCAAATTTAAATTTTAACATTCATATAAATTTTATCGGTCCTTAAACTGTCAGTTTCAATTTAAAATTTTAAATCAAAGGTTCATATTTAATTTTAATTTATCTGCAGTATAGTTTGATTTTAGTTCAAAATGAACCGGTAGCTATGCCTGGTTAGTATTATCATTTCACAACTGATATTCCAAGTATTGTTAAATTTTAATGGACCGGAACAAAACAAAAATTCTCATTTCAAAGGAATATTTAGAATGGAAAAAAATGCATTTTTAAATTGCAAAATACATTGAAACAAGAATGAAATAAAATCTATTTCAATCAAATTACACACTCTATTTTTCAGTCTCCTATTATAATATATTGTTCCATTAGATTTAATAGTTTAAGTTCTGTACACTTATCACAAGATAGATAATCAGATCACAAAATATTTAAAAAATTTAGCTAATCACTTTAAAATTCGTCGATTTTTAAGTTTATTTTTAAATTTTTCATTAAAATTTCTTATTAGATGAACAAAATTTTTTAGAGCTCCTTGTATCATTTACATTGATTTGAGTGAGAGTGAAATTCTAATATATCATATTAAAGAAAAAAAAAAAAAAAAGAGCTAGCGGTTGAAAAGCAAAATTAAACATTGATGTATTTTAAATACCGTATGAAAATGTCTCATATCAATTTAATTATAAGAAAATTATAATCATAATTAATATTTAAATGTTGAAGAACCAAACATTTTATGGTCAATTGCAACCACCGACAACAAAACTTGATCGTTGACCTTTAATTACCATCAACTAATTGTAACAGTCAAAGTCAAATAAGCATTTAGTCATTTTCAAGAATGATTTTAAACACACATTTTTCTCGTATAAAAATATTATTTTTAGAAATATTATTATTTTTTAATTTATTTAATCAAATACTCATTCCATACTATAAAGATAGGTCTGTAACTTATGTTTTAGTATCGTAGTAGACAATTTTTTTATTATTAATTTATGAAAAAATGGACAAAAATCAAGAAGAAGCTTCTTGTTTTAGATCACTCCAAATGAATGAATTAATGCCCTCCAAATGTGAGGATGCCCTAAATTAGAAGAATGAAAGAGTCCCATGATAAGTGATTCTAAAGGCAAAAAACATGTCATGTGTTGTTATGTCATTGTGTATATATAAATACCAACATAATGTTTGAAGATATATAAAAACATAATTTCAAGAAATTGGACAGCAAGAGCTAACCCATCTTTGTTTGTCTGAAAAAAGGCAGCCACACCGCCATGGTCTTACCCACCATTTTTCTAAATTTTCCATAAAGCTCTTGCAATCAAAGAAGTTCTACAAAAGAATATTTAGCATGCAATTATCAATTTCATATTTGGCATCTTGTGCTTGTTGAGGAAATATCTATTTAATTATTTATTTAATTGTATAGGTTTTGAGAATGAAATAATATTAATTTTTTATTTTTTTAATTATGCTTAATTGTAATATCAAATTATTTTATCTATATGCTGTTAGGAAAAAAATTTCGTTAATATAATTAAATTTTATTTTTTGCTTTACTCTTATATAATATACTCTTATATTAGTATTTTAGTAATGTTAAAGTATTCATATTAGAGAATGGTTATTTTATAAATTACTTTTTAAATAATATACTAGAAATTGTATCATATTGGTTATCAATATCTAGTGATTAAAGAATCTAAAAATTCGTATTCCATATATAAGATTTATAAGTTAAATTATTAAATAGTTATGATTTATAATTAAATTGAAGGGTTTAACGAGTTATCGAAAATGTTTTAGATTTTTTCATAAAAAAATTTTTAGGTGTTAATTTATGTAATAAGGCATTTGACACCTGAAAATGAGAGCCAAACACATCCTAATTAAGCAATGATAATTAATAAGTCCAAAATAACATTCCTTTCAAAAAAAAAAAAAAAAAAAAAAAATTCCTTTTCAAAAAAAAAAAAAAAAAAAAAAAATCCAAAAATTAACATCACGGTACCAGTAAAGAAGGAAGCAGAAAAAAAAAAAAAAAAAAAAAAAATCCAAAATAACATCAGGTACAGTAAAGAAGGAAGCAGTCATCAGGTCGCAGCATCATCACTTTAACCTTTTCAGGATACAAAATTTAGACTGTAAAACTCAAAGCTGAAGATTCAAATCAGGCTGAAGCTTACCATTCATGAAGTTGAATTGCTGCGCTTGTGGATTCCAAAACAGCTCCTCAATAGGCTCTCCTTGAACATAATTCATTCTCCTGAATGATGGCATTTCTTGATGAGTTGATCCCTTTAACAACATAGAAGGTGAGCCCCACGATGGAGCTGGAGCCGGAGCCGGAGCCGGAGCCGGAACAGCATTGCTGGGTCCTGCCTCTCCATTTGGATACAGTAAAGAACTCGAAACCATAACAGAAGGAGGAGGAAGAGGAGGAAGAGGAGGAGGAGGAGGAGGTGGAACAGGTAAATTTTCATATCCTGTGAGAGGGTAATAAGATCCTGATGGAGTATGATTAGCTTTATCTTGAACAGCACTAATTTGCATAAGACTTGCCATAAGAAGGTCCGAATTGTAATTTGCTTTGGACGAACTATAATTAGCATCTTCTCCTAATCCACCATTAGTACAAACCATCTTTCCTTTATAGGAACCAGAAGGGTTAGAAATTTGGTTACTATAAGGATTCTGAAGAAAATATTTTCCTAGTTTCTTGTTTGCAGCAATTTGTGCTGCTGGTCCTAAATCTTTAACAAATTGCATTAGACTCTCTCTATATTGGCCACATGCAATAGGAGCCTGAAACATCATAAAAAAAGAAATTATCAGTATCAAAATACAATCAATTCAGATTCAGATGTTTAGACTGTAAGAAACGTTAATCTATTGTCTAAATTATAAACTTACATGGGCAAGCTGTTTTGGCATATTATAAACTGATGAAATGATCTTGTCATTCTCAGTGCGGAAGAAATTCTGAGGCAGATATGTCATACGCTTTTCAATTTCTGAAGAATTTAATAAACTCCTACCATTTCCTGGCAATGTTCAAAGCAAACAAGAATTTAAACTACAACGTTCAACCACATCTTACTACAATATATTAGATAATCACTTAGGTTTAAATCCTAATCATCACATTTACTCTCTCTCTCTCTCTCTATATATATATATATATAAATTCATTAAAAAAAAAGTATGACATTGGCCTTTAAACATAAGGTAAACACTAAGGAATGACTAAGGAAGTTGTAGTTCTCTAAGTGCAATGAATTTATCAATTTATCTTATTATTTAAATACATTTAAATTTATATTATAAATATTATTGTAATTTGCAGTTTGAAACTAATTTACTTCTCAAGAAATTGATTTACATACCAATATATTCAAATCATACTTTATGGAAAATAATTTCTTTGAAAGAGTACTTCATGAGAAGTATACTTCCTGAGAAATTGGCTATTTTGAAATCAAACGAGGTTTTAATTGTTTATCAGAACGATAACAGACTTATCTTTACTGGAAAAAAAAAAAAAGTAAAATGTTAGCAAACCTTGGTGTGATTTCTTACTCGATAGAAACTGATTATTGGTTTGACCAATGCGAGGCTTGAAAGCGAATGGTTGGTAATTAACTCTCTTATGATTAAGAGGAAGACCATGTTTTGAAGCAGAAGGTTTATTAGCGTCAGTTGCAACTTCCACTTGTGGTTTTTTACCAGAGCGTCTTCTTGTTCGCGTATACTCCAATTGAAAACTCTCGGGTTCAGTTCTTAAAGATCGAAAAAGCCTTTCAGCTAATTCACTTATAGCTCGAGCCTGAAAACAGTCAGGTTTTGCATTAATAATAATAATAATAATAAAAATAATTTTCTTGAAAAAAAAATTATAGTATAAGAGGTAGCTTACTTCTGTATAATATACAGTAGTTGAAGAATTGAACTTCATTGCGTTGCTGGATATCAGAAACACATCTCGCTGCGAAACAATTTGGACAAGTTAAGATCATTTGATGCTGGACATGGTGTTCCTGATAGAACTTTAGTAAATAAAAAAAAAAAAAAAATACCTTTGGGTTGCTGGACATGGTTGTTTCCTGATTAGAACTTTAGTAAATAAAAAAAAAAAAAAAAAACCTTTGCGGACGTAAATGAGCTAAGGGCTAAAAAAAAAAAAAAAAAAAAATACCTTTGGGACGTAAATGAGCTAAGCCGCTTTAAGTTAGTTGAGGTTAGGCTTGAATAAAACTAGTTTGATAAGTTTAAGGAGTAGAGTTCAACTCCGTTTAGTGAATAAGTTAAGTTAAAAGCTCAAGCTTAAATGAGCTAAATTCGAGTTCAGTTTTTTAAAATTAAATCGAATTTGAGTTTGAATAAACCTTTTGAGTTTGAATAAACCTTTAACGAGCTGAGCTCGAAACAAATTAAGTATGTTGACTTAACTCATTTGTAGCTCTACGTACTTAAATTTTAGATATTCTTTATTGTTTCAAACTTACCAATTTCAATCCCTATATACTATCATCGGTGAAAAATCTATTTAAGGCTTCAAGAGACTATAATGTTTTAGAATTTCATAATTTAGAGACTAAAATGTAATTAATTTCAAAATTTTATAAATAATTAAGCACAATTAACTTAAAATGTATTAGAGTGTCAAGTCATTAGCAAATTTCAGGAACAAAAATTGGTAATTTTTTTTTATGGCAATTAATCGGACAGAATATTCAACTCAACAGAGATACTGAATAAAAAGAAATTTGTTTAGTTCTGAAGCAAAACCTCAAACTGTTCAAAACTTGTGTACATTCCTTCCTGTAGTTTAGCCCTCATTGTGCCAAAATCCATTGGCTCTTTGATAATATTGTAATAGTCAGCCACCTTTCACACACACACACAAAAAAAAAAAAAAAAAAAAAAAAAAAAAAAAAAAAAAAAAAAAAAAAAAAAAAAAAAAAAAAAAAAAAAAAAAAAAAAAAATTAATTGCACAGACATTCCTACGAAAATGTGTTTTGTTATGTAAAAATTAAAATAAAAAAAATCAATAGTCTAGAGGTACATTGCATACCTGTTGGGGGGTCAACTTGGCTGTTGCAAATAATCTCTTGTGTGTCTCTCCTATATGAATATATGTGTTCCATATTGAGATGAGAAAATAATGGTTAAAAAAAAAAAAAAAAAAAAAAAAAAAAAAAAAAAAAAAAAAAAAAAAAAAAAAAAAAAAATTAATGCACAACACTTCCTAAAAATGTGTTTTTGTTATGTAAAAATTAAAATAAAAAAATCATAGTCTAGAGGTTTTACATTGCATACCTGTTGGGGGTCAACTGGCTGTGCAAATATCTCTTGTGTGTCTCTCCTATATGTATATGTGTCCATATGAGATGAGAAAATAATGTTATATTCATATAGACACTACTTAAATAATAAAATTTTTTATTTTTTTCCTACAGTTTGTTTTCGTATAAAAAACTCTTGTGAATTATGATCGAGAGGATTCCGACACGAGACCTTCCGCTTCTCACTCTCTTACAGAAAGCGAGAAAAGCAATTATTCCACACTTATCGACTATATTGCAAATAATATTTAAACCAAACAAACGATGAGTATAATTTAAGATAAAAATAACAAATTAGTCCTTGAATTATACTTAAATTACTATATGAGACTTTTATTTTTAAAAATTAATTATGAGGCCCCTAACTCATGATTCTGTTAATATATTAGTCCTTCTAACCAAATTAACGTCTAGCGATTGATTTAAATATTGATCCCTAAATTATAGTCAAACTAATAATAAAATCTCTAAATTATGATCACATTAACATTTTAGTTCTTACTTTATGATTTCCGTAACACTTTGATCCTTCTGTTTTTTATGGAAAGACCAAAGTATTAAAAAATCGTAATTTAGGAATCTCATAATTAATTTTTCAAAATAGAAGTTCTCATGTGTTAATTTCATTAAATTTAGGGATCAATTTCTTATTTTCTCATAATATAATTACCTTTGCAGTACGTCAAGGATAAACTCCAGTGTTTCTTTCTTTGGCATCCCTTGTGAAGATGACAAATTTTCCATTTCTTTAACAAGAAATTAAATAGATTAATCACAACTTAAAAATTTAATTAATTGAAAATTATTATATAATGCTTATGTTATTTATTCATATTAATGGCTTACCAGCTTTTGTTGCATTGTCTTCGTGTTTTGGGTCTTCTCCTTCCTGTTTACAACTAATTAATGTAGTAAGAGAAGTTTGTAATATATGCTTAGATTAAATGATTTCTTGAATTTTAAAGCACTCTTATCAAAGAATTCCTAATAACAATCTGATTAATATTTTAGTCCTTATTATTTTAAAAATAACAGTTTTACTCCCTAAACTAACTTGGTGAAAACCAGTGAGGATTGCAAGCCAAGACTTGAAGTTATAAGGCAAAAGGAAAATACTCAAATTAGTGAAGGCAAAATAATATTTCCTCCCTCGGTCTTATTTTATTTGCTTGTTTTTTTTTTTTTGAAGTCCAAAAATATTTGTAAGATTTCTAAATTTATATATCTAAATAATTATTTTTCTCACGATAACATTTATAATTGTTATTAAATAACATTTTTTTTATTAATATCTTAAGAGTTAAGGGTAAAAAATGACAAAATAATTTTTATTGATTAAATTCTTAATATATATGTTTTGTCAAATCATGTAAACAAAATGAGACGAAAAGAATATATATTTTGCAAAAATTTTTAAGCCACACGGGCCATCAGTATCTCAGCAACTATTGAAAAAGCACAAAATTTCGAGAATTAAATGTTTTGCAATCTATTACTCTCTTTGTTCTAAAATATAAGTCATTTTAAGTATTTAAAGGATAATAAATGATATTTTTTCAATGTTTCCCTTATTTATATTAAATACAATAATTGTTTCACAATTTATCTTTAATTTTGAGATAAAGAATAATTTGGTAAAAAATCTTCAATTTTATTTTGTTGGAGATTTCTGGTTGATTTGATCCAATTCATTGGAAAATTGAGATTATTACCGATCCAGTTGAAAAATTGAGATAAAGAGGAGAGAATGATGTCATTTGGAGTAAATAAGTTACTATAAAGGTATTTTTGTCCCATCGCATTTGTTTTATTTGATTTTTATAAAAATTTATTATTATTATTTTTAAGTTGACTGCAAAAATTGATAAAAATTATTGACAAAGGGATCTTACAGTGTAACAGGTTCATAACACATAGATTAGATAGTGTAATTTTGAAAACTTATATTTTCACCGGTGTATTTGACCAAATAATAAGACCTTCCAAAATATAAATTTTAGCCAAAATATAAATCATTTTGAGTATTTTAAAGAGTAATAAATGATATTTTTTCAATATTACCCCTATTTATATTAAATTTTTACAAGTGATTCTTGATTTTGAGATAAACCATAACTTGATCAAATTAGCCTTATTTTTATTATAATTTAGGAGAATTAACTGCTTTTTTAATATCCATGAACGATTTATATTTTGGGACAAAGGGAGTAAATAAAGAGAATATATAGTAATTTACTCTCGAATTACTACTGTTGAAAAAATATTTATTATAATAAAATTTAGGTAAAACATTTTACTTGAAAGATTTAAATATAATTATAATTTTCTGATCGGTGATTGGGTGAAAGATAGATAAAGAACAAACAAATTGCAGTTATTTATAGAGGTAAATGAGTAAAATATAAATAAAATAAATGACAAGCAATTAGGACTAACAAAGAAGAAAGAAAGGAGAGAGACCTTGTGAGGAGTAACAGAATTAACTACCACTGATTGAAGACTTTTGCGCTTTCGTCCTCTCTTTCTAGCAGCTGGTAATGGTAATGGCGGTGACGAAGAAGCAGCTAGTTGTTTTGCGCGTCTTTGGAGAGCCAGCTCACGCGCTTTCTCCTCCAATGCAGATATTCGAGCACTCCTTCTAGATCCTGCTATGGCTTCCTTCCTTCTCATTTTTGTTTCTATAAACACAATTCTCCTGTAAAAATTAATCAGTTATTAATTAGGATTTTTTTTAAATTAATTAAATAATCTTTTTCTTTTGTTAGCATTTAGCTAGACAATCCTTTTATTAAGATTTTACTTATTTTTTTCATTAGTCAATTGAAAAAACACCTTTTATTTCGAATTTAATCTCCATGAAAAATCTTAATTTTATTATCAAATTTTATCTAATAATTTAATCTAAGCATATAAATTAGAATACGCAATGTTTCCGATTAAAGAAAAAATTTCAGATTTGATTTAATACTAATATGGAAAAGAATTTTTGAAAAGTTAATCAAGAAAAAAAAATTTCACCACATTTTAATGAAAAAAAAAATAACAGAAAATGTTTAATGAACGGTAAAAAAAATGAAATTGAACGATTATTTAATTAACTTTTGAAAATAAAGATTATAACTTGTGATTATGCGTTTCGGTTTCGGTATTTATTAGAATCGAAAAATACAAAAGAGAACGGCCCCACTCGAAATGGGCCACCATGTAGACTCCACATGGATTTGTGAGAGAAGTGAGAAAAATTGATGTTTTATGACTCTAGGATTTACAGGGCTGCTTTAATTTTATTTTCCTTTACTACGATCTAATCTATTATTTCTCAACAGACCATTTCAATTCTCTACATTGTTTTGTTTATCAATGAATTGATAATTTTACTTTTTTTTTTTTTCAAAAAAAAATCTTTGCTTTCTCCAAAAAAAAATGTCATCTTAGTCCAACCAAACTCAAACGCAACTCCAGCAACTCCAGAAAGAGAGAACAATAATATTCAAAATCAACATCAGCATGACAGTGGAGAAAGAAATATTTAATTAGACAATCAAATCAAAACTTCAATCTAAAAAAAAAAACAAAAGAAGAAGAAAAGGAACATTGGTAGATATACAGATGGGGCCAAAGCCAAAAAGATTTGGCCATCCAGAAGGACAAAATAGAGTAAAATGGTATACTCATGAGTATTCAGCAACAGAAGCAAGCACAGATGACAGAACAGAAGCATAACAGCAAAAACCAAACAATGCAGAAAAGAAATCACATGAGATCAATTAACAAATTAACTATCTTACCACTTAGAATAGGATTATCTTCCAAAACTGGCAAAATCCTCCAGTCCCTTCTCACTATTATGCAGCTCTTTTACCTAAAATGATAGACAAAGAAATTTAGAGACTTCTACACCAGCAAATTCAAGACTACTCTTCTGCATTTAAAATGAGATGCTGTGTGACCCTATTGGTGATATGGTAAGTATTACGTGGAACAATCAATTCGACAAATGTACGGTGATTCAAGCGCCAGTAACTTCCTGTTTGGTTCGACGACCTGAAATTGTCGACACATTTGGCACAATGACAACGCATTAGGTAGTGTCTTTTTCGACGCGTCAAAATCATCAAGTTTAGCCAGAAAACTTTCCAAAACGGCTACGTTGAACTGCTATAATAGACAATTCACTGTAAAAATGCATATACATAGACAATTCACTGTAAAAATACTTCCAAAACGGCTACGTTGAACCGCTATAATAGACAATTCAATGTAAAAATGCATATATATAGACAATTCACTGTAAAAATGAAAATGTATACGCGCATATGTTATCTGAATACTGAAGAGCAAATACCACAGGAAAGCCAACTATGCATACAACCGCCAAGCTACAGCGTGTTTGCGGTCACAGACGAGTAAATACTATCCTACTATGGCAGCTTCTTTCGTCTCCCTATTTGATCCACAAAAGATTATTATGGAATGTACAACGAAACACAACGATATGATAAAAGTCAACACTTTCCTGTATCAGGCGATTAATTTATGGAATCACACCGAAAAGCAAACATCAGCATTTCTAAAATTGCACAAAGCTTTATTATGATATCTAAAAATGATGCGATACAAAATTTGTAGTATCTATCAACTTTGGTATATTGTTAGTATACAACTATGATGAGATGCAAGTTTATCTTTCTATATCCTGCCTCATTCAATCTAAGGACCAGAAATAAGCACGATAGAAAATTTAGATATACAGTTTTCCGATGGCTTTTGATTTGTGCAACTCACGAATTTGTGAAGGCTATGCTCTATCTCACCATAAGTTCAGTTCCAAATGTCTTCTCATGTAGCAAGAGAGGTTGCTATCTTTCTTCCATGACACGTGTTCCTTAATATACTCATTCGAGAATGCAATCAAATAGGTCTCGTACCCAAGTAGCAGGAATCACTCGGCCAACATTCTATTTGTGTGGTTTCAGGAAGGTGGAAGGATTATTAAACAAGAAGAAAACCGTTATGCCTCCAATTTAATAGCTGTATCAATAGCATCCACGGTACTATTTTGCTGTGTCCATAATTGTGCATATCTTCCTGCCTTGGTCAACAGAACTTCATGGGGTCCCTGCTCAACAACCTTCCCATTCTCCAGAACTATTATCTGAAAATCATATTTGAAGGAATGGAAGATTATAAATAGGTAGTATAGGTATTAGAAGATCAACAGACTGATTAATGCCATGGTGTACAGATAGCAACAAACTTTATTGAATACACTATTTTGTGTTGGAGCATCCAACTAAAAGCTTAAATTAGAAGCTGAACAGGCCTACAATATATAAGTAATGTTCAAAGGCAACTAATGAAGGACTCTCTTTTCTAATACTGAAATATCACTGGCAAACTCAAAAACACTCCTAAAATGCGGCTAACTTATTTTTCTATAGAGTGTCAATGGGTTCAGTTTCAAATTGAGCTACAACAAATTAACTGAATTCTTTTGAATACAAAACTGAAGAAAAATGAATTTGGGAAGAAACCAAACCACAATAACCGAAATAATAAAAATAAACCCAATCTGGTCTTTGAACTAGCAAAGGTAAAGGGTTACACCTTTAAGGTTTGTTAAGGATTAGTTGTAAATAGAACTCTATTAGGAGTTGTAAATAGAACTCTATTAGGAGTTAGATTCTAAATAGGTTTATAGTATCTTGTATGTAAAAATCAAACCCAATCTGGTCTTTGAACTAGCAAAAGGGTAAAAGGGTTACACTTTAAGGTTTGTTAAGAATTAGTTGTTAAATAGGAACTCTATTAGGATTGTAATAAGAACTCTATTAGGAGTTAGATTCTAAATAGGTTTATATATCTTGTATGTTGATTCTAAATAGGTTTATAGTATCTTGTATGTGTATATATATGTGTCCCTATTGATGAATCAAATATAGAAAAATATTTTCCCACATTAAATCTACAAGGTTCAACCAGGGTTAAACTGGAGTTTACCCAAAACTCCATTAAATAAATATTATATATGATAATCCTTTATTAAAAAGTGATTTATTAGAAGTAATAAATTTAATTAAATATTACAAATAAATTACTAAAATAACATACTTAAATTCAATATATAAATTTCATATAAATATTAATTCGAAAATTTTAATTGAAATATGAATTAAACAATAGCAGTGGAAGAAGTAACTAAAATAAGTCTTTACACGAACATGTTTTGTTTATGCTAAGAAAAATAAAAAATGAAATTGGATTTGTTTCATTTTGCACATGATAAATATGAATAGCTTCTAAGCCACAAGAAATGTAATACAATTTTGTCATAGAAACTGATTAGATAATAATTTGACCAATTACCGCATATACCCAGACTCAGATCAAATAAAGGAGTTGTTAAGCAATTTTTGGGTCGACAACTCCTCAAACCACAATTAGAGATTATGGCTCTACCAACTAAGATCCAACCAGGTTGACTGGTTCAGCAATTATGCTAATTGGTTCTCACAAAGATACTTTATTTCTGTCCAAGTATTATACTAGGATCAGACCTATTCTTTCATCGGACTGGAATCAACCATAAAAGGGTAACCAATGCACAAAGCATCCAACATTTGTACGCTCTAAGGACCTTCACATCACAAGTGGATTAACTCTATTGTTACACCCAAAAACCATCCTCAATTGAAATCAACCATAATCAATGAAAAAAAAAAAAAAATCAAACACAAAATAAATCCACTAAATCACCCGGCACTAAAATTCACCCGCGGGGGGGGGGGGGGGGGGGGGGGGGGGAAGCCAATTACAGAAACTAAAAAGCATACGTTTGGTCAGCTCTTTTTAATTGAACTGAAAAATGCTCACCCCCATTTTTGGCATTCACAAATCTAATGGTATGAATAAAAGGGAAATCTCATTATCATGTGCCAAGGATATTAAGCAAATATTCTTTTCAATAAAATTGATTTTGAAGAGATATCCCAACTAATGAGCGAAATTTGGAAGCAAGGCATCTAGAAGTGGGTATTCATTAATGTTGACATAAATAAATATAAGTGGAGAGAGAGAGGAAGACTTAAAAGTATCTGAAGTTGGGTGAAAATGGAAATCACTAGACTTAATTTGAAGTCAGGATAAGGATTTGGTATGATAAAGCCGCTACCTTAAAGACCAAACCCACCCCCGCGCCCCACCCTTGATAAAGCCAGCTAACACTAACAAAAGACCAAACACCACACCACCGGCGCCCCACCACCCCCCCCCCCACCCAAGGACTCGAAGAGGAACAAAAAACCAACTAGCAGGTGTGTATGAACTGAGTTGAAAAAAAAAACAAACACCAAACCACAAAGATAACAAATACTAGCGTCATTGTTAGGGGGTGCTCTCGATTGTATCGGTATATTAAGAACCAAATTTAAAAACCCCACAAAAATAAGAACTCCAGTTTCAGTTGAGTTTTGTATATATACCTCGTCTAGAACCTTCTCTATATATTAATTTCACTTTTTTCTTTTTTGGAAAAACACTATGCCTGATAAAAAATACTATGAGAATACATACAAAAAATGTGAAAATATACCCGATTTCAATATAAATATAATATAATATATTCTGCTAATATTTTTATTAATTATCTTAACTAAAACCCAATATATCTCAAAATCTTATTAAAACCTAATTAACTATAAAGAATAAACACCCCACTAATAATATGGAAATTTAATAAATTACTGTTATTCAAATATATCACTCTTACCTCGCACCCACCTCAACCCATATACAACCTGACAATCCTACAACCTCTTATCCAAATCCTCTTACAAAATCACTGATTTTCTTACTAGAATAACTTTAAAAACCTATTTAATATCGAATTTAGCACCCTTTAAAATTTCAGAATCATAAAGAAAAAGGACATGTCTTTGTGTAATGCTTCAACCATAGCATCGCTTGACATCGAACAGTTTCGTACGCAATCACATGAGCCAATAAAATATTGAAAGTTCGAAGTTCTTGACTCAGCAACCTGACTTATGCAGTGCAACTTAAATATCTCATGCTTCTCGTAATAAGGATAGCATAGATAAAAAGAAATAGACAAATATAAGATAAAAGACACAATATAATCACAACCAGAACCTAGGAAATTCAAACCATTACCCAAATTAAGAAATAAATATATACGAAATTAATAACTCGGAAAGAAAAAATAGTGGTATACTAATTTTCACTTATCGTAGCAGGAATACCACTAAATTTAACTTATAATATAGGATGACATCAATCTGAGTAATTTTCGAAAGATCCGACGCTGACAACGATATTAAGAATTCATGAATCGACAACCAAAAGAAGCCAGTGCCAATACGCAAATAATACTCTCATTGTACAATACCATATAATGTACTATAACACCAAACTGGTCAATGAGCTAACGATCTCAGACGAGAATAAATTGACTCTCACACAAAGCTTCAGAGAGCACCATAAACTAGCATCTCGCCTAGAAAAACAATAATCTGGCCTATGATAATACAATACCCCCCCCCCCACCCCGGTGGGGAAAAAAACCACTAGCAGGGTGTATGAATAGAGTTTTGAGTAACAATATAGGTCATTGTTAGGGGGTGCTCCTTGTTCGGTTAGAACCAAATTAAAACCAACAAAATAGAAATCCAGTTTCAGTTGAGTTTGGTTATTATCTTAGAACCTTTTTGATTTTTGGTTGCCTGATAAATACTAATGATATTAACTGAAATATCCGATTTTCATTAATTAATATATAAATTCTCTAATATTTTTATTAATATCTTAAAACTAAAACCATATTTTCTTATAAATACATATAGTTAATAATGGATATTATAAATTACTGTTATTCAATTATAATTTATGAACTACTATAACTGAAATCTACACCATTATTCCATCAAATCATGTTTCTTCTATAAACTTTAAAAATATTCATATCAATTAGCACCCTAAAATTTCAGAATCATAAGAAAAGGACATTGTTTGTGAATGCTTACCTCATCGCATTGCATCGCAGTTGTAAGCCTATGAGCAATAAATATTGAAGTTCGATTATTGGCTAATGACTTCAGTGCACTTAATATCTCTGCTTCTGTGGTGCTGTCAAGTGCACTTGTAGCTTCATCACACAGCCTGATGAAATCAAACCATCCAATTTATATATACGATTAACTGGGAAGAAAATAGCTGGTATACATTTCACTTTCGTGAGGATCACTATTTAAACTTTATATGGATTTGACATCTTGAGTAATTTGAGTCCGAGCTGCAAGATTAGGTTCATAGTTGACAAAGGATGCATAGAATATATCATTGGTAATACTATAAGCTACACGGTAAATGCTACGTTCAGGAGAAAATTGCTTCCACAAGCTTCAGAAGTACAATAACTGAATTGTAGAAATCATTGGCTATTTACATGCTGCAAAGAGAGATTACCATACAACAGCATACCTATTAGAAAACTATGACAATAGAAATAGTTCATAGTGCAAAGCGTACAATATTCCCTGCAACCAGCACTAAATGTAAATAGAATGAGAATATCGACATTACAAAATAGCCAAATAATGCTGGTTCAACCAAACTAGCAATGCCTACCAAATAGTTCCATCACTGGGAAGAAATACCAAAAACTACACATGTTAAAAGTGCATGATAAATGAAACAATGCTTAAATGATTTAAGTTGATTTTGATTAGATTGTCAGTGTTGGGTAATTTAAGTTTGATTTTGAGAGATAATAGCCTATTCAAGATATAATATATGCATAAAAAAGTTTGACCAAGAAGAAGAATGGAGTGCTTACAGAATAGGAGGTGCTTTCAAAAATGCACGTGCCAATGCCACACGCTGCTTCTCACCACCACTTAACTGAAGCAAAATTGCATGACTATTAGAAGGTGAACAGTTCACTGCTATGCAGATAATGCATCTCCATTAAAGTATTAATTAAATAGTATAAGCTCTTTATTCTGCATTGCATTTTCCCATGTAGCTTTCAATATCCCAGTACTGCAGAACCCTAGGTTCTCCATCTTCAACATAAACCAAATATATTGGTAGAGGCTACAACTTTATATAGAGAAATAAAATAGAAAACTGTAAACCCTAGAAAAATAGTAAATTATTTATTAACTTTCCGATTGCTAGAACGGCTTAAAAAAGAAAAAAATTGCGAAAAGGCCTCTTGGGTCATGATTGGCACCTATACCAATGGGAATCTGCATCACATAGTCTATTCAATTTCTCATCAAATGTGTTTTAATGAGTGTTCTCATAGCTGAAGTTAACATCGAACAGAGAAACTCAGAATTAAGTTCATTGGTTCGATGGCTAAACCACAGGTTTTTTGATAATATTAACTTGCAAATATTATTAGTTAATAATGTACAAAATTTTACTTACATCATAACATTATATGTATGCATATCATAATTTTTATATGTGATTGTGATTTCAAAACTCAGAAATATATATATATATATATAATACAGACATGCACAAACACGTAGACAAGTATACAATGTCCCTTGGTGGTTTAAAAGAAAAGGTGACTTTATTCCCATGGAGTATGAGAATGATGTAGCAGTTACTAGTTTTCCATTTCTAGTTATGATCATTTTGGCAGGAAAGCAAATCTTTTAAACATACAACAGTAACTCAGTCAAGTTCTTGAGATGGGTGTACACAACCATACCCAAGAATGCATTTATTTATTTAATTCAATAGACTTCTTACCTTGAGCCCTCGTTCCCCTACCACAGTAGAATATTTCTCAGGGAAGTTCATGATAGTATCATGGATTGCTGCACGTCGAGCAGCATCATACACCTGTGTGTAAGTAAGTGTTAAGCAAATTATAACCAAGCACAGTCAACACTTTCATAGTCAACAAATTTAAGAAGAGACAAGACACACTTCCTCCTCTGTTGCTGAAAGACGACCATAGTGAATGTTGTGAAATATTGTATCATTGAAAAGTACCTGCACATTGAGTAAGAGTAGCAGACTCATCCACATCACTACTTCGCAAAATCTTACAAGGGATCTCTTAATTTATCAGGAAAATAGGAAAAATAAATAAAAAACAACTGAATTACTGAAAACTTAACTGTATCTTGTGGGACAACACCAATACACCTTCGCAGACTATCTAGTGTCACATCCCGTATATCTTGGCCATCAATTCTTATCTGTCAAAAAGAAAAGGAAAGTTTCTAATACCAGCATCAGAACCAGTAAAATTGTTAAGCAACATCATTATGGATCAAAGAAATAAGCTCTAGACAGGAAGCAAAGGAGTGAAAGAAACTCCAGAGAGAGTTCTTTTATTTTTCTGTTTGTTTTTGATTGATTATTCCACCAGATTTAAAAGGAAAACTTCAGAAAAAGAAAAGTTAAAAATTGATTGGACCCTTAAACTATTAACAAATGAAAATTGAATTGATCAATTGACCTGTAAGCTAGTAAAATGAAAGCGTCAGTTCTTACACTTCCAGAATGAGTGTCAAAGAACCTGAAGAGCAATCTAAGAATAGTTGACTTGCCTGCAAGGATATACCAATCAAGATTAATTAACATGGCAGCAAACTAACTAAATGAACAGAAATTCCTTTATCTAACAGCATGGGTATTACTTCAAACAAAACGCATACAAATTTCGCGTTGTTAAAAATCATAAAAGAAATTGCTCAATCTAACAGGAGTTTGGAGGTGGGGGGCTACTGCCACCACGTTTTCTCCCATTTTTTTTTGAATTTGTTTTTGCTCTTCTTTAGCAGCAAGTGTTCCAGCTAGCAAAAAAGATACTCTCATTGCTTGCTAGCCATTACGACAAGTTAATTACGCCTTATGACCTATGTAGTACTTCATGCGTTTGGTAAAATTAGAACAAAATGCTTATATAAATGCTTAGGCAACCCCAGCACATAAGACCAATGTTACCATGGACTGGAATGTGCCAATTTGAAGAAATAATTAATGGATAAAGTTATCACGATAATTGTTCTGATGTTTAAAAAAATGATGCAAGTACAAATGGATGAAGGTAATAGGAACTCCAACAAATGAAAGCCTTACCACTGCCACTTGTGCCAACAATAGCCACACTTTTCCCAGCTGGCACAACAAAAGATATGCCATCAAGAATCTTTCTTTCCACCAGGTAACTGTTACAAGTTCCAACTTTAGAACATGAGCAATTAAACATATTGATGATTAAATATCTGTAAACTTAATCTTCCAGAGATCTATACTGTGTTCTTTCAAATTATCTGCAGTTGTTTGATATTGATATTACATCAAGAGTCTAAATTAGTAATTTTTCAAAAGAAAATCATAAAATTGATTAAGGCAAGCCCAATAGTCTATAACCGCAAGGGCTAACAACCAAAAAAATCTAATAATAACATGCCTTTTCAATTGTATCCATTTTTGTTAGAATTATCAATAGAGATTTAACATTGATAAAAATTATAGCCAACAGTAATGAAAGAAAGCACCAATTGTACCTGAAGTGTACATTATCAAACTGAATGTTGCCCCCATCTAACTTAAGAGGCTTTGCATTATCTTTATCTCTAATATCAGCCCTTTCCTGAAAAATCATTAAAACAGAAAAATTTAACCAATGCCTCTCAAAATAAACATAAATTTAAATAACTTAGATCAATAAGCAGATGTTATTTGCATATATTTTTTTACACTTCTTATTCTTCCATGCTTCCATAAAGGAAAAAAAAAAGAGAGAACAAAATCAGTTCACAATGTAAGGATTGTTTCAAAACGTGACAAAAAAGAAGAAGAGGATGCAATATGGAGGAAAAACAATGAAACCAAACGTCAACTCCTGAACTGCAAGAAACTTATGGGAAGATCATTTATGACTACCTCAAGTAATTGAAACATGGACTTCATGTCAACAAGACTCTGGATGGTCTCACGATAAACACTGCCAAGGAAATTAAGTGGAAGGGAGAGCTGGAAGAGAAGCCCATTCACCATAACCTGCATTTTATATATAGATACAAAACTTGTCGACCATCAATTAATCATTTCAACACAATATAAAACTTTTCTAACAGGTGATTGTATGAAGTGTTACCAAATCACCAACAGTCATCTGGCCATTCATAATCCCATGGGAACATAACACCATAGCTACTGATAAAGCTGTACTAAATATAACATTTTGACCAAAATTCAGTAAAGCAAGACTTCTCTGTGTTTTAATTGCCGCATCTTCATATCCTGGAAAAAATCATAGTCAAATAGTGAGAACAGAGAAGTAAAAACTGAAGCATTATAAAGTTGCAGGACACAATACACGCACAAAAACACTCTTAGAAGTGCTAAATAAAATATATTAATGTAATATAGCACGAAAAAGATATTTCTGCCACAGTGCATTAAATGCAATGGACTATTATTTTGAGTTAATAACTTGTTGGATAGCCAACCAAAAAATTGCCCGCTCAAAATCAAAAAAAATTATGAAGCAGGCTTTTACAGGCCCGCGGCAAGGATTGTGTCAGCAAGTTGGTGAGAAGAATTCAGTCGAGGTTGTTTCAATTGAGTGCAAGAAGGGGAAACTAGAAAGAGTGGGCAGTTATATTTAGTTTTGTTCAGTTTTTTTTCTGTAAGTGTTACTTCCTTGCATTTTGCATGCATCATAGGATGAGTTTCATATTGGGTGGTTATTAGCGCTTACTCTTTTGTTCAGTTGTATTGAAAAATTTGTGGGTCATGACAGTTTTAAACACTCCTAAAGGTTTGGCTTCGGTAAACTCAGAGGTCAAAGACTTCTCTCTAACAAGCTCTTGTTATTTTCTTTAACAACTACAAGATAGGTCACAAAGGTAGGAAAATTCATAAATACAACCACTTCTCTCGAATCCTCATTGGTTTTCAATTAGATCATCTGTAACTAGATCCCATACTCAGGACTATAACAAACACAAAAACTTGAGTAGTTTTCCTAGAGAAGTTCCAGGGTATCATTAGGAAATAGAATTTTGCTCATGCAATGATAACAAGATAACAATTTACAAGTTGAAGCAGCACAATCACAAACTAAACAGAAAGCAGACCCAGAAAAAAATTAAATGAAAACTATATAATTATATGCACTTAACTGCAAAGTTATATAAACTATTTCAGTTTTTTCAAATTTCCAACTTCCCTTAAGTTATAAGTTAATTTGAGGCTGAGCTGTGCTAGAATGACAATTTTCTAGCATAGAAATTATAAGTCCTTCTAGGAGCCAGGCATAAGCTCATTGACACATATTCAGGCACGCAGCAAAAGATCAGCAAAATGCATAAGTTATACCAAATCTTTATGAATCTGAGAATCTCTATCACCCACACCCCAAATGAAAATGTGTGATTATAGATATGGTTATTGAAACGTCAGATATCAAGGAACTACTAAATGAAACTTCGCATTAATCTATTAAGTAGATGAATAAAATAAATAAAACTAGATGCTTAATCTACTTACTCTTTAGGAACTCATCATATTTAACAGCTTCATAAGCTTCATTGTTGAAATATTTGACAGTCTAAAACATGGAATTGAAAAAATAGGTAAGATAGCCAAGAAAAAAAAAAAAAAGAATTGAAAAATAAATAATAAAAACAGAATTCAGAAATAAAAAATTAGAATCTCACCTCATAATTGATTAGAGAATCAATTGCCCTTGTACTAGCATCATTATCAGCTTTATTCATGGCCTTCCTATACTTGGTCCGCCACTAGAAAACAAGGAGCCATTAAAATCATATTGACCAACATATAAAATCTTACTCACTTGAGAAATAAGATTCAAGAGAGAAGGAAATGAAGGCAGCCCGTCTTAATATCCCTCCACCTGCACCCCCTAAAAAATGGCATTGGAACAGGCCTTAGCGCAAGGAAAGGCTAAATGAGAATGGTTTATTTGAGTGTCACTTTTTTCATCGTAGTTTAGGAATGGACATTCCAACATAGGATTTCCGGTTGTTGCTTGGAAAATGAAGAATCCAAAATTTTTTTTAGTTGATAATTTTTTGTTGCTCAATTTATTTTAGGTGATGTTTGATAACACTATTTAACGCATAAAATTGAAATTTTCACTAGTTATTAGTTTTAGTTGTTTGATAACACTTATTTATTTATCTCTTAAGGATTGCTTGGTACAACTGATGCAAGCATTAGATTTTCAGCAAACTTAGGAGTAATTTTGTTGGCCAGATGGATATAGCTAGTTGCAACAGAATTTGCTCCGAGTCCAAAATGATTTGTAGAATTTTTTTTTTTTTTTTTTTTTTTTTTTACAACTGTATTTATTGTACTCTCTTAAGGATTGCTTGGTAAACAACTTGATGCAATCATTAGATTTTATCCCAGCAATTTACAAGTGTGGAGAGTAACTTGTTTGTTCAAAAGGATATTTATAAGACTGATTCAAACAGAGATAATGCAATTCCGAGTTTTCTCTTAAAAATGATTTGGATATAAGAACTTATTTTTTTAATTCTTTTCAAGTATGTTTTTTTAATTGTGTGAATTCCTGTCGCATTTTCCCAATTTAACCTTGTACCTAGCGAGCGAGTTAAATTAATAAGTGTAATGTTAGACTTTGTTGAGTTCACTTCATCTATATCATTTGATCAACCAGCGTTAAGCCCATTAATTCCTAACCTCTTATATCTAGTTGAGGTGTCTCGAGTTGTATATATCCTTTAAAGTTCCATTAAATAAAGATCCTATAGTAGTCAATATGGGACTTATGACACTCTGCAACAAATTGAAATATGCCATAACGAAAAGATAAGTTATGAAAATCTTATATGCAGAACAACTTCCTTCCATAAGTGGTTTCTAGTTCTCCATAACCTCTCATACTTTAATGGCCACCCTCCTAACTAATTCTAATAGCGAGTGATCATCACACACTTTCAAGACTATCATACTTAACTTCTAAACTAGAGAAAATATATATCAGTGGTATAATAATAGTTTTCTTAGGTCAGTTGTCTGATAAATTTTTTTTTTTTTTTTTTTTTTTTTTTGTTGGTATTCCTTTATTGCTCACATTAATTTAGGTGGTGTCTTTGTTGCTCACATTAACAACAACTAAGCCTTAATCCCAAACTAGTTGAGGTCGGTTGTATATATCCTTTGTTTCCATTCTGATCTATTCATAACTAAACCCACATTAATGCCAAGAAGTAGTAGATCTTTGAGACAACTTCCTTCCATGTGGTTCTAAGTCTACCTCTTCATCTTTTGGCACCCTCCACAATCGACATATCAACCATTCAGTACTTAAAATTAAAATTTTCAGTGATTATTAGTTTTAAGTTGTTTGATAATGCTTATTTACATACCATTAGGGCCCACTTGGCATTGTTATTATAAGTAGCACACTTTGGGCCAAAATTATAAGCAATTTTCTTGGAGTCTATGTGTAGATTCTTGCAATAGAGTTTTATACAAGTGCAAAACTGATTTGGGAAAAAGCTCATATTTTGAACTTTTTAGTTTTTCCTAAAGCAGTTTTGGACTCGTACAAAACTCTACTGCAAGTGGCTAGATCCATTGGCAAACAAAGTTTCTCATAATTGTGGACCAAAATCTGGCTACATAGTGTTATTAGAATCTTACAATTGCAATTCGAATCATATGATTCGAGTCAATTCCCATGCGCAATGATATGAATCTTACCGGTCAATCAGAATTGACATGAATCGTATGCTTCAAATCTTTAAATTCAATTTGATTCTCAATTCTCGATTCTTGATTCTGAAAATAAGGATTTCAATTCTTGATTTGATAGCTATGCCGACGTATAGTAGCAATGCCAAATGGGTCCTTAAAATACTTAATTAATGTAAATTCACTTAAAATGATAAGTTAATAATCTTAACCTAAAATTTGCACCAAATACAATAAGTCACTGAGCTCTAAAACATATTTGCAATTAGAAATTTAAACAATTAATTTTAATCTTATCAAATACCACCTTAAGCAAAAAGAAACCTGATACATTTGTAAAAATTCATCATATCTTTAATTTCTTTTCAAGAATGAAAACGAAGTGGACTAATGTCTGATTCTATTCCTGTTTTATGGTTAGAATGGTACTAACAAACCCATGCTGCATAACAAAATGAATGAAGATAAATCTGCAGCAGATGGCAGTAATAGAAAACAAAACTGAGTACTCAATAATTGTTAAGAACCTACATGCATGTGGGAAGAAAGAATTGCAGAAGATACGTTACCTGCGTCACAGACAATGTGAAAGCAACATATGCTGCAACTGAAAGTGAAGTGATCCATGCAAAAGGGGCTCCGAATTTGTATGCCAAAATACCTGCCACCATAGATATCTAAAAGGATGTGTGTTAAAAGGCTATCAATGATGTTCAAAAGCAAACAATCTCTTCAGTGGAGACATATTACTTTGTTAGGTTGTAACTGAGAAATTGATGGGTCAGTATAGACAGATATATATCACGTATCCACATCATAGACAACTATAAGGCCGCATCAAAGAGAACTATAATTAATACTGTAAATATCAGATGCAAAATAAACTAGATCTGGCCTGTAATGTTATGAAAAAGGGTGAAGATATAATCATACCTCTAAGATAGTTGGCACAACATTGAACACCATTGAAGAGAGGATAAAATTTATTGCACGGCTACCACGGTCAATTATTCTATTTAACGCACCAGTTTCTCGACTAGAAAGATAGTAAACAAATTGGAACAGAAGAATATAGTAAGTAAGTTGTTAAAAACACCATTTAATAGAAGCAATATGTATCAAGAAAAATACCTAAGATGGTAGCGGAGGTCCAAGTCATGCAAATGTGAAAACACCTGCACTTTTAAAATACAATTGTATTAAGTAAAATGGAAGGAAATGTGAGATACAACAGCAGAAGCAGACCAACAAAGTATCTTAATCAAATGAAGCTTTGATGAAAACATGCTAAAGCAGAAAGAAAGCATTAGAACATATCATAATTTACCTTCCTAGACACTTGACGGATTGTTCGCAGAGCTACCTTAGAGAACACAGCAGTCCTCAATTCTGCCAGAATAGAGTTTCGCCCAAATATAAGAAGAAAAAAAATGAAAAAAAGGTCAAAAGTCTAAAGAGCAAGTGTACATGTATAAAAGAATTACCATTGAAAGCAGAAGCACAAGAACGGGCAATGCCATATCCAATGAGAACAGAAGCAGGGGTAGCAAATAGCGCAATGAGAGTAGAATTAGCAGTGGTAAAGGAAGCAAGGGCAGTAGCATTGCCAGTGGCAGTAGTCAACCAATCAACAGCAAGCTTAAATAGAAAAGGGACCTGAACGTTCAAGACCTTAGCACCAATAAGAAAGGCAAGAGCAGTCACAACCCTTAAGCGAAACTCCAAATTATCTTTCATCCATAAATAACTGGCAAGTGTACGAAGAATTTTCACATCAGCAACTTGTTTCTCTTCTGGTTTAGCAGAACTAATAGATGGTTTAGCTCCATTGTCCTTATTAGGATTGGCAGCAGAGCTTGAGAACAATACACGCCCATTTAACATTGCACTCTGTTAAAATATGGATATAAATTAGGCCGAAATTAAAGATTTTTTTTTTTTTTCAAAAGAAGGAAACAGTATGAGCTATGCAATCATGTTTAACAAACCGGTTGCCTGGAAGCAGCGGCTGAAAAAGGAGAATCGGAGAGGAAAGAGTTGCAATTGAGATGATGTCCAGTGGAACCAGAACCAGAAATTCTTCGATTCTTCCATGGAAGAGGCTGCGTTGTAGAGTATAATCTATTGCTGTTGCTATAGTTGGTTAGCGAAGGAAAATTGATATAAACAGAACTGCCACCAACAGTGGCTGTGCTTCTAATAAGAGAAGAACGGAAGCAAGTGATTGATTTCTTGTAAGAATCATTGTGGAGAATAAGCTCTCGAGCGCCACACCTAATCCATTTGGACGCAACGGCTGCTCCTAACATTCTTGCTTACTTCTTCTTCTTCTTCTTGGTGTTATCGTTGTTACTGTTGAATCCAAATAAATAAACGGCGGAGCCGCGGCGGTGCAGGGTCTGAGAACTGAGATTGAGGTTTTCGGCCTTTTACGACATCGGTTTCAATAGAATCTGTTTAGCCAATCATATTTTACCTCAGATTGGACACCAACTGTTTCTGCATTAGTTCATGATTCTGTATTTAACTGCGATTTTGGTAAACGTTCGGTTTGAGACATGATATGACAGGTTGTTCATCACATTTATAATTCATATTTTCTCTCTCTTTTTTTTTTAAATGATTCTTTTCTGCTTGTTAAAAAGATGACGATACATAATTTTCTCCCTTATTTTCACCGAATAATTATTTATCCCTTTTAACTTTGCAAAAGACCTCGTCCACCTTAATTTTTATTTTTTTAGTTATTTCACTCCTTACCAAGCTGATCAGTGGAGCGTGAAATAAATAGCTGTACAGAGTGTGTGAACTAGGCATGGCTGGTTTACTGAATCACCAGTTTCAGTTCACTGAATCGTCGGTTTGAAATATTTAAAATTTTAAACCAGAATCGACCATTAAACATCTGGTTCCGGTTCCGGCACTGTTCAGCACGGTTCCGAGGAACCGACGGTTCGAATTACGGTTCCAATTCAGTTCTGACATTACGCAAATTTTTAAAAAAATAATAAAATTTTGATTTTGAATTCATAAATAAATAATAATTTTTAAATTTTTAAATTTTATTAATTTGAATCCAAATAAATATTAAACGCGAGCCGCGCGGTAGTCTAGTGCGTACTAAAGAACTGGTATGAGTGACTTTTTTTACGACATCGGTTTCAAATAGAATCTGAAATTTAAATAGTTCTCAATCATAAATAGGTGTTTACCTCAGATTGGACACCATATATCTGAGAATATATTTCTGCATTAGTTCATGATTCATGTATTTAACTTGAACGATGGTAAACGTTTAAATAGGTTTGATAACATTAGAATAATATGGACAAGGGTTGTCATCACAAATTTATAATTCAATTTTTCTCTCTAAACTTTTTTTTAATTTATATAATGATTCTTTTTCTGCTTTGTTAAAAAGATGACTAAGAAATATACATTAATATATTTCTCCCTTATAATTAATCACCTGAGAGTAATATTACTTAATCCACTTAACTTAACTTTGCAAAAGACCTAGTTCCACCTTAATTTTTATTTTTTTTAGTTTATTTCACTCCTTAACCAAGCTGTATCAGTGCGAAGCGTGAAATAAATGCAGTCTTGTACAGAGTGGTCGAACTTAGAACATGAAAGAACTGGAATAGGTTACTTAGCAAATCCACCAAGTTTTCAGTTCATACTGAAAATAAAATCTGTTAAAAATGTCGGTTTGAAATATTTAAATTTTAAACCAGAATCGACCAGTTATAAACCACATCTGAGGTTCATATTTCACTTGCTAATTAAATAGGGATATGGTACACACTTACACAACAAATAATTTTCTGTGGTGCAGGCCTGTTTTTTCAGGCACTGGTCCAAACAAAGTTCAACTATGGAAAATTTGGACGATGTTTGGGTGGGTTCCGCCCAGCGAATCCGTGACCTGGCGTCCTTCGTATTATTAAGCTCTTGAGTAGGTCTCAATATAATCAGTTTCTGTAAACCATTACTGGCAGAAGATTTTTTAAAAAAATAATAAAATTTTGCATTTTTGAATTTCTACTAAAATTCCTTTACAATTATATAAGTAATTTCTGTAAATTTGTTAAAAATTTTAATTAATCTAAATAAATTTATTATAAAATTTTAAAAGTTGAATATAGACTTCTATTAATAGAAACTTAATCTTTTTATATATTAACTATTCACAAAGTATATATATTAAAGATTAAGATTTGGTACTTGAGATTACTTTAAATCCATCATGGAATTAACTTACATTTATAACTTTGCAAATTTTGCTAAATTTCTAATAAATTATATAGAAAAACTATAATGGAAAAATATAAAATTAGAGGATGAATAATATAAATGGATAGTTGGAAATATTTATTATTTTTTGCAAAATATTTCGTGAGAGAAAATTATATAATATAAATATATTATCAATATTGATTAGTTAAATTTTTAATATGGAATGAGAAAAAGAGTTATTGATTAGAGAAAGAATTTGGAATTGGAAATGTAAAGAAAATACAAAAATAAACGATAGATAAATTCCAATATTAAGGAAAATAATAGCAATAGAAAAATAATGAACTATGGAAATTTGAGAGGAATTTTTAATTGAGAATAAGAGAAGAGTTTAGGATATATTTGGTGTGACAATAAAAAATAATCATTCAACTCATCATATTATACATGTTTCTCATTATTAGTTTTCCAAATTTGTCCTTATAAACAGAAAAAATAACATCCTATATTTTTGGATAATTTAGTTAATTATAGGTAAATAAATAAATAAAGATTGAAAAATGAATTAAAATTTATTACAAAAATTAAAATAAAAAAACCACCTTATCATATCAAAAAACTTATCCGTTACGCTCTTTTTTTGTACACTTTGACAGAGGCATTTTTTTTTTATAAATCAAATATTTATGTTACCCATTTTTTGTATAAATATTTTAAAGTGTAACAAATTATAATATAGTGTGAGTAATTTTGTTTTCATTTACTTTATAACTTATGTACGTGGTAACATTATTAATAACTTAACTATATTATCTACTAAATCAAATTCCGCAAAATAATTGGTTGTGAAATAAAAAATCATCAACTCATCATATTTATACATGTTTCTCATTTATTAGTTTTCCAAATTGTCCTTTATAACAGAAAAATAACATCTATATTTTTGGATAATTTAGTAAATTATAGTAAATAAATAAATAAAGATTAAAAAATGAATAAAATTTATTTACAAAAAATAAATAAAAAAACACCTATCATATCAAAAACTATCCGTTACGCTCTTTTTTTGTACACTTGAGAGCATTTTTTTTTATAAATCAACTATTTATGTACCATTTTTTGTATAAATTAAGTCAAAAAATGTGTATTTTTTTTCATTACTTTTTATAACTTATGTACTATTATACTTCTTTTCACTATAAATCAAATCAACTACAATAAAATCAAGTGATATAAATTTTTTTATAAAAATTTTAAGCTACAATTTTTTTGTGAACCAGACCGGAATCGCCGGTTCTAGTTCATATTTTAACATTCACATGAACTTTAACCGGCCCTTGAACAGCCGGTTCCGGTTCAAAATTATGAACCGCCAATTTTGATTCAATTCTGGTTCGTCTACAGTATGATTTAGTTCCGATTAAAACCGAACCGGTGGCCATGCGTAGTGTGAACAATAATTTTTTTAATCCTAGGTACAAGAAACGGCGTTGAATTGAACTTCAATTGCTTATTAGAGCGCCCAAATCAACAAACTTTATCTGATCTCAAATTTATTCTCTCTACTCCTCCAATTATGCCAACAACACAGATGAGTGTGGTGTTAAATGACAAAAAAAAAAAGAAAAAGATTTAAAGATAGAGGCGACCAAATTTTTTATTTTTTTCTCAAATGAAAATTTGAGCGGTTTTTGACAGAGGTGTTAAAATCTTCACATTTTAGTTTTTCTCTTTTTGTTATTTCTTATATACGTGTAATCCAACGTGGCATATTAATTGATTATATTTTAACTACTTATGACACATTAATGTAATTGTAATTCATGCATAAGTTTAAATTTGGCAAGGGGTGAAATAGCTAAAATAAAATAAAAGTTAAAATGGATAAGAGGTCTTTCATAAAGTTAACGATACAAATGGTTATTTGATGAAAGTTTGGGAAGAAAATTATGCATTCCGCAATTAAAAAATTGTGTATTAGATATTTATGTTTGGTCTATGGTAAGATAACCAATAGTAGAGACCGTAGTAAGAGATTTTAAACAAGAAATAAGGCTTAATATGTTTAAAGTGATGTACTTACATAAATAAAAAAATAAAAAAATACATTTATTAAAGAAAAATGGTTTTAATATTTTTAATTAATAAAAATTTTTTAAAAAAGTTTAAACTTGATGATAGGTGTTATTTTTATAGTATTTTTTAATATAGTTTTTATCAAGATTTTTAATATTTTTTTATTACTCTAATTATTTTTTATTTAGTTTTATTTCTATTTTTGTTCAAAATTTCCTTAAATCATAATTCACTTTATCTTAAGAAAATTTATAAGGTTTTAGCACAGAAAAGAGCAAAATAAAGTAAAATACTCAGGTTTTAGCACGCCCTGCCCGTGCACCTCAACACGCCCATGCTGAATTCAAGGAAAATCAAGTGGAGACTTAGACTCTAGTACGCCCAAGCCGTGCTATATGGCACGCTCCTGCCAAAAGAGGACATTAACACAAAGGCGTGTTTGCTTAAGCATGGCCCATGCTGTATCTCATCCTGGAGACTCAGAGCCTAGCACGCCTTAGCCGTGTTATGTGGCACACCCGTACCACAAATCCTTATCTAGGCGTGCCCATGAGCATGGAAGAGTCCTAATTGAAAAGAAAATTCAAAGTATAAACAGCTTTCTACTTTCAAGAGGATTTCTTATTTAATGAGGACTCTATTTCTTAAACGAAGTCCGATTTTCTCCCAAGAAATCTATATAGAGAGAGGAGTCATTCATTGTAGAGATCTCCAGTTTTGATAATTTTTGTTCTATTGTTCTTCTCTCTCCAAGACTTCAAGTGTTCAAGATTTGTGCCAAGATTCAAGGAAGTTGTCCAGAATTAATTATTGATTAGTTTTTATCTCTAAACTCTTAATCTTGTTTTATTCTTTCATTATTCTGATTGATTATGAAATTTTTATCATGTATTATTGAGTTTTATTTAATTATTATGTCGAACTAAACTCTCCTATTTTCTTTAATATATAACTAAGACAATAAGTTCCTGATTGATAATCTTCCCAAGAAATCTTTATTTATTAGTAGCAACGAAAAGAGGAGTCAATATCATTGTAGAGATCTGTGCCAGTTTTGATAATTTTTGTTCTTATTGTTCTTCTCTTCTCCCAAGACTTCAAGTGTTTTCAACGATTTGTTGCCAAGATTCCAAGGAAGTTGTTCCAGAATTAATTATGATTAGTTTTAATGCTCTAAAACTCTTAATCTTTTAATTTTTTAATCAATTATTCTGAAATTGATTATTTAGATTAACAATTTGTTAATTTTTTCCATAATCAAATGTATAAATAATATTTAGAGTTGGTTTTATTTATAAAATTATTTATAGAATCGAACTTAGATTTACTCCTTTCAGATTACTTGGAAATATTGGAAAGTTTCCTGTTATCACTTAATTATAATTTTCTTTGTCTAGATTGCTTTATTATTAATATCAGATTAGAGAAGATTATATATACTTAATGTGAGTTAAAATAATACTAAACTCTCGTACTAGGGATTTGATGTAACTTAATTTCTTTTCTAATTTATAATATCAGATTTGTTTTTCTTTGTTAAAAGTATAATTTATTATTGAATTTAGTGCTTTCAGGCAGAGTTTCTCCCATGTATTGATTTATTTTATTAATCACTATCTGGAGAAGGGTTTTTAATATGAAACATGTACTAAATTACATGAGAATAATAACTTGATGCGGAAGCCATATGGTTTGACTCATGGGGGGTTTTCATAAATTAATTACCTTAGGTTATGAATTCACAAAACAAACAAACTGAATGATTTAATTAATGTTTGATTGCGCTATTGAAAGATAGGTAACTAGACCGGGTTAAAATAGCTAACAATACATCGGGAGCGCTTATTAGTGATTTTAGGGTTATTTCCTCTACTTGAATAATTAAAATTGATTAATGAACTAATAAAATAAATTGGAAAGAATTAAGTGAAGTCAAAATCTCTAGTAGCTTTTAATCCTTGAGTATGAACTAATAAAATAAATTTGTGAAAGAATTTATACAGTGCATATCGTTATACAAAAATTCTCTAAGTAGCTTTTAAATCCACTTGATTCTTTTATAAAATCAAAAATTAGCTAAATAATGGTGTGTGTGCTTTATTCTGCGTTTATTACAATCTTTTTAATATATTAGTTCTGAATTTTGATATGGTGTCTCTCTAAAATAACTCTTTTCTTCCGTAGCACATTCCGTTATTATGAAATAAAATAAAATAGTTAACATAGTATTTTTTGATACTTTAGGTATATAATTTTTTTGAGATAGTAAATAACATATCTTTCTTCTCATTCTATATTACTTGAATTGCGATTTCGAATCTTAAATTTTGCGAAAATCACTGTTACCTTGAAATTAGAAAAAAATTATTTTTAAAAAATATAATAATTTTAATAAACACAAATTACTAAATATAAATATATAAAATGATTTCATAAATAATTTAACAATTTGGGGATACAAAAATTATAGAGGAATAGGTAAGTGATATCTAAATTAATTTAGTTTATGTAAATTATTAATCATTCTATATATTTACTAAAACAGAGGATTTAGTTCTAGTGTCTAAATATTGGTTGCCAAGTTAACGGGGAAGGGGGTTAAATTGTAAAAAAAAAAAAAAATGATTTTTGAAAAAAATTGTACATGAATTTTCTAAATTCAATTATATTAGCATAGTTCAGACATAATGTGATTTTTACCTTTGACATGGCCCATGTGTGAGGGCTATCTTAAGTTAAATTAAAAACTACAACAAATTGTTGGAAGAGTTTACAACCTTCAAATGTTTTAAATTCCATACAACATAATCTGGTTTAACATGATTTTTCCTAAATCGCCGTTTAAATAATAATAAGTTAACATAATTTTGATACTTGGTATATAATTTTTGTGGATACGATACTCTTCTCATTCTATATTACTTGTTGCGATTTCGTACATTTGCGAAAATCACTGTACCTTGAAATAGAAAAAAATTATTTAAAAAATATAATAATTATAAAAATACAATATAATTAAATATTTCATATAAAATTTATAAAATTATAAAATAGGTATTATATTAAATATTTAGTTTGAAAAATATTTATTATTATAAAAAAAGATTTTTTATTCTTTTGGTGCAAGTTAACGGGAAGGGGGTTAAATTGTAAAAAAAAAAAAAAATGATTTTTGAAAAAAATTGTACATAATTTCTAAATTCAATTATGTGTTCAGACATAATGGGTACTTATGACATGGCCCTTGAGGTTCGTTAATAACTACAACAAATGTTGAGTTTTACAACCTCAAATGTTTTTCCATAAAATAATTAACATGACGTAATAATAAATAAAATAATTCCAGTGAAATTGGCCAACAACTCTATTGCTTGCAGATTTGGCGATTGAAAAATTTTTGTCCTCTTGTAACGCATTTCTCAGCTATATATGATTCCTATTAACCATCTTATCTTGTTTCTCGACCATCCAACTTTAAAAGTCCATACTTTAAAAAACATTGTTCACTACTTTTCTTTTCCCTCTGCAAAAATTTAAACAAACAAAACAAGAAAAAATGGCTGCAGCCACCTGCTTCCAACGTTTAGGCTCACCAAGCTTTGTAAATCTCCACAACCCAACAACAAGAATAGCTGGAATAAAGAGAAACATAATGTTGCCGACCGGAGGAGAAGCATGGACTACCCGCGGGAGAACTGGGATTAGGGTAGTGAAATGCAGTGGTATAGGAATAGAGGATTTTATAGGAGGTGATTTACTTAAGTTTGATCTAGGACGTTGGCTATCAGATGTGGAAGAGCATAAAGCCCTTGCTATTTATAGCCCTCATGAGGGTGGCTATGAGGGTCGTTACCTTAACCGTTTAAGGTACCAAGGCTACTACTTTCTAGACCTCTCTGCTCGTGGCCTCGGCGATCCCGAAACCACCCTTACCAAGATTCATCCTGTTTGCCCTGTAAGTCTGTTCAAATTTACTCCTTTCAGTCACAAAGGAGCAATCTTCTGATAGAGCTCTTGCTTTTACAGGCGCATCTAGGGAAGCAGCCCATAGCTAGGTGGTACTTTCCACCGGAAGTTGATTATAGACTCGCTGCTTTGCCCCCAGATGCCAAAGGACTTGTAGTCTGGATAATTGAAGCTAAGGTCAGTTCTTTCAGTATAAATCATGCAGGCCAAATATTTATTAATTAGTTGGAACCTGAATAGTTTCTGGCGCAGGTTCTGTCCAAGGCTGAACTGCAGTTTCTGGCATTGCTTCCGTCGCTTCGACCTAAAGTCAGGGTCATAGCTGAATGTGGAAACTGGTAAAAGTTTCCTTTCTAATGATTATTTTCCTGCAAAAATTTCTGCCCATGTATCAAATTGATTTGTTTGCCTGCTATCACAAGTATATTTATCAATCCAGTGTAATGTGCAGGAGAAAGTTTGTGTGGAAACCACTCAAAGAAATTGCAGGGCTTACTCCAGAAATGAAGCCTGAAACATAATATGCCAGCATTGTTGACCTTGTTGCTCAGCTGCAATCTTTCCCTTTAAGTCAAAGGCCTATCCTGCAATTTTGGAGAAAAAGATGAACTTGTATGAATCATACTAGTGTCCTGCAACTTCCACAACATTGTAAAGGGGTTAACAATTGCCAATGCATAACCCATTTATATATCAATCATATAATTATTTGATTCCTTAAGTACATGTATTCAGTTACATAGTTTGACCATGCATCCGTAGAAATTAAATATCAATTCAGTGTCATTTTACAAACTTGACCATCCAGTCCAAAGCTGTCCAGGCATCAAAATGCGTGCTTCCACTAACATATATAAAGTCATAAAATAGTTGCCAATCCCTAAACAACAGCCTTGTGGCAAGAGCAATAGGATACAAATTTCTTACTTCAATCTATACAACAACAGTAACGCTAAGGAAGTTCTATATTGCTGGAACAATCTACGAATCTTATTGATCTAATTTGCAGCACCGATCTCGACCTTGTCTAAGCTTCAAATGTCCTACATTCTATTTTACCCGCCAAAATACATATATGTACAGAAGCCTAAAACTTGGAAACTAAATTCTTCTCTTCCCACGTCTTCGATTATCCAAATCTAGTAGTTTTGATGATGAAGAATTTGGTAATGGAGTAGACAAACCAACAGATTCTGGAATGTCTAGATTGACTCTCATGGATTGATTTGCCATGGCACGCTTGATGTCAAACTCCTGAAATTGCTTAACCTCGATTTTTACTTTGTCAATCTGTTTAGAGAATACATGAAAAGTGCTTGTGAGTACGAACCACAAGTGATTCCTTAGATGTCAACGTGTATACCAAAAGGCCAAAACTTTAGGAGTAAAACAAATTATCCTACCAGTTCAATGTGATGAATGGAAGAATGTGCATCAGAAAGTTTCTTTTGCAGTTCATCAGACTTCTTCTTTCGATATTCCTCATTCTCCATTTGGTTTCCAACCTCACCTAATCCTTGGTACAAATCTGTAAGAGAAAAGGCAGCATATGCCAGATCAGATATGCACCAGTAGTTCTGAAAAAACTCCACAGAATCACAGACTAAGGCAACAACACCTTCAGAACATACCAGGTAAATTTTCCAATGTACCAAAGAAAAAAAAAAATCCAGGTAGTTCTTGTATTTGATGGGCAAAATTATGAATTATAATAATTTGTATGGCTAATGAATCTTGAATATTAGCCTCTACTTAACTGACTATATTTTTTTAACTGAAAAAGAAAAAGAAAAGGGGAAGATATTTCTTCCTGTAATTCATTAGCACAAAAAAAAAAAAAAAAAAAAAAAAAAAAAAAAAAAAAGGATTAACTCAATCACCAGACTAAGGTATCAGACTGGAAACACAACACCTATCAGAACATACCCAGGTAAATCTTCTCTGAGAATGGTTTATATCTCAGAAGCAATATATAATAAAAAAAATCCAGGTAGTTCTTGTATTTTGGATGGGCAAAATTATGAATTATAAGGGTGGGAATTTGTGTATGGCTAAGTGAAAATCGTTTGAATATTGAGCTCTCTACTTAACAATAGATCATCTTGAGTCTTTTTTAACTGAAATAAGAGATACAAGACAAAAAGGGCGAAGATATACCTTTCTTCTCTCTGTAGCTTTCCATTTATAACAAACAAAAAAAACAATAAGAAACCTAAAGACTAAAAAAAAAAAAAAAAACAAAATAAAATCCACCCTTCAAAATCTAAAGAATTCATATAATTATGAGAGAAGAATACATTGGAGTTGTGGAATGGGAGTGTGGTATAAAAATGTAACACTCTGGAACCTCCTCGTTGTCCTTAAGACTGAAATGTTGAGTCTTAAAATAGTTTATAATAGTGCATTCATTAATATTGTCTGTTACGATTATAATAGTGTAGTGTGTCATGGAAGAAAATATGATTTTATAAGCACATACAAACAAAGTATATAATCAATATCAATGATAATGCACGCTACAGAAATGGCACACAAATCCTGTCTAAAAAAAAAAAAAAAAAAAAAAAAAAAAAAACAAAAAAAACCACCCTTCAAAATCGGTATTTGAAATGCATTGAATGGAATGATTGTTGTTTTAAGACTGAAATGTTTGGTCTTAAAAGTTATAAGAGCTTCATATTGTCTATTTATAGTTGCATGGAGAAAAATTTACACACAAAAAGATAAATCATGGTTGCCATTGGCAACAAATCCTTGTTAACAGTCTGTGCTGAAAAATGATTAACAATGGTCAATAGACAAGTTTTGTATGGCTATGCGAAATTCCGTATAAATTTCTTTCCTTTTGATGCAGCTCGTAAAAATCAGAAGCATGTTTCTGTTTCAAAAACAAAAAGTCCTTTTCAAGGAAAATGACATAGTTTCCTGTTCGATGCGGTATTTTTTTTTGTTAGAATGAAGATTCAATCCGCTTAGTTAAAAAACATGTAGTTTGGAGTCGGGGCAGCACAGCACTCTTAATATCATAAGAGAAAGAAAAGCAGAAGAAATTCAAAATTCTAAACAACTAAACAAAAAATGAAAATTTTCTATTTTGAATTCCCCATACTGCTAATCATATTCAACAGAATAATAAAATAGAACCATAAATACTATCCGAAATAGTGAAGGGTGCTTGATAATATTCCATTCCTTGAAAGCCAGTAAATACTAGAGCCAGTGAGACAGTTTTTCATTCCAAAACCGTAAAATCAGAATTTCGATCACTTCCCCATAGAATTACCCATAGAGGTAATATGCGGTCATAGTAATCAATAAAATATTTTTCATTGACTAATTTTCCGAAATGAACCAAAAACTAGAAATTTTGTTTTTCCGGTTTCACATCAAATCTCAAATGGATCCTTAGATCAGTCCCACCATCATTGATGACATCCCCCAGACTGATCTTGATCCAGGCTAGAAGAAAGTAAAGCTGCACTGCCTTTGAAGCACATATCACTCAAAACAGCCATTAATTGCCATCTTATTACATACTAAGTACAGAAAATGTATACGAAAATAAAAAGGAAACAGCAAACATTATGAACATGTGGACACTACTTATACAAATAATCACTGGCGGTCTCTCTGCCACATTATTGGGTCATGACAAACATTTAATATACATGGCAGCTAAGTAGAATAGTAGACCAAGTAGTGAGAAAATGTTCAAGGGCGTGATCCATACCTGTCAGAACAGATAGCACCCAGATCTGAGTTGGGATATCATAAAGCTTCTTTGCCAATGTAAGGGAGGATCTCAAAATCTCTCTGGCTTGTACAGTATCATGCAAGGCAAGTGCCAAATGTCCAAGGATTGTTAAAAATTGTGATATAAGTTGAAGGTTCCCCATGCTATTATGTGCAATCTGCAAGCCTTTGGCCAGCCGAGCTCTGCATGAAATCTGTTCTTTTAGCAAAAGTGAGAGGGGGGAAGATTCCACAGTTATCTTCATCCGCAGCACAGAAATCAGTTCTTTAACTTATTTTATACCTTTTTATCTTATCATTTTCATTTCCTTTTTGTGTCTCATTAAGAAAGAATAGCTCCAATTAAATTCTAGAAGCATCCAGTCAAAACTTCATAGCTTATGCACTATGGGCCATATGCTAAACAAGGGAGTGACCATTTTTGTCTTCAATGTCACTTCTAGGTCTATTATACTGTGGATAAAGAGTGAAAATGAAGTCCAGTACTCGCTAGAGAAAAGGGTAAAGACTTGCAATGTTTTTTTTTTTTTTTCAAAAAGAAAACATTGCAATATTAAGAATAATTCAGAAGGTAAAAACACAGTTGCTCAATAATAAGAACAAGCAAAATATCCGCACTTCGTTGTGGGACTACTACTATATTTTCATTCGTTTTAACTCTAGTTTTTATTAATTTTTTATATAAAAAATATATTTTATTTATATAAAATTGTATTTTCTTTTTCTTTCTTAAAAATCCTATTTTATTAGTATAAAATTTATTTCATAAATACATGTAAAACTAATAGGAATGTGGTAGAATAACATTTTTAATTAATAATAGAAGAAAAAATGATCATATTAAAGCTTTAAATTTATTTTATGTGGACCGTTATATTTTTGTGTCACATTATGTTCTCACATGTTTATTTTTAATCTTTAATATTAAAATTTTGTTATGGATATAAAAAAATTCACATTTTAATAATTTTTTTTCATCCTTTTTTTCAATAACTTCTATTGAATTTACGGAAAGATTTTTTTTTTTTTTGGTTGTAAATTTCTCAAATTCTATATGCTAAGTAATATAATTTTTAATAATTTATAAATTAGCTTTCATAAATTTTTACTCTTAGCATAAACAAATTTTTTGGAATGGAAAAAAAATTAAATTATTGTGGAATAAAAACTGATTAAGAGTCTTATAATGACTTTTGTTATAATTATTATGATATAGTTACAACATAATTATATATAAACGAGAAGTGTATCAACAAATTATAAAATTAAGGCTTGGCATTTATAGCTATAACAAAATAATAATTGCAGAAAATAATAATAGTTATGCTGGAGGTGGGAGTAGTGTTTATTGTAGAAAAATACGACCAATGCGTGCTTGACGACAAATGAGTGCTTGATGTAGTAATATTGTGACTTTCGCGAGGAAATCAAATCTACTACCAATGAGTGCTTGACAACAAATGAGTGCTTGATATAGCAATATTGTGACTTTCTGAGGGCAAGGTAGCCAAATCTACTGTTCATAAGGGCAAGGAAGCCAAATCACTGTTCTATGAACAGTAGATTTGGTTTCCGTTTAGTATATATATAATGTTACAACTATTACTTGAGTGACTGCAAATGCATAGGGAGAACGGACACTATAAAAGCTGTTGAAACCACTGTTGGATGAATTTACACCCATACGATAGTCAAGCACCTTCTAGCTTAGAACCAAAGTGAACTAATAAGATCTTAAGTATATACCTTGCTTCTTCGTACTCATCCTGCCTCATCAATAAAAGGCCATAAGCAAAAAGGACACTTGATTGCTCACGAACTCCAACAAAAGAATCCTTCATTCTGTAAATTGGTCCAATCAAATCAAGAGCCTGCATGGAAAGTACATCATAATAATACTGAAGAAACTTTCTATAACTTGAAACGGAATTATCAGTTATCAAGAGAACTCAATGTCCAAGAACAAGGGAGATATTCAACCTGTGATAATGATTCAGCATCACCAACACAGAAGTAAGAGACAGCTGCATAGATTTGGCACATAGCTTGGACTGATTTGTTCTCTGTTAGCTAAACACACAAACAATATATGGAACGTTATATAGCATCCACTTGCTAAACAGAATAACCACTTATACATACTGCAAGTAGCTTCTACAGATTATTAGTGAAAATAATACAGTGGTCAGAATGTCCCCTTAAGCATTGTTAAAAACAAAAAACTTGCAAACTGACTAGTATTTGCATTCTGTTATTAGTTGTATGGGGAAATTAAAGAAGCAAACCTTTGATGCTTCAATATAATGAAAAGCTGCTTCACTATAACAGCCAACAGAATGAGCATATTGCCCTCTGAGCATCTCAATAATGCTCTCACAAGCCTGAAGAATTGTAGGAAAGCGAACGAACCAATCTCTCATTTGCATGAGTGCCTAAAACAAAAGGTTGTATTATTTAATTCCATAAAATACCGCCAAATACTGTAGCTTTGTTAGAGCTGAAAGACTTGACAGCCTAAGAGCAGACAAAACAAAATTTCAGTACAGTATAGAGGAGATAGGTTGAAATTCAGTTAATCTGTTTGTGATTTATTAATAGTGAAACTGCAATTATTTATTTAAAGAAGCATTTGAATGCCCTGTAGAGAATGACGGAGAAAATTCCCTTTTGTACAGTATCAAGAAGTCGATCAAAATTCATGCCGATGGTAATTGATTATACAGAACTTTATTTCTTAAAACAATTGTACAGAAATAGGTTTAATGTATATTCATAATCAATTGTGCAACAGTGTAAAGCTCAGGGATCTCAAACTCCACAGAGGCCTCAGTTCAAGTGACCTGAAATCAATTATCAGATTTGCTAGACGTGTCTCATATTCCAGATAAAATTCTATGAACTCAAAAGGCTTAAAAAGATAAGAAAAGGAACTGTCAATATTACTGTATGTGAGAACAACATTCTAAGATCTTTGATTTAACATGCACAAAGAGAAAATCATACAGGATTCACCACTTACCTCTTGTGCTTCAACAAATTCAGACCGTGTGAGCTCCATTGCCACTTTGTTTTCAAGAAACTGCATTAATAGCATTAAATGCACGCCAGCCATCCAAATGGCAGAGTGACGCAAATCCACTTCTGCAACATCAAAATTCCAGAAAGCTTATGTAAGTAACATAAGTAACTGAAACCATACTAATATAGGCGTCATGAGAAGATGAAGTAAACCTCTAACACCATCAGTTATTCCAAGCTTCACCAGCTCCACTGCAAGGAAAAATGTAAGCATCAGTTTTTCAAATAAGGTTTTGAACTAGATTATAGTGTCATGTGCCTATGAGCCTGCCAATGTTGAATGCTTGAGCAGATCTGGCAAATTTTAAGGGATAAGAGTTGACGCAGATCACAGCTAATGTAACTAAAGGAATTGATACTTCGAATAGTCAATTCAAAAATTATTAGAACTCTGCAGTTCAATCTAACAATATAAGGTTTGACACTTTGAACTAGCTTTAGTAGAGTTACAAGAGCGGAGGTGTGGGTACCAGAGAGATAAGAGCTGAAGCAGATAATAGCTACATGATTACTTCATAGAATGTAACTGAAATCCAAGAGATGCGAAAAGAAACAAAAAGTTTCCCTTATTTAAAGACAACCTTGAATAGTTTGCATTCCAGATTGAATGCGCTTGGCACACTCCTTAAAAAGTCCTCGTGGACGGCCAAATATGACCGACATAAGATCAACAAGAGCATAGACAGCACTTTTTGGCAACCACTCTCCATCAATAGGAGGTGGTGCCAGCACTAGCTTATCTTGTACTGACCGCCTTGCATTTCCAAAGTATGCAGGTTCCAGAGATTGGTCCGGAAATGATGTGGACTTATTCATTTTTGTAAGTTGCTGTTGAATTTGAGCATGCTTCGAAGAAAGTAATGACCTATCTCTGTTAGGCAAGTCCGGCCTGGAAAGGCTTTGATTTAAGGCATTGAGTTCATTGTTTAGGCGCTGCACTTCACGTATTTTCTGTAAGTCAGCCTTCATAGCAGCATCCAACTTGTCAACATGTTGAGTGGCATTCTTGAAATCACAGATCCGAAGTTGATAGAATATGTGAAGGAGCTCGTTGTAGAAAAGCAAACCTAAGCATTGGTCTCTCTTTAAGAGATAAAAATAAACAACTATGAGTAAACAGAGATTAAGTTTAATCCATAATCCACTGAACTCAAGCAAACACTTCGTTAACAAGCAAGAAAATGGTTGTAAAGAAGGAAAATAAAACAAAAAATCGAATTTAAAAACAACGTTGCAGGCTTACTCTTTCAGGACCCAAAGAATCCCAAAGCTGATCACATCTAGTTAGAGCAGAATGAACTAAATTATCATCATACCATTGCATTAGGTGCACATGTAGAACAGAAGTTGCAAAGAACATCTGAAAAGACACCATAAAATTCAGACAACAACAGATACACAAATAAAGGAGTCAAATAAAAACATAAAACAGCATATGGGTATTATACATGGATCCATTTCCTCTACTCCACTAAATTGAAGGGCTACAAACCTGTAATTCTGGATAGCGAATTTGAGTAGCACAAGCATAACCAGATTCCAAACTAGAGATAGCAGAATGATAATCCCCTTCAATAATTAAAGCATTAGCCATCTGGGAATTGAAGTTGCAGGTCCATAAACTAACTGAAACCCTAATTTTCAATTTCAAAAAGAACAACTGAGTGAGTGGAAAAACACGAGAACAAACAAAACAACTGCAACATAACATGTGTATACATACTCAGGAAAAGTAGTAGCAGTTAGGTCGAGAGCCTTATGAAGAATCTGTTTTTGAGGAGGAATGGCACCAACCAAATGATAACACTGACTCAGTAAGCTATAAGTGCGACATTTCAATTCAAAACAAGAAGGGATCGACTTGAGAAGCAATTGGGAGCGTTCAAGATGGGACTTAGCTTCATTTACATTGTGAGAATGCTTAAGCAGAAGAGTTGCGATGCGATGACGAGTTTTGACTTCGATTATAGGTAAGAATGAGACCTGGCTTTGACATAAAGCTTCAAGGCATTTCACAGCCTTACCTATCTCTCCCTTTTTCTCCTCGTTATCTGCCAATCCCCATAACCCCTCTGCTACTGCTTCCATCTTCAAGTTCTTGCTGGCATCAATTGGTTGCTTGAATCACCAGAGAAGCTGAATTTGGTTTTCAATTTTGATTCTTCTCATTTGTTTCGTTTTCAAATATCCCCCAGTAACAAGATTTTAACTTTTTTAATTGTGTTTAATCATATTCTAATTAAGTTTACAATCAAATTAAAGTTTGACCCTTTTTTCCCTTGAAAAACAAAAAGGAAAATTTTCAAATTCGTTCAACCAAATTCAAAATTAAATTTATGGAAATTTTTTTACTCGGACTTTTTATTTTCAAGTGAATGAATTTTTTTATTTTTCAAATAAATAAATAAATTTTTATATATGTGGTCTTTACATTGAGCTATATGTGCCTTTTTTTTTTTTTTTTACATATATCTTTAGGTTTAACGGATGTTGTCCGGAAACCGAAGTGTGGAAGCGCCAAATTGTGGAAACAAAAATGGAAAACAGTATTTTTTTTTTTTTAAGTATTTATTTTTAAGTATAGAAAATGGAAATATGAGAGAAATGTGTAAATATGAAAAACATAGAGAAATTATATCTAAAAGAATTATAAATTTTATACTCATACAAAATATATATTTTGTAAATTTATATTTATTTTAATTAGAAAAATGAGTTTATGAAAATTTTTAATTTATGCAAAGTATATTCGAAAGGAAAAATATATTTTTAAATTATTTAATTTACAGAAATGGTGCCCAAACATTTTTAAAGAATTTCCAAATATTTCCGTGCAATAAAGATTTCCAAAACCGGGTTCAATAATTAAAGTTTCTTTCAAAATACAGTTGACTGTTGTTTGAATTAACTGTCGAATGGTAAAAAATCTTTAATTTTTTTGAAAAATTCTTAATACAAAAGAGCAAAACCCTATCAAATTATTATAAGGAAACTACCATTTCATCCCTAAAGTTTTACCAAATTCACAAAGTAGCCCCACAGAGGTCTAACTCCGTCTACTCATATAGTCCTTTCCTCCGTTTTTAAGGGTTTTTGCATTAAAGTGGAGTGAAAGATCTAAAATATTCCCAGCTACATCTCTTCCAATCACGAGCATAACATTCTCAGCATCAAAAGCACCAAAACCTTCTCTGCATCTTCCAATTTCACACCCTCATATCTTAAATATTTTCAAGAAAAATGGAAACTCTCAGTAATTTTTTATTGAAAAAACTTCATTAACAACTTATTTTCAAGGATTATTGGTGGGTTTCTTGGTTTTCTGGTTTAGAAAATTATAATTAAGGGATTATTTAGTGGGTTTCTTGATTCTTTTTATGGATTTTGGAATATGGCTTGGAACCTGGAGGAAAGGAATTGCGTATTTGAAGATGAATATTTGTATTACAGATATTGGAGATGAAAATTACTATCTTCAGTCCAATTTTTTAACATGTACTCCTCCATCGGAAATCCTATGTGAAATTAAATTGCACTAGAGGTCCGTGATTGAGATTATTGCTGCTGGTTTGCTCTGTTGGTTTAAAAGCTTTAATCTTCAGAAGACCCACGATCGAGTTGTAATTTGGTGGAAAATAGCGTAATTCTTGAGAAGGAAAAATTATTCAAGCAAGATAAACAAGAAATGGGCGGGCAGGCAAGAAAGAGAGAATTCTTCCTGTTTTGATGAGGATAATTGTAACACAGACCCAAAAAGTCCAACCGCCATTGGTTGTCGTAAGAATGCTTAACGATCTCTCTCTCTTTCTATTCTTTTAATTTTTGTTGTCTGAACCACTACCTGGTCTTCTTTAATTAGCGGTGGTCCTTTTTCATTCATTTCCCTTATTTTTATTTTAATTTTCTTTTTAATAATTTCCAAACACGTCATTATTTGGAATAAAACTTGAATTTAATTTCTTAAATTTATAATAGTAGATAAATTTAAGTATTTTTTATATTTTTGTGTGCTTTGATTTGATTTATTAATTTCTCTCTTTTCATGGAGTTATTCTCGTTGTTAAAGAGTTTTTATTTGAATCTTTTATTTCTTTTGCAATTTTAAATATATTATGCATTGTTGATTGCTCGTAATTAGATACTTTAAATTTTTAAATTTAAGTAAATTTCTTTATCTATAGAGCTTAGTAGTGTGATTTGTTTCTCCGTTAAAATTTAATACATTAAATTATTTCGTGAATATTAATTGTAATAAGTTTTTTTAAAAAAATAAATCTATTTAAAAATAGAAATATTTTTACCGGAATGTTTACCTCTTCTATCAAGATCAGTAAAAATAAATATAACCTCTATTAAAATAGCATCAATTTAATTGTATGAATACAAATTGATACTTCTCAATCATAATTGTGTATCTATTAACAAGCATATTAGGTTTTATTTTAAAATAATATTATATATTGTGCATATGACATTTCTGACCAACACCATTAAAATTGTAATAATGGTAAAATGTTTTCTAGATAAACATATAAAAATTCTAATTCTTCTGGTCACACTGCAAGTAAATTCAATATCTATAAATTCTACATTTGACTCTTCAACGGTCATAACATTAAAATGCTTTCTACATACTAATATTTTCTGGTGATACTGCAAATAAAGTTTCATCTTTGAATCACTATAGTCCTGATCAGCAATAACATATTCAGTAATAACTTTTAAACTAATTTTTATCGTTTTGATTAAGTCAAAACTTTAAATGAGTTTTTACCATTTTGGTCAAATCAAAATTCTATATTTATTAATTGTACGATTCGGTAATATAATTTTTATAATAGTTTTTAGACGTTAACGAAACTTTTTATGAAACGTTAAATATTGTAACATTTAGATTTTAGCATTTAACTTTTAACTAAATTTTGTTTGACAATCATACCTATCATTTTTTTTTCCTTTGAATTACCTAATTAAACAACTAATATTCTTTTTTTTCATTATTTTTACTTAACAATTCTAATTTAAACCATTATATAAACAACTATTAGCTAACAACTAAAATAGCTAACACTGTAAATAACTACTAAAAAAGCTAGTATTGCCGAACAAACCTTACACTTCTTGTCTTTTCTTTTCTTTTCTTTTTTTTTTTTTTTTTTTTCTATTAGCTAACAACGAAATAGCTGAACACTGAAATAACTACTAAAAAAGTAGTATTGCCGAACAAGACCTTCACACTTCTGGTCTTTTTTTATCGTTTTCCTTTTTTTTTTTTTTTTTTTTTTTTTTTTTTTTTGCGAAAATTGATATTATGGACCAATTTTGCCGGATATATAATTTTATTTTCAATTTTATTTATTTTCTTATTCACCAACTACATATAAGGATGCAAATTTTTTTACTACCTATGTTTCATAATATTTGTCACATTTGAGAAAATAGTTTGTTCCAAAATACTTGTCATATTTTTTGTTTCAAAGAGTAATAAATATTTTTTTTTCATGTTTACCCTTTAAATATGACCAATAATTATTATTTCAATTTAATGGCTTTTTTAGAAAATTAGTATTAAATTAAAGTAATATAGTCAATTTACTAAATAATTTATTGTAATTTACACGTAGTTTTCGGACGTGAAATTCCAAATGTAACAAGTATTATAAAATAGAAGTATGAGTTGAAATTAAAAAGAATACAAGGTTGGTAATATTTTTCCATGCTTCCCAGATCCTTGTGCTTTTAAACCTAATTTAGATAGATGGTTAATAATAATAAACCAAATCAGCATGCTAATGAATATTTAAAGAGTCAATTATTAAAAGCAAAAAAGAAAATGTGAATTCTTCATCTAAAAAGTGGGTTTGATTCTAAAATTAACTTGAGCAAGACTTCTATACCAAGGTCCTAGTTGTTGTCGTCCACTTTTGTCCCCAGACTACATTCTTTTTTTTTTTTCTTTTTTTTTTTTTTTTTTTTTGTTTTTTTTATAGTCCATTTTTCACCTTCTGTCTAGGAAAAATGCAATGGTCAAAGGTTGATAACAAAAAATTAGAAAAAAAATTAATTTTATTTTTACTACACGAGAGATGAAAAAAGTCTTTAAAAATTTTAAGTTCATCCATTATAAAATTTTTATTAAATTTAGTAAAATATAAAAAATATTTTTGCCTATTATGTAATTCAAAAATGTTTATTTTTTTCACTTTTTTTTTTTTTCTTTTTTTTTTTTTTATGATCCATTTTTTCACCTTCTTCTAGGAAAAAGCAATGGTCAAATGATAACAAAAAATTAGAAAAAAATTAATTTTTTTTACTAACACGAGAATGAAAAAGTCTTAAAATTTAAGTTCTCTCGATTATAAAATTTTTTATTAATTTAGTAAAATATAAAAAATATTTTTGCCTATTATGTAATTCAAAATGTTATTTTTTCAGGTGAAATTTTGTTTTTATTTGAAAAATTATTGAATGCATAATTTAGAAATTATGTTAATTTATTTTAATATATATGTTTTTTTAATCAATAGTAACAGAATTCCCAAAGTTTCACGAACTTGAACAAATAATTGGATCACATAAAAATTTACTTGTCTTCTTATCATTTTATTGTTTATTCTCGTTTTTATAAATCTATTTGTGTTGATAATTAAATTCCAAAAGATCTTTGTATCCATATAAATGGCCAAATGTGTAAATACACCTCTGAGTTGATTTAAAAAGAAAAATAATTTCACCCTCAACTTCTAATTAATTTGATTTATTGAATAATTTAATTTAAAAAAATTATGCATATTAAGGAATTCAACTTACACAATTTGTCTATTGAACATTCCAACTTATAAAATTAATCAATTAGACACTTATTTAGTAGTTGAAAAATATTAAAATTATTTTTTAAAAATTGTGATAATCACATGTCAAATCATTATTTTGCATAAAAAATCTTAAAATATCAAAAATTATTTATTATTACTATTACGAAGAGGTGTATAATGCTACCAAAATTTATAACTTTAGAAGGCACAGTAAATCTTTTACAAAGTTTAAGGTATCACAAGATTTTTCACGTGAATTTATACATTTGGTCAAATATAAATTATAATATAGGGTAATTGATTTTTCTTAAAGATTTTATGATTTCAATTATCACATAAAAAATTACTGATAGAAAGTTTTTTCGTCACTATTTTTAGTATCGGATCGCTTTCTATTGATAATTTGTTATCGATAAAAAACCATCCGTCGCTAGTTTCCGTCACTAATTATCGAATTTTTTATAATGTGTATTTTGTTCTACTAAACACTTCACCAACTACATCTTAAGGTGGGATTTTTGATAGTGAAATTAAAACGAATACGAAGTTGGTAATATATTGTGCCTACTTTCTATATCCTTGTGCTTCCATACCTAATTTAAATAGATGATTAGCATTGACAAACCAAATTACGGCTATCCTAATGAATACCTAAAGTGTCAATTTTTAAAACCACAATAAAAAATTTTTCCAATTTTTTATTTTAATTCTAAATTAATATGACATACGACATGTATTTTTGTCGACCGTTAATTGTTACGGTCTCCGTTTGTCCCCATATTTGTTACCATTCTAAATTTAGTAGTATTTAGGGTCAGTTAGTTGTTAATTATCTTAATAACGTTTAACTGCTTGAGTAGCTAGTAGTTTCATAAAATAATAAAAATTAAATGTTATATGGATTAATCTTTTATAAAACGTTATCTTACCCTCTAAAAATTAATTCAAACGATATATTACTGAAGACTATAAAAAATAATGTTTAAATTTTTTTTAAAGTAGCATTTAAAACTATTTAAAAAACTATTGCGGAATACAACATTATTCTAAATGAATTATTAATCATAACTAAAATTTACTATAGTATTTGATTTTTTTTTTTTTCTATTTGTCGAGGGACAATAGGTTGAAATATTATTTCAATAAAATATGGTCAAGTCAAACTTCTCGTTTACGGGAGGACTAAGAGGACTAAGGTCGACTTCCTTCTACCACAAAAATTTCACCAATTGCGAGCTTTCAAATTTGCAGAATTCCATATATATAGGCAAAGGCCATCTTGGTTAGAAAGCACCTGCAAAACCAGAGTGTGAGAGAAGAAATTTAAAAAAGAAAAAAAAGAGCCATGGAGCTTGAATTTGGTTTCAAGATACTAATTTCAGTAGCGGTAATAGGATTTTTTGGCTTGGTAGTGCTTCTATATGATGGGTTGGTAGTGAAACCCCAAAGGCTCCGTTCAAAGCTAAAGAAACAAGGTGTAGATGGACCTAAACCATCTTTTCTTCTTGGAAATCTAAGGGAGATCAGAAAAGCTCAAGCCTCTGTTTTGAAGGTTCAACAAACTCCTATCATCCACAACACAGCTGCTCAGATATTTCCTTTTTATGAGCAATGGAAGAACCAATATGGTATCCAATTCTAATATTCATCTATATATGCTTTTATACTTGTAGAATCTTTCTTCTAAATACAGGGGAAAATGAGGAAGAAGATGAAATTTTGATGGTTTTCCCATTTGGTTTTCAGGTCAAGTGTTTGTATTTTCACTGGGGAATTTACAGATACTGAATGTGAACCAACCTGAAATAGTGAAAGAGATTACAACATGCACATCCATGGATTTTGGGAAACCCTCATATCAACACAAAGAGAGAGGAGCTTTGCTTGGTCAGGGGATTTTGACTTCAAATGGAGCTATTTGGGCTCATCAGAGGAAAATCCTAGCTCCTGAATTGTACATGGACAAGGTTAAGGTATGATAATTAGATTCAAAAATTTTCCTTTTTGTTAATATAAAAAATTTTCTAATATTATTAATTCTCGTGCATTATTGAACAAAATTCAATTAAATAGGGACCATAATTTTTCATTCCAAAACTGTTAAATCAGAATTTCGATCAAATCACAAATCACAATATAAAAGCGTTCTAATTCTTTAAGAGTTTTTCAACATTTGAACTAGAAAAATACTGAGTCCATTGCACCACCTATGAACCAAATTAATAAAAATATAAAATCTTTAAATTTTTTTCCTACTTCATACTTTTTTTCCCTGGCGTATGATAGGAAATATCTCGTTTCAAATAAAAATTTTTATTTTCATTGATTTGATCCATAGGTAATATTCACTCTAGGCAAATTTATCTCATTTAAACTATTAGCTTTATATAAGGGAAAAAACTTATTTACATCTAGTGTATGGACTCATCAATACATCAAATCAATTATAAACTTTTTTTCATCCAAACGAGGGTATTTAACATTTTTTTTCAAAAAAAAATCTTTTTTGATTGGCTTGGCGTATGGAATCACCCATACATCGAGTGTAAGAAGTATTTTCTATATATTTTTATGATACAAAGGAGTAGAATGCTAAATATGAACTTTAAATCCATGTAGGGAATGGTGAAACTGATAAATGAATCTACAAAAACTATGATAAACTCTTGGAAGGAAGAAATTGAAGCAAAGGGTGGAATTGCAGACATCAAAATTGATGAGGGATTGAGAAGCTTCTCTGGAGATGTTATCTCAAGAGCTTGTTTTGGAAGCAACTATACTAAAGGAGAAAAAATTTTCTTGAAACTCAGAGCTCTTCAAAAGGTCATGTCCAAGAAAGCTCTAGGAATTATTCCTGGCATGAGGTCAACTACTCATCTTTTCTCCTTTAACTTTATCACCAAATTATCCAAATTCTTTCATACATACATTTATATAAATATAAATCGGAAAAATTACGGTATGATCCTTTGATTTAGAAAATAAAATTAGTTAATCATTGTATTCTAAAAAATAGATGAAAATTTCTTTATAGTTTACTTCTGTCAGAACCTTTTATGTTAAGTGTCTTATAAAATGACAAAAATACCATTTTTATCTCTTTTCACTTTTGGTATATTTTTATCCCTTTTCTGCATAGGACCATGTAATTTTTTTGTATAAAAATTTGAATATCTCTCTTTTGTCCTCTGTGTTTTCTTGTTAACTTAACGAAAAAGATACAAAATTTGAGCAAAATTACCCAGTAGTGTAACGGAAGCAATACAGAAAGACACAATGATATATTTTAAATACACAGGAATAAATTAATTATATTTTGCAAATCACATAGACCGTATTGTAATTTTCCTATATAAATTTGAAAGTGATAGAATTGAATATAACTTTGCAGATATCTGCCCACAAAACATAATAGAGAAGCTTGGGCACTAGAGAAAGGAATACGCAATTTGATAATTGAGGTAGTGACGGAGAGGCAAAAAGCTACAGATAAGAACAACGACTTGTTGCAAATGGTTCTTGAAGGTGCCAAAACTAGCAAATTGAAAGGAGAAGCAATGAATAGATTCATAGTTGATAACTGCAAGAACATATATTTAGCTGGGTTTGAGACTACTGCAGTTGCTGCAACTTGGACTCTGATGTTGTTGGCAGCAAATCAAGATTGGCAGGATCGTGTTCGCGCTGAGGTTCTTGAAATTTGTGGTGGCGGTATGCCAGATTACGAAATGGTTCGCAAGATGAAATTGGTGGGTGAATTTCTATTTAGTCTGCATAGGATAGTGAATTACACTCAGGGGTGAGCAATTCTCGGTTTCTAATCGAGAACTCGATTGAACCAAACTGATTTAATTCTGTCAAATTTAGATAGTTTTTAGAAATTCAGTTATTATATATAACTAACCGAATTTATTTTAAATACAAAATAGCTAATTTGGTTTGGAAGAATCCAAACCAATTAGTATACTATTTGATTTCCGATTTGAATGCCACAAAAATATATTCGGTTAAACCGAAACCGAACTAATTCAGTATGATTCGATTTGGTTAATCGAATGCTCACCCCTAATTACACCAACAAAAATCATTATAATGGTTTATGCATTTAATCATATAAATGTTTACTTATGCATTTTATGAAGTAAAAAATTGAGATATTTTTCAATGGTGTTCCGATTAGACTGAATGCTCACCCAAGATTTAGTATGATAATTCAGGTTATTATTATTTTTAATAATTTGATTTGGTCTGTCTTTTCAGCTTAACATGGTTATCCATGAATCACTGAGACTTTATCCACCAGTCCCAATTATATCAAGAGAGGCTTTCCAAGACATGAAATTTGGCAACATAAATGCGCCAAAGGGTGTTAATGTTTGGACAATGGTAACGCCATTACATACAGATCCTGAAATATGGGGAACAGATTCTTACAATTTCAACCCACAAAGATTTGCAAATGGCATAGCAGGAGCTTGCAAGTTTCCTTACTCATACATGCCATTTGGTGTAGGTCCTCGTGTTTGCCTCGGACAGAACTTGGCTTTGGTTGAACTTAAGATTTTGATTGCTCTCATTTTGTGCAATTTTTCTTTCTCCCTTTCTCCTAAATACATCCATTCCCCTGTTATTAGGCTTGTTATAGAGCCAGAAAATGGAGTCAATCTCTTAATCAAGAAATTGTAGACACTTAATATTTGAAGAGGGATGTTTTTTGAACTAAGAATACTCTGTAGTAAATTATATATATATATATGCTTTTTTTTTTGGTATTATTATTGCCAATAACTGACTCTATCGTATTGTTGCGGTGATATTGGTATTTTTAAAAATTTCTCATATCACACTAATAAAGTATTGATCGGGGTGGTGTGCGACCTCAACTCTCGGTAATTATAGTTAGTGATAGGGGTAGAATGAATATTAAGAATTTGAGATTGTTGTTGAATTTCTATTCTAACAGAAGAAGGATCCTTAACCGAGTATTACTTTATATTAATCCAAGTAACGGTTCAATAATTCTTAATGATTATTCCTATCGACTAGTAATTTCAAAACAATCATTAAAATATCATCATAAAATAATGTCTATATGCAAATAATAACTCAAGATCAAATGGATTTGTTTTTTTACGTAATTTTTCAACAAATATTCATAATAGTAGCAAAATAGTAATAACAGCAATAATTAAATAACAGAAGATAGTGAATTTCAAATAATGAATATATTAATAACAATTGATTAACTATACTGTGAAATTTTTAAATAGATTCACTCTATCACGTCAGCTATAAACTCGTTTAACGAAATAAAATCGCTGTAACACTGCTATGTTCCACCATGAGTAATTGCCGCCACCACCGCCTCAATTATTTGCAGCCACCTATTTCTACCACCAGGCCCACCAAAATCAATACCTCTACCATCTAATCTTAATTATTACTAAAATCGCAGTTTCCGCTAATTCTTTAAACAAATGCACATCGTCTCGTCTTTGGCTTTAAAATATACTAGTACTTATTAATTCCATTCATCGTTTCAGCTCATAGTTTCTTTAATAGTTTCCTGGTTCTTAATGCTGTGTTTGGGGGAGGAGGAGGAAGTAAAATAAGTGTATAAATGACACTATTCACTTTTCTTTTAAAATAAAGTGAAAATTAGGCTAAAAAAAATGTAAAAAATAAATTTATTTTACATAATCCTTAACGTTTTCATCCAAACCAAACATGAGATTTTGAAAATTACAAGTTATTTTCACCATCTATTTTACATTCTTTTTTATATTTTACTTCCATCTAACAACCCATAAATTCCAACACTCTAACTGTTCAACTCTAGCGGTGAGATGGTTTTTCCGCAGACCTATCAGAAGATTTGAAATCATTATCGAGTTCATGCCGAAAATTTGTAGTTTATTCTTCTTCAACTCTGTTACTAAAACAATTTAATAAAAAGATTTAAAATTTATTTAAAAATAATTAGAAAATAAAAAATAAATTGAGAGTAGTTGAAAATAACTTTTATAAGTTACTGTATAATCTTATTACTACTTTTTAAGCCATATAAGAATTTTAAAATAACTTTAAATATGTAGCTCTACATTATAATAAATAATTTATACGCATTAAACCGCATAATATATGGGAATAGGAATGAAAGCAGCGTGGATTCCTATGAATTTTGAAATACCATACATGCATTTGTCCCTAACCTGTTTAAATACTCATCAAAGTACATGTATCTGAATCAATTTAAAATTTTACTATATATTTTTGTCTTAAATATATTTAAAGCAATCCCTTAAATGAGTAGAGTATCCGCAAATTTAAAACTATCTCATTAACCAAAACCGTTTAATACAGTGGATACCTAGAGTCTTATACTCTGCATCTTACTTGTATCTAGTACGGTTAGTGATTTCACTATTCATATTCATCATAGATCAATTTATAACTATTTATATTCTCATTAAATAGATTAAAAAGGAATAAATACCCTTCCATCCCTATCCAATAGATTGAAACAGAACAAGTACCATAAATATATCTATTCTTCCTATTTGTAGGTCATTTATGGCACGCGGGAAGGGCTCGTATAACTGCAGCATGATTTGAAAAAGGAATTGATGGTAATTTTAAACCTATTCTTTTCACGACTCCTCGTCCTACTTTTATCCCCACGTGAAAATACTACAATTTTATTTATAAAAACTTATATTATAATGCTTTTTTATATTTATTTTATCAGTTTTAAGCTATTTTGATAGCATTATTATCAATAATTGATTTTGGATTAAAAAGTAGGAAGAATTTTTTATAATCAATTAATTTATAATATGATATTATTAAATATATTTGTATATGATATTTCATATGGTTGACAAAATCAAACTTTAGATTTTTGTAGTACTGTTCTGATGGGCTCACCATACTATTCCTAATTTTCATACAAAATCTGTTGTTACTTGTTAGCAATAATAATTTCACACGAGCCTCAATCTTATACAGCTAGCGTGAGTTTATTTATTTTTTTAATTTTTAGATTTGAATTCTCTTTTTTTTTTGAACTGATTTATATTTGAATTATCAGCGGTTGATTTTCAATCAGTTTTTAAAAGGAAAATTACTATTCTATCCTTGAATTTTGACAAAAATAATAACTTCATCCATATATTTTGATCAAGTTATTTAAACATCCCTGGTTTTGCTTCCGTGTCATTCTGTCTAAAGAGAGCTGATTTCCCGTTAATTTTACATGAAAAAGACCAAAAAAACCCGTATTGTGAACCCACAAATAACAACGTGCATACATATTCTTTTTCGCTTCTTCCTTGCTGGTTCAGAAGTAAAGTACAAAACCAATGCTAAATAAGGAAAGCTTATCAATTTCAAAGGCAACATTGCAGCCACATAACTAATGAATCAACAGAGTATAGAACTAGAGATTGCAATCCGTCAGTGCTTCTAACAAAACCACCATAATTCATCACAACAATCTGCATCTTCCTTCTACTGCAAATTTTGGATTCTTGAATCAATACATTTTCTTGTATGTAAAAAAAGAAAAAGAAAAAAAAAAGGAAAAAAAGCACAGAAAAACAAAGAAACCAATTAATAATAGCTGAAAAAAGAGGAGAATGTCTAGTTACAGTTATCTTTGGGGTTCAACTTCAATGCATTTGCGCTATTGCAATTTCCAGACCCACCAAATAGAAACTGAAAACACAACAGAAAAACCACCATGAAACTACTGGCTATTACATAAATTGCCCAAAAGCCATTGCTGAAAAGAACAAATGAAAAAGAAATCACTAGAATTAATTGATAAGTAGTTTGTAATTTTCAAAATAATAAATACCGGACCACTACCTTGTCCGCCTCCGATTGTCGCAAAACCAGAGTCCGACGGTGACGCAGATCATATATGGTATCTCGAATATCATTCGCTGTTGGGGCCGCGTACGTCTCCGAAGGGCCATATAAGGCAGTGTCGGCGGGGTCCCTCTCAGGTCTCAGCATCCTTTCCACTGTCACTCACGTCACTGGAACTCGACGGAAGTAGATCGGGAAGGCATGGCGGCGCTGTAAGAAGGAGAGCCTCGATTGGCGTTGTAAAGGCTTCGACCCGTGAAAGAAAGGCCGATGACGTGATTACCAGCGCCTGAAGGTTTAGTAGCCATCTTTCGCCGACCGTTGAGAGGTCGGAAAATTAACCGGAGGGGATGAGAGGGAGATCGTTGCTTCTGCGACGGGAAGAGAATTTGGGGTTTTTTAAATATGAGTTTTTGTTATTCGTGGGTCCCACGGTATGTTTGTTTTTAGTCTTTTTCATATAAAATTAACGGAAATTCAACATTTTTTTAAACGAAAAGACTGTATCCTTAGACAAAAGCAAACGTAAAAAATGTTTAACGAAAATGTCCGAAGTTATTAATTTGGACAAACCTCAGAAATGAAATAGTAATTTTTCCTTTTTAAAATCAGAAAACCAAAACAAATTGTAAGCGAGAGAGTGAGAGGAGATAAGAGAAACTTTAGGGATTTTGTTTTAATGAAAGCGGTGCCGTTTTAATTTTTTAACCAAACTCAACTATGATTCCCTCAAACATTTATTTTTTTTTAATAGTAACCCTAACTTAAATTTTATTTTAAAGTTTAAAAACTAATTAAATTTCATTTTAAAGTGTGATTGTAAAGAAATTTAAATTAAGACTGCAATTATAATAAATTCGTATAATTGAGAATATTTATGTATATTAAACTGTTAAAATTAATACTTAAGCTCCAAGGTTTTGGATTTGATTTCTAGGTCTATTCAATAAAATTAATTATTTTGATAGTTATTAGTTATTTTAGTAGTATTTAGCGATTGATTATTAAAATAGTTTTTCATGCAACGCTAAAAGTTAAACGTTATATAAGTTAACTTTTTATAAAATTGTTAGCTTAACATCTAAAAGCTAGTTCAAATGTTGTGTTACCACACTCTATAAAAATACCGTTTGGCGTTTTAGCCGGTCAAAAACTCGTGAACGTATATTTTGGGTTGCAGTATTTAGATTGTATAAAGTGAATTGATTTCTTATAAAATCGAACCACCTTTAACATAATTTAATATTTTCGGTTTTTTTAAAAAAAATTATTAACTTTAAGTTCTAAAATATGAAAATTAACAAAATTAAATTATATCACCCAAATTTAAAATTTAAACTTTTCAAATGAAAAATAAGGAAATATCATTCATCTTTCAATTATGAAAACTCCAAATTTGTTGTATTATGAGAGGACTTTTTTTTCTTATCAGCAAAATTTTCTTTTATTATTAAAATTCAAAAAAAAAAAATTTAATATATCCAAGCATGTAACACCCCCAAGATAGTTTTTGTGTGGCTGGCCATTTCCATTTTTGTTTTGCAATTTGCAATTCAAATCAGAAAAAAAAATGAATGGGTAAAAATTAGCGAATTTCATGGGAGTAAAATAGGCGATCATTTCGAATATTTCATAACAGAAACCAAAACAAAGAGAAAGAAAGAGACGATCAAAACAATATTTGGATCTGATTATTCCATTATCCATACCTCGATCAAACAATGGGGGAATCACCAGAAATTGAGAAGCGTCAACGTGGAAATGACAAACACTCTTCTTCTTCTTCTTCTTCCTCTTCCTCTTCAGATTCTGATTCTGAGATTGATGCCCACGCTAAAATGCATTCTGCTCGCAAGAACCGCCTCTTCGGCCGCCAGAAGCCTCTCCATTTGGTCCTTGGAGGCGGGAAATGTAATATATTATATACCTTATATAATAATACTTTAAAAAGGCTTTTAAACGATGATTACTATTCTATGGAATGGTGATTTCATGTTTGAATTCGGAATATTGTTCTATTCTCTGCTTATCCCATGTTGTTTCGTGAACCAAACAAGACCTAAAATTTTGTACGTGTATGGTTTTTCCTGTTTCAGATGCTGATGTAATGCTGTGGAGGAACAAGCAAGCTTCAGCCTCTGTATTTTCTGCAGCCACCGTTATATGGCTTCTGTTTGAGTGTGTGGGTTACCATTTGCTTACTTTTATTTGCCATTCTCTCATTCTCGCTTTTGCACTGCTCTTTCTTTGGTCAAATTTAGCCTCCTTCGCCAATATGTGAGTAATGTATTTTCATCAAACACCTGACCTACAATCATTTTCTGCTTTCTGCTTAATAACAACATATTTCTTGTTTTATGAGACAGGTCACCTCCAGAATTCCCCAAAATTACTGTGCCAGAAGAACTGTTTGTTACTATTCTTCTTGGGCTCAGAAGTGAACTTAACATGGCAATTACAACCCTTAGAAATATAGCATCTGGAAAGGATTTGAAGAAATTTTTATCGGTATAATGACCTTTACGTTCCCTCCCCCTAATCATTTTATTAATATACTTTAATTATGTGAAAAAAAAAATGTTTTAAAAGTATAATTCCAGAACCAATGAGCTTGAGTTATGTGGCACTGGAGTTATCTTTAAGATTATAAGCTTGTGAGTTCATATCATAGACTTCAATTAACCAAAAGAGAATAGTTTCAAAGAATACATGAATAAGTTTCATTAACAATAAGAAGTTGGTATCTCCAATGTGTTTTTTCGCAAAAAAAGTACTAATTTGGGACTTGCTACAGCCATTGTTCCTTTTTGTAACTGTGACTCTGACTAACATGGGATTTGTTTTTCCTTACATTTTCAGGTGATTGGTGTGTTGTGGATCATATCTATTGTTGGAAACTGGTTCAGTTTTTTGACCCTCTTTTACTTGGGTCAGTTCTTTTATTGATTTATTTCTAATGCCTTCTTGTTTATGCTAAATCCATGCAAAATTAGGTCCTTCAGATTCTTTTCCTAATTATATTCTTGTTTTGCATGATACCAGGAGTAAGGATGAATATCTTCCTAAAATTGAATCACTAAATCTCATTCCTATAGAACAATCTAGTTTAGCACGTTCAAAGTTGAGGCCTTTCTTAATATAGGGATTAAAACTCATTGAATCTTAGCCTGCAAAAGCAACATTATCAGTCTTGGATAAGAGAGTCGTTTGTTATCATCTGATCTAATATTTAGTTAGTTATCTTGGCAAATTTTTCCAGAAATCAACTGGGATATTTCTCTTTTTCCTCCATAATGAAAGAAAAGGAACTGTTAATTGATTATACTTGAACACTAATATCCACTGTCATTCTAATCAAACTCTGACAAGAAATCTCCATCTGATATAATTTAGCATGAATTGTGCAGTGTTTGTGATGCTGTTGACACTGCCAATGCTATATGAGAAGCATGAAGATGATGTTGATACATATGCGGAGAAGGCATGGATTGAAATAAAAAAGCAGTATGCTGTGTTGGATGAAAAGTTTATCCAAAAACTTCCAATACTGACTCAGAAAGATCACAAGCATTAATAAGAAGAACAAGTTGAAGCACAATTAGATTAGTAGATCTCTATCCGTTTTACAATCTGTAAGAGATCAATTTAGATATTCATGGAAGAGTAATTTGCAAAGACTAGTACCATCCCACTATCATCTATGTAAGAAGCAGATGTTAATGCCTACTAAGAGTAATTTAAGAAGATGCACTGTTTCTTCTTCCTGGATTTGTGCAGACAAGATTTTTTAAAAAAAATTGGGATTAAGGTCCTCTAATGTTTGTGCAATCTCAAGTCTCAGCTATTGAATTCAAAATGAATGGTTGAGATTTCTATATTTAATAAATACCAGCCACTTCACAAAAATAAAAAATCTTTCCAATAAATTCTCTACCATTCACTGTTAAATCAAGGGTTGAGATTGCACAAATATGGTATATCAGATTTCCATAAACATAAGAGGAGCCACTTAGACTAGAAATCATAGGAGCTAAATTACGAAACCTTTGCAGCAATCATCACAGCTCCTCATCGTCATATGCTGATCGCAGCTACTTAGACTACCAGTAACTAGTACATTAGAAAAATTCCTTAGTCACAAAAAAATTTAGAAAACCAGAAAGGGAGAGAGTGAGAGAAGGGGATAAAAAAAAACTAGTCAAGGTTAAAAAGGGAGTGCTCTATACTTTTGATTCTTTGGATTGAGCAGGTAAGAAGGGTTCCCACCATCCAAATTCATACTTTTTATATGGTGCTACCCATTTTTCTGGCTTCTCAAACTCTAGAGTGGTAGGATTGGAAGCTAATGCTTCTTCCAAGGTGTCAGCTTCGTAGCTATCAGATAAAACCCGGTCCAATCTTAATTTCATAAACCTGTCAGGCAACACAATGACGAGGAAAAGATTTAAGGCGCAAGAAAAACAATATATATATAAATGCACACATCTAGATTTTTGTTTCATGGTGCAATGTACATAACTTTGAGCACATTTGATATTTGATATAGCAAACTTCTCAATGCAAATCTCAAAGGTTGAGAGGGAGAAGAAAAGAAAAGCACACAATTCCCTGGTGTCTCAATTGATTGTAAGAAAAGGGCTCTCAGGTTTAAGACTACAGGAGGCAAGGCATGCTTGCTCAAACTAGACCCATAAGCATAAGTGATTCAACAGCTTATTTTACAAGCATTACCACTTGACTGATGTTGCTACTTTACTAGCAGAATAAAATGACCACAACATAGATCATTCAAATTTAATGAAAACACAAAAATGAGTCATTATCTCCAAATTGTTTGTGAAAATATTACTTGAAGTCTTAGGTAACAAAAACAACACCAAGAAATTTTGGTAGGCTTAGGCATTCTAGAATTCTGAACAAGCTCATAATTTGACATAATGGACAGGTCACAGGTTATAGTTATGCCAAAGTTGAACAAGCTCGAATCTAATTTCTGCAGTTTGACAGAATGTCAAGTGCCAGTTATGCTCCAAGAAGTCCTAGCAACTAGCAAGCATTTTCAAATTTCCACCAGTTTTGATTAAAAACGTCATATTTTGTAGTTGAGAATAGACATCAAATGCAAAAGAAAAGCAAACAAGAAATTGCAATCAGAAAAGTTGTCAGTATTGTTCTTACGTGATCCATGGACCATTAGTGGAGACTAGAGCAACAGCAGGTCTCTTCAACCTATTGGTAATGTTAGGGAATTTATCAAGGAACTTAGGCTCAATCACAAGCCAGAAGTCCTGCTCTTTGTTTCGCTCTCCATAATAACGAAGACGCTCAAACATGAGTTCCTGAAAGTGTTCCTCTTCATCCAGCATGAATTTTGCATTTGCAACAACGAAATAATACTTGTTGGGTTGTTTCTGCATTATAAAACGAGTAAGTGAAATTGGACAGCTTCAGGTGAAGGTGTATATTCTTAGAGGAATCATAATTAAGACCTTGATAAACCAAGGACTCATTCGGTTCACGGAACAAGTAGAAAAAAGGAATAGAATAGCAATTCCATAGAATGGAATAACTTTTCTTCACTCTTTTATAACATCAGTGCTGCATAGATTTTGAAAACATTAATTACAAATGGAAAATTATTACACATTTATAACTTGAATTAGAACTTGAAAGTATAAAATTATGATTCCATGGAATAATTGTTCAACAGCAAATTTGAGACAAAGCTAAAAACAATTACTCTACTCCCATCCTATTACATACCATAAACCAAACAAGGCCTAGATAGGAATTCACAAGAAATAGATTGTCTTTTATGTGAAACGCAAAGAAACGCAAAGAAAGAAGAAAACCTTGTCAGGAGGATTAGGGGAAGAGGAACCGAGCTCATTAGACTCGACAGCAGCAACAGCAGTCTTAAAAGAGGAAATGGGTCTGGTGGTGGAGATGAAGAGATGCGAAGGTGGTTGGGATCCATTGAACCCAAATTGTGTGGTTGTGGTTGGATTTTGAGCCAATAAGGCTTTGCCATAGCTGCAATTCGTGGAAAGCTTGGCCATGGTGGCTGCTGCTGAAGAACCCACTGCAAGACTTAACATTTTCTTCTTTCTTCTGATTCTTCTAAAGAGAAGAGTTTATCTTTTTGTTCTTCTGCTACAAGCAGAGCAGAGACAATCTAAAGATAGATTGCAGAAGCAGTTGATAACCTTATCTAGTTTATCTGTACACCCGCTGTGTATTTATAATTTTAATAATTATTTTATTTATTAGGAGAAAACTGCATTTTAAGCAGTGCAATGTTTGACAAAACCAGTGGAAAGGAAAAAAATTACAGTCACAATAAAAAAAAAAAAGAAAAAGATTTTATTAATTTTTTAAATCGGACCGGACTATCAGATCAATTAAATTATGTAGTGGATGTAGTGGCAGTTGATCCGGTTTAATCTGATAAAAACATAAGTTGTAGCTAGAGATGTAATAAATTCATTCATTAAACAAAACGAATGTATGTAACTGCATGTGAGGCATCTTTTTTTTTTTTTTTTTTTTTTTTTCATTAAACATAAAACGAATGTATGTAACGCAGTGAGGCAAGTCTTTTTTTTTTTTTTTTTTTTTTTTTTTTTTTTTTTTGGTAAATTTTCAATGAGTTTTGGTTTAACAATATTGAACTTAATGCGAATTTTTTAGCTTTTTTATTTTTTTTTGTAATTATAGATTTATAATTATATTTTTATTTCGAAATTCCATTAAGGATTCTAAGAATTAAAGGTAAAGTATAATATATTTTTTATTGGTTATTGAAACAAAAGGATAAAAATATAATTTAATCCAATATCAATAATAATTATACCAATTGAGTAAATTAATATTAAGTAAGTAAGTATATATATCTCGAAACAAAAAGATCAAAATTAATCATAATTAATAAGAAATGTTTGATTTTTAAATCTATAATTTTTAAAATTCCCATTTTAGAAATAAGCAATTCAGATCCTTCGTAGCAAATCATGAGAGAAGATAATATCTGTCTTATCCTGCACAACTCGCAGTGATAGTCAGATCCTTCGATTCGATGACAAATTGCAATTCCGTTCTGAATCAATCCTGAAACTCAGAAACATATATAGATACACTCGGATTCTGTATATCATTAGTGCAGGATTTGAAAATATTAAAATTGAGGTATACAATCAATTATTTGAAATAGACAAAATAAGAACCCATTGGCCATTACCAGAAGAAGAAGAAGAAGAAGAAGCACTACAGCAGCGCTGGAAGTAGTGGTCGAGGTTCAGCCGCAGCTCACCTGAAATTATACTGCAACATGTAGAAAAATATTAAAAAATACATAAATTCAATGGGGAAGCTTCAATTTTATTGGTAATAGCTGCAAAAGATCCAAGCAAAGAATTTATTTTTAATTAGTAATTATAAATTTTTTAAATAATAATTATCTAGTTATTATTATTTTTAAAACATCCGATCAGATCAAAATTTCTTTAAAGTGATAATTATCTCTAGATATATATTGATTAATTATTATTATAAAAACATTTAAAATAATTATCCAATCAAAAATTTCAAAAAATAAGCTAGAAAACTCAAAATTTTGTGAAAAAAAAAGAAATAGAAATTCTGGATAGAGAGAGTGTCAAGTCAGATTTGTAAGAATTTTATTTGGTTCAGGATTTTATATATCAGAAATTTGTAAGAAATTTTATTTGGTTCAGATCATTTTATATATTATAGTATATATATCTATATATATCACACCGAATACATCATTTTATCCCTCAATTTTAATCATTTTAAAGATTAAAACGAATTTGTAACGCTCTTCACTTTTTGTTATAAACTCACATCTCTTTACATTACAAATAACAATTTCTAAGGCAGTTAATACAATATTTTCAATAATAATTTTCATATATTTTTAATTATCTAATAAATATTTAGTCGATTTAATTTTATAAATTAAGGTGTTTAATAGGTTAAATAAATTATTTAATAAATTTAATTATATATTGAAAAATAGACTTTTTCTATGAAAAATAAATTGATGAAATTTAGTGCATTGAGCCTAAAAATATATGATATTAATGTATGACAATCATATAAAAATTCCTTTTAAATATTGCCTACAAAACTTAAATCGAATACAGAAATTTACGATATTTTAACATATGACCACATATGATAGTAAATTGTTTATATTCATTCGGTCTTTCGACCAATTGAAAAAAAAAAAAAAAAAAAAAAAAAAAAAAAAAAAAACACTTGTGATCTAATTAGTTTTTTTACTTTCGTAAAGAGTGAAAAGTTTCGAATTCGAATTCTCTCGACAATAAGTGTTTTTACCAATTTGGATTGTGTAAAAACTCATCATTTCAGGTTTCCATAGAAGCTCATTTCTCTAATTTAAATAAATATAAATTCACAAAACATGTATTTTTTATTAGTATGGAACTTGTAATTATTTTGGATACGATGAAATGTCGATTGAACTACTTATTCTTGATATCTATAAATATAACCTTATATTTTTCATAACCCTTTTCCCCGTTATATTTTTCATAACCCTTTTCCCCGTTTTCACGCTTCCGCATTTCCATTTCCGTGCAACACAGGCTATAAAATGCATCATCCATACAAATAAAACTAAAAACAAAAATGAAGACTAAAAAAAGGACAAACGAAAAATTTGTCATTTGGCCAAGCAAATATGTAAGAATATTAAAGCAGATACCATTATCATTTAACAAAAAAAACTAAAACAAATGAGAGATTTTGTAGAATCAAAAGAGGATAATTCGCAGTCATTTGAAAATGATAAATCCCGGCTTGTATTTTTTTTTTTTTTTTTTTTTTTTTGTTTTTTTTCTTTTTTTTTGTCAGTTTTTTGCACACGATTAATTTCAAGTTTGCTTTTTTTTTTTTTTTTTTTTTTTTTGTCAGTTTGCACACGATTATTTCAAGTTTGCCTAAATACTTCGTCTCACATCTCTCTTCTTCAATTCTTACGTGGTTTTTATCCAGTTTGCACATGTATAAATTGATGGTGAAGAAAAAAGGAACAATCTAACAAAATTACACAATCTAACCAAACCCAGTACAAATCTAGACAACCAACTAGAGGACATCTTACTCTCATATTTCACTGTTATGTATTACAAAGCAAAAACAGAATCAAATCATACACATCATTTCAGAACAACTGCTGCATTTCTCAGTGCCAGATACCTTTGCACATACTCATTTGGAAGCGATCTTACAAGCTTGAAGACATCGGCGCTCGCATAACTGAGTTTGGTCCTTGGATCTAAGTAAGGTGCCTGCAAAATAGCAATATAATGACAATATGCAGGAACAAATATAATTTAGACTAAATAAACAAATCGGTTACATGAAGTACAAGGCAGCAGCTGAAATTAAATGCATTGAGCTCAATCTGAAGATATTTAACCACAACTCAAGCAACACAAGCCTTCCAACATAAGATGAGAAGTGAAATGATGATTCTAGGATATCCTAAGAGTTTCTGCTGTATTCTTCAAATATTTTGGAAAGTTAGACTTAGTAATAAAGATCTAAGTTCTTTGCCCTATCCCTATTAGTTTCTTGTTCCCAACTGTTTAATGCTCAACATGTATACACCAGTTGTTGAACCTCAATGAAATATCCTTGATGTCAAAACTGTCATTGTCAATTAAGTCGTAAAGAAATTATGTTAAAATATTAGAACAATAACATTAATCAACAAGACAATACTAAACTAATAGACCACACCATAAAACAGAAATTGCCATTGAAACACCAGTATACAGCAATACTACTTCCTCTAGCCTGAAAAGCAGATTAGGACATGGTTTTTCTTCTGTGATAGAAGGTTTATAAAATCAACAGACCAATACACTACTAATGGACAACCATAACCTAAAAAGTTGGTAGTGAAAGAATGAGAGTTATTCCTCTAGTCTTTAGAACTGGATTAGCAGCGCAATTTGAACTCACTTGTGAGACCTGTTAGTGATTCACTAAGCTTTCATCAGCGGCGGATTTCATTTGACCCATAGAAAGTGTCAAAACCAGTGAAAAATCACAGATTTGGTGTATCATTCATGGGTAAGCGGTGAGCCATAAATAATACCTGAATAAATCTGACTTGAAATGCAGCTTCTCAATAAACAAACACATACCTCATATCCAGTTATATCACAGATTCTCTTGCATGGATGCATTGAGGGTGGAGACTCAATATTAACATCTGCAACGTACATACACAAATAAAAATTAATTTAAAGCAGAATTGAGTTAATACCTAGTACCAAGAAAACTATCAAATGCTAAAATGTAAAGCATTTATCATTATCGGGTTGTGCTAAGATTACATGGAAAAATTAAATTAACAGAATTTAAAAATGAGTCAAGTTGGTTGTGCTAAGTTTACAATTGGGTTCATCGGGAGGATAGTTTTGGAAATTCTCAGCCTGAAGAATTTGTTTCAGATGTTTCCAATGGCGACCTCTTGCTTGACCTTTTGGATACTTCTCATACATTTGAATCCTCTTGAAGCTCAAATGCGTGGGCAACACTAGCTCTGCCTTAATAACCTCTGGTTCCATCTTCTCTTGGTTGACGCTACCCATAGCATAAAAATAAAGAACCCACCCATTAATTCAACCAAGAAAATTTAATCAAATCTAAATTAAAATAAAAAACCTAATTGAAGTTTTCTTTTATCAAATTTGTGCAGAAAGAATTAAAAGATAGAATACCACGAAATGTACTTGATGAAATTCAAAATTCAAACCCATAAATCATTGAAATAACAGAGGAGGACGAGAAGAACAAGGAAGAGGAACAGAATTGGGTAACTTGGAAATGTTGGAGGTTTAAGTTTCAAGCAGTTCAAACAAAACCCTAGTTATGCATGGTAATTAACTTAATGAAAACTTACCTTGTGCGTTCAAGTTAGTCACAAATTCGATAAACGCAGAAAAACCCCAAATCCTCTACGAAATCCTAGAAACTGAAAACCTAAATTAATTCTTACAACTACTAAAAAATAAAAGAAATAAAAATCATAAACAACAAGAAAGAAGAGGTTGCCTAACTTACCGGTTAAAAAAAATTCGCCGAAGATGAATGTGACAGCGGGCAGCAGAGTCGTTGCCCAGAAGATGAGGTGCTCCGGTCGTGTCAAACAGAGAACCGACCAATGATGTTGTTTGCGGGTGCGCGCGAGAGAGAATTTTTACTGTCCTTTTGAAACGACATCGAGTTGTTAATTACAAACATTTCGAAGGAAAAAATTACATTTTCGTGCATATATTTTGAATTAATTACTTTATCCTTATATTTAAAAAAAAATATTATTATTTAATTTCTGATATTTGATCAAATTAATTAACTTGTCCCTGCTATTTATTAAAATTATCTGACAGTTCCAAAGGTTTGGGACCGTATACCTATTTAGTCGTTCTTTTAAAAAAGTGCTTCTTTTTCCATTAAATTTCATTGAAAAAGACAATAGTACCCCTATTGTATCTTTTTCTAATTAAGTCATTGTCTCTTCATTTCTATCCTCGCATACACTTTCCGTCTCTCTCTCTCTCTATAAATTTCATTTAAAAAAATCACAAAAAATTTACTTATTCTATTAATTTAGTTAAAATTTAAAAATAAAATTAAAAGAAAATTTTAAGGAGTAAAATTGAAACAACCCGAATTTTTATTTTCAAAGATTTTTCAATTAAATTTAATGTACCGACAGCCTGAAAATTAATATTAATATTTTAGTGCAACTAAATGTACCGACAAGCCTGGAAAAAATTAATATTAATATTTTAAGTGCAACTATCATAGAAACCGAACCAAAAACCGATTGACAAAAGCCATAAACCAATTAAAAAATCCCAAGATTGGCCGAACCGACTGAATCGAACCGGTTCGACCAGACCTTCTAGCATCTTTTCTTTTTTCTTCGTATTTCTAGCGCACCTCACTCCCTTCCCCATTTTTCTCCTGCGCTTCCCGATCTCCGCGGCGACACCATCTGTCCGCCACCGTTCTCCTCCTTTTCCTTCTTCTTCTTCTTCTCTTTTCCTTTCTTTCTTTCTTGTCTTTGCCCTTTCTTCTTCCCTGCACCTGCATTCGCACCACTGTCCAGCAGCTCCAGTCGAGCGCCACTGCCGTTCTCACTGCCGCTCGTCACCGGAGCAGCTCTGTTGCTCGTTCCGCCTTGTCCTAGCTCACGCAGCGCCACAGATCGCGCAGTCAGGCCCTCTGTCAGGTCTGGCGCGCCCATAGCAGCAGCTCCAGCTGCACGTTTAGTTAATTAATTTAATTTTATTAATGATAGTTAATTAAATTTAGTTAGTTTAATTTTAATAATTTTAGTTGATTTAGTTAATGTTAATAATATTAGTTAATTAACTTAAGTTTATTATTTGTAGTTAATTAATTTAGTAATATTAGTTAATGAAATAAAATTTTATTATTTGCAATTAATGAGTTTAGTTAAGTTTAGTTAAGTTAGTTTTAGTGAATGAAATTAGTTAATTGTAGTTAATTTATTTAGTTAAGTTAGTGTTAGTAATATTAGTTAATTAAATTAATTTTAGTATTTGTAGTTAATTAATTTAGTAGTAGTAGTTAATGAAATTAATTTTATTATTTGTAGTCAATTAGTTTAGTTAAGTTAGTGTTAGTAATATTAGTTAATTAAATTAATTTTATTTGTAGTTAATTAATTTGGTTAATTTAATTTGGTCATTGTGAATAGTTAATAGCTTTATAATATTAGTGTTGATATAATTAAGGTAGTTTTAAAATAATGTTATTGTAATGTATAAATTGGATTGTGTGGTGATGTTGAGATTGAAGGAGGATGGGAAAATGTTATTTGATTAATTGCCCGATGGATGGGCGACGGATGGGCCGTATGAATTGAATAATTTGTGAAACTGTTGATATTTTAACAGGTAGAGTAGTCCCAATTTTTAGGGGAGATGTTGCCCGAATTCGGTAGAAAATAAAATTAAATATAAAATAAATTTTGATAGAAAATAAAATAAATTTTAATAGAAAATAAAATAAGAAATAAAATATAATTCAAACGAAAACAAATAAAATAGAGCTAGATAGAAAGATAAAATTTTAGTACAGAAAAGAAATTAGATATCGAGATTAAATTACGTAGAAAAATTTAGAATATAAAATAAAATTCTTAGAAGGGTAAGGAGATATTTTGTCTGATATAATTATTTCTTTTTGTGTCATTCTTACTTTGCTTAGATCGCCCAGGTCCATCTAGTGCTCCTCCAGGACAGAATCAAAGCTAGGACTTCGCTCTCCCTCACTGTGAGTAATAATAAATAATGCATATCAACATTGCATTTGCATAGTAATTATTTCCTAAATATATATTATGTCACTGTTACTATATAATTATATTTATGATTGTACATTTGGATGTATTTGGTGTATTACTTTGAAAGCATTGTTTGATTAGATTACTTGTGCTGTGCTATACGTTGCCTTGTTTGTGTGGAATTGGGATGAAGTGGACCACCAGGGGTTTGTGAGGACGGTCTGTGATATGGATCCGGTTATGATATAATACTTGACCGTTGGCCGGGAAAATGGGAAATCGGCGCCCCCTTGTGCACCTGATGATTTAGATTATATGGAGATTCACAGGATGGCTTCTTGTTGTTGCGCACCTGACAATCTAGATTTGATTGTAGCTCGCAGGGTGGCCTCCTGTTGTGAGCACTTGACGATCTGATAATCTAGATTGGATGGAGACCACCGGGTTGCCTCCTGTTGATATGGAAAAGAAACGAGAGACTGGAAAAACAATGAGAGGACTGGTCAGTGAGCATTAGACCAGTTGGCCGTATGGGGGATCGGCTCCCTAGTGCACATGTACGAGAGGGCGAGCCATGTGTGAGGACGGCTCGTTTGGGTTTCAAGTGTTTCAGGTGGTGCCACTGACTAATTTCCACTTACTTGATTACTTGAAGGTGACATTACTTGTGGGTGCTAGTGTTGTGCCATATGAATGACTGCAGTATGCTCATTTTAAAATATTAGGGTGCATTTTGCGTGACTGTATGTGGTGTGTATTATTTATTATTATTCACTGAGTTGCAAAACTCACCCCCCTTCTCTCCGAACTTCTCAGGTAGTAGGAAATTGCTGATCCAACTGAAGCTCTGTCATTTTCTTCGCGGAGCTACAAAAGTAAACTTATAACTTTTGTTATTATAAGTTGAGAATTGTATTTTTCATATACTACTCTAGTTTCAAATTATTGTTGAACTCCGCAGTTGTAGGGTCGTGTATTTTCAAATGGGCTTACCGTAAGTGTTACCTTATATATGGTTTGTGGTGTTATTAGGTGCAGGTGAATCAGTATGCCATATTATGAATGTGATTGATTATGATTAGGCTCAAAACTAAACTTGTATGTAATAATTAAAATTGGGCCGAATTATGTGACATTTACATCATAACTTGTATGGGCCTACTATTCCTATTAAATAGTGTCCTATGCTTGAGTTGAGTAGTTTAGGCTTACTATGCTTGAGTTGAGTAGTTTAGGCTTACTACAGGCCTCGGGGGCCTTAAGCTTACCTGGACCCTAGTGCCGGTCCGGCCCACGGAATCGGGTCGTGACAAAAATATATTCCAGAAATATGTGTGAAAAAAAAAAACAATCAATTACAAGGAACCAAGAATTTTGAAGTTGAAGTTGCAGATAAAAATTAGATTATAATTTTAAATACTTTAAATGCATTAAAATAAAATTTTTAAAAAAAGCAAAAAATAAAAAGGAAAAAGAAAGGTGTAAAAAGAGTATATCATGCCCGAATTAAGGAAAATTCAATACAAAATTTCTTTTACTTATTGCAGCCCCAAACATCCTAGGGCTTAGCAGTTCTAGTACTATAATAAACAAAACCTCAAAACTCGCAAATTATAATTAAGCACTTCCAATAATATTACAATAAACAAAACCTAAAAAATCTCAAATAATAAGCAAAATCAAAGGCTGGGATTTTTTTTTTTTTTTTATCGGAGAAGAGAAAGTGTTAAATTGTAGTTGAGAGTTTCTATCGACTCGTGAAAATGGTTTATAAATCCAGCAAAAGGAAGCTAACGGTGGCACCCTTAACGAGCATAAAATCGATTGATTGAAGAATAGAGAGGAGGCAACATGATAAACCAAGCTCTGAAATTCCTTTCGATTCACTTGATTCAAGTCTCAATTGGGGAAGATGAGGCTGGAGACCAGTTTTGTGATGAGTTTAGGATTGATCTCCTCAAGTTCTAGATCCTGCCACCACCATAAATCTAAGATTGATGTGAGATGAAGATGGCACAAGTTGTAAAAACTCGAAAGGAAATGAAAGTCTTTGTAAAAATTTTTCTCTCTTTTCCCTCTCAGTCTTGAAGTATTTTAACAGAAAAAAGCTCAGAAAATGGATGTAGGGATCAAATAGGCAGACGGAGGCGAACTTGAGGGACTCCTAAATAATTTTACTAAATAATAAGGACGAATTAATTAATTGGTCAAACATCAGGGACTAGCTAATAATTTTTTCAAATTTTTTTAAAATTAAACTATAAATTGCATTTTGATTTTTTTTTTTAATCAATGAAATCAAACTATAATAAAGCAGTTTGGTTTATGATTTAGTGCTTTAGAAATATTTTGCATCAAAGCAATAAATAAAATAATAGTCCCTTCGTCTAATTTTGTTTGCTTGTTATTCATTTTTTGCATGTCTCAAAATGTTTGTAAAATTTTTAATTTTATATATGTAAATAATTATTTTTTCCATAATAACATTTATAATTGTTTATTAAATGAAGAGTTTTTATTATTATTTTAATGAGTTATTAAGATTAAAGAAGAACAAATTAACTTTTGTTAACTAGATTCTTAATATGCGTGTTTTTTCAAATCATACAAACAGAATGAGACGGAGGGAGTAATTTTTTTAAAAAACGAAAAGTGTAAATGAAATAACCCGAATTTTTATTTTTAAAGATTTTTCATTTAAATTTAATAAACCGATTTTCAAAGATTTTTCAATTAAATTTAATAAACCGACAGCCTGGAAATTTATTTCAATATTTTAATGCGAACACCGTGAGAAACCGAACCGAAAACCGATTGGAAAAGCCGAAAATAATTAAAAATCGAAGATTTGGGTCGAATCGAACCGAATCAAACCGGTTCGACCCAAACCATCTAGAAAATACCCTTTCTCTTTTTTTCCAGCGCTGCACCTCTCTACTCCTCACCATCACAGCAACGCCTCCCCCTTCCTCTTCTTCTTCTTCTTCTTCTTTCTTTCTTTCTTTCTTCTTCCTCTCTTCTTCTTTCTTGCTGTGACTGCGCCTGCGTTTCTCTTTCCTTTCTTTTCTTTCTTTCTTCTCAGTGCGCCTGCATTTTTTGGCGAGACAGGGAAGATGCAGTGCAGAGCTACGCGCATATCCGCCACTTTTCCCAATCCGCTGTCGCTCCTCGCCTGCCGCACCGAACGTCGACAGCAACACTTCACCAATTAAAGAACCAAGATAAGCAGCGGACGAACAGGCAGACTTTTCTGATATACAAGCAAAGCATCGCGCCTCAAGTGATCTGTCCAGACAAGCAGCTTCAGCAGCGCTCCACCACCTAGGAAAAATATCCGTCCCTTTAGCAACTTCACCTGCCACTAATCTGTTTCATCGCGCCACCACAGCCCCTTCTGCTTCCGGTCAAGCGAGCGCGGCGCCACCACGTCGCACCACCGCACCGTCGCGCCACCATCCTTGCTGTCCAGTAGATCGCGCCACTTGCTTGCAGTCCTGATGCGCGTAGCTCCGATCTAGCACGCGTAAACATTTCTGATCTAGCGAAATTCACTAAATTCTCAGAATTTATTTTAGTAATTTGGGTATAATTTAACTTAGTAATTTTAGTTAATTAAATTAATTTTAGTAATCTTGATTAGTTAATTTAAATTAGCAATTTTGATTAATTAATTAAATTTAATTTTAGTATTGATTTATTGATTAGTTAAAAATACTTGATTAATTAAATTTAATTCTAGTATTAGATAAATTTATTAGGAAATTTTGATAACAATAAAACTTATGAAATTAAAGAAAAATTAACAAAATATTGTTTATGTGAATACATGTGGAGGACGGGACTAATTGACTGGATTGATTGCCCGATGGATTGGGCTGTGATAACTTGAAAAATAATTGACTTGAGTTGATTGATGGATAGTTAAATTTTAGGGGAAGTGCTGCGAAATTTCGGTAGGAAATAAAATAGATTTCAGAAGAAAATAAATAAAATAGAGTTCGGTAGAAAAATAAAAATTTATTACAGAAAAGAAATTAAATATCGAGATTAAATTATGTAGAAAAATTTAGAATATAAAATAAAATTCTTAAGAGTGGTAAAGAAACATTTTTGTCTGATAGAATTATTTTTGTCTCATTCTTACTTTGCTTAGATCACCCGGGTCCATCTAGTGCTCCTCCCGGATAGAATCAAAGCTAGAGCTTTGTTCTCCACCACAGTGAGTAATAATAAATAATGCATGTCAACACTGCATTTGCATAACATTACATTTTTATATATTTACATATTGTATTTTCTCATATCTCATATATATTATGTTATGATCATTATAATTATACTTATGCATAATTGTGCATTTGGATGAAATTGATGTATTATGATAAATGAATTGTTTGATTATTTGTGCTGTGTATATACTGTGCTCTGTTTGTGGAGTTGGATGAAGTGGGTCCACCATGGGTTTGTTCGAGAGGTCGATTTAAATAAGGATCCTTTGATGAAACTGATTGAAAGTGGACCGCTGGCGGGTCGGGGTAAATGGGAGATCCGGCGCCCCCGTGTGCACCTGATGAACTGATGAAAATTTGATGTTTGATGATATGGAAAGAAAAAGAGAGAATGGTTTAAAAAAAATAAAATTATTTTGAGAGGACTTGGTCAAGTGAGGATTCAGGGACCGGTCGGCAAGATATGGGGATGGCTCCGCCGGGTTGCACATGTTCTTGAGAGGATGGGCTGTTTGAGATGACGGCTCGTCGGGGATTTAGGGTGACGCCACTGACTAATTTCCACGTTTGATGTGATTTATTTGAACGGGTGATATTGTTGTGCCGGTGCTGATATGATGACATATTGAGTGAACTGTTTGTTGGTGTTTTCATTCAGTATTACTAGGGGTTGCATTTTGCTTGCCTGTATGTGGGTGTGTATTATTTATTATTATTCACTGAGTTGGCAACTCACCCCCTTCTTCTCCAAACCTCCCAGGTTTACTAGGGAAGCAGCTGATTCCGATTTGAAGCCTCTGCCATATCTTCTCCGCAGAGTTATATAAAATGTAAACTTTATTATTTTTGGTTATTTAATTTTGGTTGTATAAGTTACTCTTTGATCAGATTATTACTGAAACTCCCGCAGTTATAGGTTGTGGCATTTTTTAAATTGCGGCCTGTCGTATGCGTTACTTTTTATAAATGGTATGAAATGTATAAGTTGGAGTAATTAGGGCTTACTACGGGCCTCGGGGGCCTTTATGCTTTACCTGGGCCCTATGCCGCGTATAAGTTGAGTAATTAGGCTTACTACGGGCCTCGGGGGCCTTATGCTTACCTGGGCCCTAGTGCCGGTCCGGCCCACGGAGTCGGGTCGTGACAGTAAATTTCTTACATTTTCACAGTTGCATTCATTGTAAGTATTCAAAAAATAATTGATAAAAAATATATTTCCTCCGTCCCATTTTGTAACTTTTAATCAATAAAAGTTATTTTATCACTTTTTTACCGTTAATAACTCATTAAGATATTAATAAAAATCCTTCATTTAATGAACAATTGTAAAAGTTATTATGAGAAAAATAATTATTTATATCTACAAATTTAAAAACATTGCAAATATTTGGGACATAAAAAAAAGAATAATAAGCAAATAAATGAGACCGAGGGAGTATTAATTATTAAAAATAAACTTATCCTGAAAATTAAGAAAATTCTGCATCATTATAACTTTTTAACAAATTTTTGAGTAAACAGTTTGATTTGATTTTAAATAATTTCATTAAATAGAAGCTAAACTTGTTAAATTTTTATAAAATAAAATCTTCTAAAAATTAGGGTATTAGTCATTTTATATTTTAACATTTCAACGGTTATTATATTTTAATTAATATTTCATATTTTATTAGGCTGGCTGAAAGCGCCTAAAAGTTGAAATGGGAATGGTCCTGCAATTGCTACCTACTCTCGCTCTCACCCACGCCCGTGCTCACAGCAGAATCTGCATTTCTCATTACTCCGCCACAGCCAAAGGGTTGCAATCCATCTCCGCCGCCGCCAAATCCACCAACAGGGTAAACACAAAGCATCGTGTATTCATATTCTTTCTTCCTCTACTTTTGCTTTTCATATCTCTCTTTTTGTATTTCTGCAATTCATCAATCATGATCTCTTTCATGACTCAGATGTCGACAGATTATTACAAGTTCGGGCCTTACAAAATAGACCCGAAGGAAGTATTTTACTCTACTTCACTCTCCTATGCCTTGGTCAACCTCCGTCCTGTTGTTCCTGGTATTGTTCGCTTTTGCAGTGTTCTATTTGTGTTTATAACTTGCATACTTAAACCGTTTTTACATTTTTCATTGTTGAATTAGTTCATTACGTGTTAAGTTGATATCAAATTCTTCAAATTCCTCTGCTATGAAGTGTGAATGGTCTTGGTCTTGGCCTTGGTTTTCCCTTGATGTATAATGTTAATCCAAGTGAGTATCTGAAACATTTTCATGTGCTTGGTAACATGTCTCTGTTAAAAACGTTGTGGAAAGGAATTACTTGGTTGCCACAACTTATATATTTACATTAATGTCTCTCGAATACCTCTCACCATTGGCTTAGGAGGGTTGTTTATGAGAAAGGGAGGTCTCTCCTTTATTGTATAAAACAAATGAGCCTCCTTATAAAAGGAAAAAAGAACGAAAGAAAAACACTAGTGCTTGAAAGTTAAGACTTGTGATGGTGTCGGTTACTCTGTCATAGGAATTCTACTTTAATTAAAGAAGTAGCAAATTTGTCACTTGTTAGTTATTAGCTTGCAACATTGAGATGGTGATGTTCATTTACATCCAACTCTAATATGACATATCAATTGTAACCTGCAAAGTTAATGCTGAGCATACAAATCCTGGGTAGCTCTTTGCTATTTATTTTGGGGTTAATAACTACATGGTATTGGATCTTTTTTTAACTAGTTTTTTAAATCTTTCCCTATAAAATAAGAGGAGAAAAGGAGCACATTGGGTTGTTAAACAATTTTTTGGTTGAGAAATGGGGCTCAATTATTATTATTTTACTTTGAGATGATAATGATTATGTTGGATGTCTCAAATAGTTGACTTTATAAATCCTATTTTCATGGGTTGTATGTTACTCATTTAGGAGATGGTCATTCTATTGGAAGGCATGATCTGTCTAGCTCCTTTAGATTGCTGTTCCTTGACAAATGTTAACTAAATTGCATTTGCATTATTTTCTTTTTCCCAGTTAAACTTTTTTGCTTGATGCTCATTTAGTTTTGTTGAATAACCTGTATTCACCTGTATTCATGACCTACAATTTGGTAAAAAACAAGACGTAGCCTTTTCCAATAATTACTATGATCAGAGAATCACAATTGTGATTATAACTTTTTTGTTTTCCTTCTGTTAATGAGTCACTTCTGGATTTTATTTTAGAAGTTATGTGATCATACCTCCCTTCCCCCCCCCCCCCTTTGTTAATGAGTCACTTCTGGATTTTATTTAGAAGTTATTGTGATCATTACCTCCTTCCCCCCCCCCCGAGGTGCCGCAACTTTTTTTGCTTTTCCTTCTGTTGATTTAACATGAAAATTGCGGGTGGGGTTGGTTTTTTTTTTTTTTTTTGGGGGGGGGGGCTGGGCGGCCGGGGGAATCCTTCTAGAATAAGTGATTTAGATAGATTTAGTCAATTAGTGAGATATATCTCTTAACCATCTAAAGTTGGAAATGTATATAAGCGGGGGCGGGGGGAATCCTTCTAGAATAAGTGATTTATGATAGATTAGTCAATAGTGAGATAATATCTCTTAACCATCTAAAGTTGAAATGTATAAACATTTATGGAAAAAGAAATTGCAATTGTTGTTTTGGAGAAATTGAGAAGGCAGTTATAGATTATAGTCAATATAACACCATAATATCAGAAGAATATAGAATTTGTCAACAAAAGGAGATGTCACTGTTTCTTATGCTCTTCTCTATTTATTTTACCTTTGGCTGGGGAGGATGCTTAGGAGCTGACCTGTTGTTTTTATTATTTCTTCAATTTTCATGTCACGATTACACACTTTCTTCTTCTGATTATGTTTTCATTTTTGGTTTTCCCTTGCAGGTCATATCCTTTTCCAGTCGAAAGTTAGGATGACATTTTGCAATATGCACATGCATTTGTTTATGTCCACTGGGTTAATATTTTTACCATTTATTCTAAAAATAATGCTAAGTTGCAGTTGATTGATGCAATGTGCGATATTTGGCATCATGCTATCAGTGCACTTGTTGGGTCATTCAACCTTCTATTACTCTTTTTGTATGAGTTCAATGTGTTTGATTAGTAGGAAAATCCTTGAGTGAGTGCATTGATAGGGTTTGGAAAGCCACTGATAACTGACTAACTGACCCTGTCCCAATTATTGGTTGGGATCATGAAAAAAGAATGATCACTTCCATTATTTCTGCATACTATTTCCGTTTTTCAGGTTAATCATTTAGTTTCTTTGGGGTTAAATTGTGCTCAGGAATAGAGGACGGCCTTTGTGAGCACTTGATGATTGGATTTGATTTTATTATTTTCATGCAAATGCACTTCGTCATTGAGACAAGGGTAAATATAATAACATGCTTGGTCATCTTTATAGCTGTTGCATAACGCATAACTAATTGCAATGCTTATGTACATGATTTTATGTGCAAATAGGAATTTGTACTGACCAGTTTCCTTGGATAGGGACTAGTAACATATATGTGCATGTAGATGCATTATCTCTTAGACAAGGACAATAGCAAACCATCATTTGCAATGATCTCATCTAGTAAATGATTAATTGAGAATATTCACTTTGAATTTGGAATGAATTTTCTTCATTATCAAAATGATTTTGATGTAAATTGTCAGGCACAATAAACTTAATACTATTAAGTGTTCTTAAATGTCAGTTTGTTTGTTCAATTTGGTTGCTTGACTGTATTTACATGTCCTAGTCTGCCCGAGGCGTGAAGTGAAGCGTTTTGCTGAACTCACTGCTGATGAGACTAGTGATTTGTGGCTTGCGGCGCAGAAAATTGGTAGTCGACTCGAGAGCCACCACAAAGCAACTTCACTCACATTAACAATCCAAGTAAGATAGTCATTTTCTATTTCAATATTCATTAAATTGATCATTGTTTTATACCTGGTTTTCCAATTACTATTATTAGTATACTTGAGTAACTTTTGTAGATATGATTTTTTTACACACTATGCAATTAATAAATTTATACTCACCCATCTTTTATTTTTATTCTTCTTTTGGGAAAGCGATACACATGTATGTAGTTTTTGTTTTGCATATCTTTTAGCTATTAATTTATTTGCGTATGCATTGTTAATTATAAAATCAATTTGCTAAATCTTGTTCATATTTCTCTCTTTTTTGATGATATAAGTTCAAAAATTTTCTCTAAATTCTTCCTTTTGGGGCACCACTATAAGGACAAGAAAAGAATTATAAAATCCAATATCCTGGTAGTTAAGATTCAATACTGACCCAGTGGTGCCTCTCCTTTTAGCACTTGGGAATCTCAGTTAATGATCTTGCACCATTTTATTATGCCTTTCTTTCCCCAATCAAGCAATTCCTCAGGTCAGAAAAAGTCCTTTCCGTACCAAATTGATTCTGAATGCCTTTTCCTAGGATTTCCTTTAGGGAAAGAATGAAACATCTCTCAACACTAGTCTCCCTCTCTCCCCATGGTCAAACTTCATATTCTGCCAGCAGCATGTATAGAGATGAAATAGGAGTGAGAGCACTTCACCCAAACTGGTGATTGATTAATAGACAACTGCATAGAAGGATAGCTTGTCAAGGAAAGGAAGTCAAATGTAGATAGTTTACTAGGAAGGAGAAGGCAGTTGATCTACTACTGGTTTGAGGACTACCTCAAATTGCAGTTCATGAGCCCTTTTTTTTTTGTCAAGTTCCTGCTGTATATTAGGCTCTGTTGCAACAAACCAAGGAGCTTCTTTTCTCAGAAGTCATTCAAGATTCCCAGATTACTCACTCCTTTTGCTAGACTGTTTGAATGGGTAACAACAGACAATTCCATTCAACTTTGGTTGGCTTGATTCTTCTTTCTGCTGTGTCGGATCCAGAACTAGAAGAACTTTAGTTGATGTTTTGCTTCACCTTGAGTCCTTGACTGAGGTTTACTAGGTGACATTTTGGTTCTGTAGGTTTTAATCTTAAGCAGAATATCTAAAATTATATCTTCATTATTCTCTATTTCTTTTTAGCTAGGGTGCAGAATCTAAGCGAAGTGACCACGAAGTGAATTCTAATAGAACTTTAGGATGGCATTGCTACTTATTATTGCAACCAGTGGGTAAATAATGCAGTCTTTATATCTGTGAGAACTTACAGCTTGATTTTGATGTATTAGGATGGACCCCAAGCAGGACAGACAGTGCCCCATGTTCATATCCACATCCTTCCGAGGAAAGGTGGCGACTTTGAGAATAATGATGAGATCTATGATGCAGTTAAGTCGGAACATTTCTTTTGATTGCTTTGTAAATTTGAATTTTTATGCTTCATGTTTGAATTGAAGCATTCTTTGCCCCTACTTAGATTGATGTGAAGGAAAAGGAGTTGAAGCAGAAGTTGGACTTAGACAAGGAAAGAAAGGACAGAAGCATAGAAGAGATGACTCGAGAGGCTGATGAATATAGATTGCTTTTCCTCTAGATTTGTCAAGGACAGAGGCCATTGCTGAAGAATCAAAAATTTAATTTATACATGTGAACTTTAATATCCTCTGCCAAGTACTTTGTGATTTTTAATTATTTATTGTTTAAAATGTAAAACTTATACATAAAGTAATCTCAATTAAAATTAACAAAAAAAAAAAAAAAAAAAAAATATTGTTTAAAATGTAAAACTTATACATAAAGTAAATCTTCAATAAAATTAACAAAAAAAAAAAAAAAAAAAAAAAAAAAAAAAAAAAATTGCAATGCCAGAGCATGACCAGGAAAAAATTATTCAAGAAAAACATTTCTTAATATATATACTCTTTTCCTTTTCTTTTTGAGATGATCAATATTTATATACATCTTCAGATACAACATTCTGCTTGTGATTAGATGATTCAAGGTCCCATAATTGGGATACTATGGGGGCATTTGGCTGTTTAATCTACTAGAAAGTGCAAAAATGTTTCCCATTTCAGTGTGTTTTGGTCTCAATTCTCAACTTTCCCAAACACTATGTTTGGATCGGGGAGGAAGGAAAATTATGTTTGGATAAGGGAGGAAGGAAAATAATGAAGGAAAGAAATAAGGAGGTAAAATAAAGGAGAATAGTCAACTCTTTTATCCTTTGCCATTTTCCATCTTGTGTTTGGATGGGTGAAAACTTGAAGGGAGGAAAGAAAATATCATAATTATAAATTTACTATTTTATCCTCACTTGTTCCCTTTTTTTTTTTTTTTAACTTGTTTTCCTTTTTTTTTTTTTTTAATCTATCCCTCATTGGTATTGATTTCTTACAAGATAATATATAAACTTCCATTTCAAGGGGAAAAAATTACAAAAATAGAGATTTGTGGCAACATGAATTAAAATAAAAAACAATATGATTTCAGCTTTTTCTTGTCAAGGAGTAATTTTCAAAAAGAAATGGAAAGAGTAACTTTTTTTTTTTTTTTTAATCTATCCTCATTGTATTATTTCTTACAATAATATATAAACTTCCATTTCAGGGGAAAAAATTACAAAATAAGATTTTGCAAATAATTAAAATAAAAAACAATAATATTTCACTTTTTCTTGTCAAGGAAAGTATTTTCAAAAAGAAAATGGAAAGAGTATTTTCAAAAAGAAATATAATCAGTCAGGCCTTGCTTTCGAAACCACAGTATTTATAGCATATGTGCAGTTAAAGTCGTGTTTGACTAAAAGATTCTCTTGAGTAAAAGGAAATCATTCTTTCTCTCCTTCTACTATAATTATTCTCTGTTTTATAAGTTTAATTAATACGTTTTTGTTATTTTTTTTGCTGCATATGCTTTTTTTTATGTCTTTTATGTCTTCTCTATTGATGAAGTGTTGGTGATTTTCTGCAAAATGGAAAGGATCTTGTGTTGGTTTGGTTTAAATATGCTGGGTTTCTTTTCTGATATGCAAATCCGCAGAGAAGCAGGGAGATGATCAAGTTGGAGAGATAACAATCTTTTGTGGGTATTCTTGTAATTTTTCCACTGAACGCTAAAAGTTCCCTTTACGATCTGGTATTTTCTCTCCACTTCGGAGAGATTGTTTCTTTGTGGTTCCCAGAGGAATTTGTTTTATATTTTCATTCCTCTGCACTTTCCTCGGTTTTCCCAAACAAGAGAAAGCACTTTCCTCTCTTATTTTCCATCTATATTTTCATTACTCCCGTAAAATCCTTTCATTCCAAACAGGTTGAAAGGGAATAAACAACGTGCGACCAAAATAATACTTTGTTTCTATTTTAATAGAAAACATTTATTTTATTTTAATAATAACATTTTATCTTTTTGTAAAAATTAAGAAAAAAATGATTGGAAAATATTAATTTACATTTGATGGTTTTTCAAAAAAAAAAAAAAAAGAAAAGATAATTAATACATATTAATTTTCTAAAAAATACATGGTGATACGTTTAAATTGTCATCCTTAAAATTAAAAACTCCCATTTAATTTTACTTTAAAAAATCTAAGAAACATGAGTAAAATTGAAAAAAAAATTATTAACACCTAAATAAATATGAAAATAATTTGCTTGAATTACAGCCAACGAAGCAAGATTCGTTCAAAGAAATTTTCAAAACAAGAAAAATAGACAGTCACATTTACGTTATTATCAGTTAGCACCCATACAAATTAAGATTCTCTCAATATTTGAAAAAAAAAAAAGAAAGTTAAGAAATGCTAGAATGCAAAAATAGAAGTAGAAACAAAACAAAATGTGTTGCAGACTCGCAATTGAATCAGCCACAGTATGCAAAGAAGTAGCACAGATAAAATCATAATCATAGGTAATATTACTTATCAACAACAAAATTTAATCGTATTCACTACCAATCAATCAGTAACTCAAATAACACTCTCCCAAAAACGCCCCACAAAAATAGAAAAAAAGCTGCATATCTTGCCTTGAAAAAAAAAAACCTATAATCTCCAGCTGCAAAAAACCAATACAACAAATGCCAAAACCAACAAGTTCCCTTTCTTCAATCAATTATCCTCTTCTTCTTCTTACTCCTATGCTCCCCTACTTCATTATTTTTACCCCCCTCAACATCTCTGTTCTTCCTCTTTTTCCTATCTTCCTTATTTTCCTTCACAAGTTCCATATTGCCCCCATTTTCTTCCAAACTTCCGAAACCATTGTTATCTTCCTTATTTTCAACCCCATTTTCTTCAGAATTACCAACATTATCCCTTCCTCTCTTCTTCTTCTCATGTTTCTTTCTCTTAGTCTCCTCTTCCAAATTACCCTCACTACGAGTCTTCTCTTTGTTGATTTCAACTCCTCCTCTACCCTCATCATCCCCATAATTGGCACTTTTCTTCTTTTTCTTCTTATCGGTATCCTCCGCCACATTACCCTCCCCTTGCTCTTCTTTAACCGCAATTCTACTTTCATGAGTCACAATATTCTCAAAATCACCCTTCCCTTTCTTTTTCTCTTTCTTTCTTCCAGTCTCCACTCCATGATTTGGCCCTTGATGACTCACCTCCATGCTTTGAGTTGGTATTTCCTCAATTGCAGCAGCAGCACCCATAGTAGTAGTAGTAGTGGAGACATCTGATTTGTGTTTTTTGTGCTTTTTATGTTTTTTATGATAGGGTTCCGAGTGAAGGCGAACCAACTCATCAAGGGCCGCTGTGGCACGTCGAAGATAGGCACCAACAGCCTGAGAGGCCCCAGTCTCAGCAGAGACGAATTTGGAGAGGATGGAGGCAGCTTTGGAGATGGGAACTGGAGTTGAAGAAACTATTTTGCCTGTGACTGTCTTCATGATTGGTTTTAGAGTTAACTCTCTGAAACGTATATACAAAGAAATCAGAATGTTGTACCCAAACACAAAAATTTAAAGAGAGAGAGCATCAGGTAAAAAAAAAAGATCAGCAACCAATCCAGACACCTGGATCCAAAATATGGGCTAAAAAAAGGATTCAAACCAAAACAAAAAATGAAGCTTAACAAATTTTAATTCAATCAAGAAACAATTTAAAGAAACAATCATACAAATATAGTAAAGATTAAGAGAATCAAAGTTAACATTTGATAGCAAGTCAAGGAATCATTCATGAGAGCTGAAAGAAACAGAATACAAACAAGAATTTTGGAACATTAGCAGATTTTAAATCAGATAAACTAACTAACTCTCTCACTATTACTATTTTTTAATAACATTTGACTGCAAAGTTTGTATAAGTAGATGCATTATTTCCATTGTTAAATACTTAATTACACTCTGATTATTCATATATGTACTTCACAATCATTATTATATTATTGTATTGAGTGTAGTATCGGTATTGAATGCAATTAGGATTAGGGTTTTGAGCAACAAAGCGTAGCAACTCAAATGAGATGAGAGGAATAAAAAAGCCACAAATGTCTAGTATAAAAGTTCTAAGCAAAAGAAAGAAAAATGAAACCTGAGCGAGATGTTGCCGTCAATAGTTCAGGTGTTGATGTCAAAGACGGTGGTCAGTTTGTTCAGAACGGCGATGCAAAAGAGAGGCAAAACCACCCGCCACGGCGAGAGACAGAAGAGTAGGGAGCGGCGAACTGAGAGAGTGACGAAGATGAAGAGCTTAGGTTTTTGTTGGAATGGAAACGACGTAGTTTATATTTCGTTTAATTTATGGAAGTGTAAATTGTTATTTAGTACCTAAAACGTTTCTTTATTAACAAATTTATCGTATCTTTTCCAGAAATCAATAATTAACAAATAATCTTATTTCCCGCAATAATTTTTTTTTTCATCCAAAATAGTATAAATGAAAAAGGATAAAAGATTCTTGTGTTGTGTACATTATTTTTTGCTATAAAACTGTGAATTTTAATTTTTAAAATATTTTACACAATTAAAAAATTATCTAACTTTTCAATTTAACTGATTTAAAATAATTTTATTCTAAAAAAAATTTGTTTATTTTAAAAAAGGCTCAATTATAAAAAATATAAAATATTTCTTTTAAAAAAATATTAGGTAGCAATCGACCAAAATTTAAAAAATAATTTATTAATCATGTCATAAAATTAAATTTGCATCTAAATAGACAAATTGGAAAAATTAAAAAATTTGAATTATTTTTATCCTTTTAACAACTAAAAAGAATTTGATTAACATAAGTTTGTGATTAACATAAAAAGATTATGTATTTTACTTTTTTGAAAAAAAAAAAGAAATTGCTTTTCAAACAAACAAAAAAAAAAAAAAAAAAAAAAAATTTATTTTTATCCTTTTAAGCCAACTAAGAAAGAATTTGAATTAACATGAAGTTTGTGATTAAACATAAAATAAGATTATGTATTTTAGCTGTTTTGAGAAAAAAAAGAAATTGCTTTTCAAAGCAAACAGCAAAAAAAAAAAGAAAAAAAAAAGAGGAAAAAAAAAAAAAAAAAAAAAAAAAAAAGGAAAAGGAAGTGCCAATAACATATTGGGCCTCAGACTGAAAATGGACTCTTATTGGGCTTTTAGCTTTGATCCGATTGAAGAAAAGAGCGGGAAAAGTTTCTGCAATGTGCATATGCCAGTTGGGAAGGGTTAGAGAGGAGAGACAAGGAAAGGGAAAGAGAGAGATACCGGTGAAGAAATGGAATCCATTCTCAAGGTCTAATCCAGTTATACGAAAACTAATCCAAATATATCATATGATTTCATTCAAATGATTGATTTATGGATAATTGTTAACTTGTTTGGTTACAGAAATACTTTGGGTTTTCTGGGTTCCGGGCATACCAGAAGGAGGTGATCGAGAAAATTCTTCAAAGAAGAGACTGTCTGGTTGTCATGGCTACTGGAAGTGGGAAGTCTCTGTGGTAAAGTCCACTTTGCCTCTTCTTATTCTTCTTCTTCTTTCCTTTCTATTTTTTTTATAATTATTTTTTCTTGCTTGCTTTAAAAATCTTTTCTTTTTATTTTTTTTAATGTTAAACTTTTTGTTCTTGTTATTAGCTACCAGGTTCCTCCATTGCTTGTGGGAAGAACTGGCATCGTCATAAGCCCTCTTATATCTTTGATGCAAGACCAGGTACCTTTTTCCCCATATACATATATGTGTGTATAATTTGATTTTCAATTTATTTTATTACCATAATTATAGTAGAAAAGAAAAAAAATATTCTCTACTGAATTTGTGGGTTTTGGACTTTTTATTGCCAATGAATATACTAGGTGATGGCTTTGAAACAACGAGGCATAAAGGCTGAATTTCTTGGAACTAGTCAAAGTGATCATTCTGTTTATACTTTAGCTCAAAGTGGTCATTTTCATTTATTATTCATGACTCCTGAAAAGGCTTGCGTACTTCCTATCAGGTATTATATTTCTCGCCATTGCCTTTTTTTTTTTTTTTTTTTTTTTTTGCGTACTTGCCTATCCAGGTATTATATTTCTCGCCTTTTTTTTTTTTTTTTTTTTTTTAAATTGGAGTTATCGATATTGAACTACGTGATGTGGCATTACTCAATGTCTGCAATTTTTTGTTTCCTTCATTTTATGTGGCATATTAAAATTTTACCCTTTTTGTATCCTTGTCAATATTTTTACTTTCATCCTTCTGATTTCTCCACATAAAGATCCATCCATAGGTTGCAATTTACTTGTTTGATGAATTTAAGAGTCATACAAATCATTTTTTTTCCCCTCTAGTAGAAACATTGTTTTCTTCAGTATTTGAGAGTGCTTTTCTTGAATTTCTTATGATAATTTGTCTCTATTTTATCTTGAAAGCATGATAACTGCTTCGTCATGCAGAAAATCTGATGAATGCAGATGATTGCAAAATGCAATACCTAGGTGTAGAAACTAATGTACTCATTTTCTGTTGCTTGTTTTGAATGGAAGTTGATTGCACCATGCTTATTCCCCCCCCTTTTGCTGTCAATTTTTTTGATGAAATGCTGAAATTGTTTTTATTTCATTTCTGTAGCTTTTGGTCAAAATTGCTGGACGCGGGTGTTTGTCTGCTTGCTGTTGATGAAGCACATTGCATATCAGAATGGGGCCATGATTTCAGGTTACTAAATCCGTTGTTTAAAGAGGGTGCACTTTGTATGTATGTGTGTAATAGCTAAATCAATGTAAATTCAGTTGCCTAGACACGAAGGATGCTGACCCTGTAATATGAAGATTGTTAGAACCCACCTTCACTCTGTATTCTGCTCGAGTTTCCTTTTCCCCTAGCATAGGACCTAGCTTGAGGTGCCAAGTCACTGCAACAGTCACTACATTTCTTCAGTGAAGTTCATATGCATTTAAGAGCTGCTGCAATGATTTTGTGCTGAAGAGCTCCCTGAGAATTTAATTCAGGAATTTATTTATTTATTTTTTTATCCTGGTAACCATGCAAGTCTTAAATCTCTTCTATCAGTGTTGAGATCAACCACCATGGTGGTAGTTTCTACCATAAAATTGGGGAAACCAAAGTGTTGTCATCCTTTATAATCATAGCATTATAAATTTCATTTAAATTGACTCCTGTTGTTTCCTCTTTTACTTGCTATTATTAATATCTCATTTTTGAGGAAAATTCCATTTTCTTTTGGTTTGTCAGGGTGGAATACAAGCAATTAGACAAGTTACGGAATATTCTACCAGATGTGCCATTTGTTGGCTTAACTGCAACTGCTACTGAAAAGTAACTTTTTTTTCTTTCTTTATATTTAAAAAAAAAAAAAAAAAAAATTAATTTTAAAAAAAAAATATTTAAAAAAAAAAAAAAAAAAAATCGAACTGAAATTGTCATTCATGTCAATATTCTTTTTCCCATTGTTGTACGAGAGGATATGAATGTAAACTGCAACGTGGCATTAGCTTTTGAATGAATCGCATCTGTCATATGTATGAACTCTACCAGTTCTTTACCGTAGTAATGAAAAGAAAAATTTTAGGCTCCACAATCACCCATGTGATAGGAAATTTACCTTGGGGTATTCTCAAGCTAGGCTCCCTTCCTGCGGCATTCCCTAGGTTCCCAAGTATGCATCTTGGCTTACAGCCCTGAAGTTCTAGATATTTTCATTTTACTCTTTTTTGGTACATTTTTTAGTTTGCCTTTGTGTTTGATAAGTGCACCTGTGACTTCAGATAATTGATAAGTGAACCTGTGACTTATGCCTGAAAAATTAGTCCTTTTTGCCTTTGGCAAATATGATGTTATACTGTTACAATTTTTATCTTGACAATCTCTGCCTTCAGTTTGTGGTCGTTTGCTCAGTGTCACATTGGAAAGGTGCATTTACAACTCATAGTTGTGGCAAATGTCCTTTGATTGTTCAGTCACTGCTATTACAGGGTTCTCTCTCTCTCTCTCTCTCTCTCTCAATACGATGCATATACACATATGCATGCATCATTGGCATGCTCATTCACTAATACATTTATACATTTAGAAGTATAACTAGATAGTTTCCAGTAAGGAACAAGAAATTGTTGTTATTATGACCATTTTGTCAATATCTCATTTGTCCTGTCCCCATTCTGAGATTAAGTTACTTTTTTCATCTCCTTCTATGTTCAATAAAATTCTATGGCAAGTGGCTCATTTTAGTAAATACATTCTAAAGATAGAGCCATTAATATGTAGAAGATAGAGCCATTAATATGTAGTTAATAGCACTGTTTTAATTTTTGTTTTCTTTACTATCTTTACTCCTCCACTAGAAGATTTGCTTTAGAGTGTGGCAATTTCAATACTTGGATGATTGTATCTTGGATGATTCTATCCATGTCATGACTCATGAGGCACATGACCACCACTGAAAGGTGGCAAGTCCCTTGCCATATTTCAACTGTTCATGCCATAGAAAGTAGTTTTTTCCCTCAATTTTATAATGTTTCTTATTACGTTGAATTAAAAAGTTAATTTATTAAAAGCTATATTCTAAAAAAAAGGCCTCAGTTTTTTCTATTTATTTTGCTTAAGTTCAGGGTTAGAATGGACATCATGAATTCCCTGAGAATGAATGAGCCTTATGTTGCTATTGGCTCATTTGATCGCAAAAATCTCTTCTATGGTGTTAAACATTTCAACCGTAGTACTCAATTTGTGGACAACCTTGTGCAAGAAATTTCTAAGTTTGCAGGGAATAGTGGCTCAACTATTATTTACTGCACAACCATAAAAGATGTTGAACAGGTACTTCTTTCTGTGCCCTATGTTGACATTTACTGCTTTGCTTAGAAGCAGGACATGCATGTCTTGTAACAATTCAAAACTTTATGACCATTTTCTTCCTTTCCTTGCATTGTTATTTCAAAGCAAAGCCAGGAATCTTTTGATGACACTTAAGTCTATACATCATAGATGCAGTTTTTCCATGACATCATAATATATGCTGTTGTATTGTGCAAGACTATCCATATGATGACTTCTCTTACATACCAGCTATTGGTAGAATCTTTATTCACCGGTTTGTTGTTTTTCATCATTTGACTAACGCCTACACATGCTGTTGTCATCAAAAAATTTTCTCCAGATTTTCAAGTCACTTCAAAACGCAGGAATTAAGGCTGGAATATACCATGGTCAGATGAGCAGCAGAGCTCGTGAGGAGTCCCACAGGTTTTCACCTCTAAACCATCTATTTTTGGACTACCATTTCTACTTCTAGTTGTCCTCTTCTTTTTCTCTTCCATTGCCAGCTTAGCAGTAGTTGATTTTTATACTTTTATCTGTGTTTTCTTTTCCTCAGATCATTTATAAGAGATGAACTGCATGTCATGGTTGCCACTATTGCTTTTGGCATGGGCATTGATAAGCCAAACATAAGGCAAGTGATACATTATGGTTGTCCTAAGAGTCTAGAGTCCTATTACCAGGAAAGTGGACGCTGTGGAAGAGATGGTATAGCCTCTGTCTGTTGGCTTTATTATACAGGAAGTGACTTTTCGAAGGGTGACTTCTATTGTGGGGAATTGAAATCAGTAAGTAAATTTACTTCCTTTAAGAAACTATGATCATTGTTGATGATGGGTGCTACTGCACTAATTTGCTATCCAACGAAGCATTTGAAATTGCTATACTGTACACCTCCTTTTCTGTGAGACATTATTGTAAATTTCCTTTTTTCCCCCTCTTTCCTTTCTTTTTAAAATTAATTCCATACCATGATTCATCAGGAAAATCAGAGAAAAGCAGTAGTGGAGTCTTTAAGGGTCGCACAGAAGTACTGCATGCTGGCTGCTTGCAGAAGAAAGTTCTTGCTTGATTACTTTGGTGAAAAATTTCCAGCTGAAAAATGCGGTTTGGCTTTTACTTAGATACGTTATTTTGATTTACTTGTTATTTTCATTATATTTAAGCTTAAATATGCTACTCTTTTAGCTGGCCATCAATTGTCATTTAGTTGTTTTTCATTTTGTAGGAAATTGTGATAACTGCAAGGTCTCGAGAAGGGAGCGTGATCTGTCCAGGGAAGCATTTCTTTTAATGGCTTGCATCCAATCATGTCGGGGTAAATGGGGCCTCAATTTGCCTGTAGATGTTCTTCGTGGATCTCGAGTAAGTTATTATTTATTGAAAAATGCTAGTGCTTTCTGGTGCTTATTCATCATGAAATATAGGTTGTTGGTTCTAACATGTGTTCTTTGCTACCAGCTCCTTGTTGTTTGAAGAAACCCTCCACTTTTAGATGATTTAAATCTAGTGCATACAATCAGCTTTTTTTTCTCCCTCCATTCAAGTGAAGTTCAAATAATTAGGAAAAGTTAGAAGCATTTTACTGAGACCAATTACCCTGTTTAGAGTTTTCATGATGATGGGTAGAAGGAACTTATGATCTGTTACACTGAAAAATATCAGCTTTCTTGTAATGCTTAGCATTCAAAATTTTGTGTGGATCTATTAAAATTTAGTTGAAGCTAGCATTCAATATTCAGTCTCATCTTTTCAATTCTTACACAGATGTCTTGTCTTTTATTTTTGTTTATAGGCAAAAAAAATTCTTGATATGCATTTTGATGAGCTTCCACTTCATGGACTTGGGAAAAGCTACTCATCAACTTGGTGGAAAGCACTGGCTTACCAATTGATCTCTGATGGTACATGAAATGATTTGCTTGAAATTTGAGTTGTAATCATTAAGAAAAGAATTGTTGTCTTCTATGGTTGCCTGGTGCTACAAATTATTGGTTGTATGAGTGGGTTCCGCTAATAGTTGTGGCTTGGTGACTACTAATTGCAGCTTGCTTACCAATTTCAAGGTTTTATACACTGCGCTTCTGATTATACATATATGAAAAATATTGAGTTCTGTTTGGTGGTCTCTGTTTCTCTCGTGTTTCCAAACTCATAGATTAATATCTTTTTAAGTTGAAGAACACTTTTGTAATGACTTTGGTTGGTGGAATGAGTATTTGAATCGAAACTTATTATTTCAGTAAATAGGTTTCCTGAAAGATGTAGAGGAGTTCTAGAACTTGAAATGGCATGTTAAGAAAATATGATAAAATACTAGCACGAGCTGTTGATTATCATGTGGGTCACAACAGTGATTTATCATATAGAAAGCACGCAAATTAACAATTAACTAAATGAAATTGAAGATTAATGCCATCTCCTTCCCTCATTACCTTTCAGGGATTGTTAAATACTGATTTCATGATTGCAATACATCAGTTAGCTCATTTCTTTCCCTGAAAAAAAAAAAGTTTTCTTTTGTACTGTTTGTTTTAATTTTGATAATCAATGTGCTCTTCACTAATAATCTTTTGAATAGTAAATTATGACAACAAGTTTTTTGCTAACTCCTCAGTAACTTAATGCAGGTTATCTGGTAGAGACAACTGAAGATGTATATAAATGTGTGAGGTACACTTTTCTTTTATTTTCTAGATTCTAGAACTGCAAATTGCCAATTTGAAAATTTCAATGTTGCCTTTCTATTTTTCTTTTCTCGCTCATATATCTTGTGTTATTGAAGAACACTAATCTAGAAGCAAAGGGCCAAGATAGGCCTGGAAGTGTTGGCTAAGCAGCCTTGCCACTTATTCTGAAGTCTGAACTATATTTATGTGAAATTTTATGCTGAAATGTAATTACATAATTATGATAATAGCTCATGACATAGGTTATAGAAGTTACATTACCACCATAAAGACCTATTCTTCTTAAAAGTTTAACCTATTAGACGAGGACCCAAGAGAAGGTTGCTCTTTAATTTATATCATGAGTGATCAATTAGGAAGCCTCACCTATGAGATCCCTTTAATGAAACAGTTCTAATCATGTTCCTTCCTTTATGCATCAGTGTTGGCGCAAAGGGAAAGCAATATCTTAGGTCTGCCACGCCTGATTATCAACCACCACTCATTTTGCCATTGACTAGTGAAATGGTTGATGATGAGGAACATCAAAGTGCAACAGGTGGAGTTGGAGAATTCAAGAGTTTGGCGACTTTGGAATTTGAAAGTTTTTCAGAGGTTGGTAACTGAAGTATACTTTTTCTTATTCTTCTTTATCTTGTCTAAGTCTTTGATTCTTGTGTTTATCTTTGATCATCCATAACATTTTAAATGCTCTATAATTTGAACCTAGAATACACAAATTGTCGTCTTAGAGAACAACTTTTTAGAAATCTGCAAATTCTGGAAGTGTCTTAATATGAATTTCTTACCTCAAATTTGTGGACTCATTTGCTTAAATCTATGAATTGTCTCCATCCATGTGCATTACAATTATTGAAAGTCACCAGTAAAGCATGATTGCTGATTTATCAGGCTTGCTACTATAAATGCTGGCAGTCCCACTTGCTTGAATAATTCACAAAAGGCAACATTCCTGTATGTCCATCTTATTTTTTCCAGATGCTATGGGTCATGTCTCCATATCTCTGCTTAACCAAAGATTTGTCTTTGAGATTCCAATAGAAAAGGCAATAAGATTCGCAGTTGAGTTAATATAGCAATAAAATTGTTGTTGGATTTGATGATATTCTGATTTTTTCTGTCAAAGATACTTCAAGATTATTTATTATCTGAGGCTTTTCAGTTGATTATTATTGATATTTGGCAAAAAAGAAATTATGACTAAAGCACTATGTCAACAACTATATGTGTTCTGGCCTTGAGCTATGGTCCCTATCTACTCAATTAAGCCATGGTCCCTATCTAGTTAGGTTGAATATATGGATCCTCTTTCCTTTCTATTCAGATTAGGTCCATGTCTCTAAAAGGCTACCCTGGAGCTGTATATGCAAGTACACAGAAGTTTTATAGTATTCATTTTTTTTTAATTACAATTCACTATATGAAAGTAGTTTGAATAAATTTTTATACAAGTGTTTATGGAACTCAACAATGGGTTTGGCACTTCAGAGATGCTTAGAGTTGTTCCCAAAAGTGACTCCTGTGGCCCTGCTTTCTTATCTCAAATTTCGAAAAGTTCTTTCTAGGTTTGGACTTTTGCATACCAGCAAGAGTCATTTCAAGTGGGTAACTACCAAATTCAGGGAACATTTTCACCTTTGCTTTCATTTAATCTTTATCCATTTGGACTCAAATCATCTAAACTTGTCAACCGAAGAACTATGTAGCAGATTTTAATGCACTAAGACTTTGATTATTCATCCTGAAACCATTTGATGATGCATATACCTTTGCATTAAAGTAGGTCTTGTTTTCTTTCATAAGTCCCTTTTTTATTCCTTGTCATTATGTTCTGGTTTCCTACTGCTATTTATGCTTTCCTTTGCGCATGTATGGATTGTTGATCACTCCAGGCTGAGGTACAACTCTATCACATGCTTTTGGAAGAGAGGATCAAGCTTGCAAGAAGCATTGGAACTGCTCCGTATGTCCCATTTCACTATCAAGGCTACAACTAGCTACTAGCAGTTTAATTAACATGAAACATACTGTGTATGCATGTTGAGTTTTCATTTTGTCAGATATGCTGTATGTGGTGATCAAACAGTAAAAAAGATTGCATTGACAAGGCCATCTACCAAGGCTAGGTTAGCAAACATTGATGGTGTCAATCAGGTATGGCATACCCGTTATAATAATAAGTAATTCTAGGACATTCAATTTATCTGCTCACTGTAGCATTGCCCACTTGCTCAGAATTCATATCATTACTCATGCTTTTTACCAGAAATATGATTTATAGACTGCACATTTGGGGTTTTTTTTTTTTTTTTTCCTACTGTTATTTAGACAATTTATCTTTCTACTCTTATCTGGACTAATGCCTTGACACTAGGTCTATTTTTGAGAAGGGAGATGGAATTGAATTTGTCACTAGGTCTATTTTTGTGTTTGCAATCTACCTTCACCAGAGAATTGTGATTCAGATTTGAATAATTTATGCTTTATCATGTGGATCTGATGTTGGACAGCCATCCTGCAATTGTTCTATGATTGTGAGAAACTATGAAGTTAGGCCACTTTTGAGACACTAATGTTCTGTTAATTACATATGAGCTATTTAGAAGGGTAAAGGAGTTGTTTCGAAGGCTATGCTGTTGTAGGATGGAACTAGTCCATAACAAGACAAAAGAATTTGGAGAAAATTCTGTATATCTTCATGTTTCTGTATCATATACATTTATACAAGAGATAGCCTACAATATTCCTAAATTTAAGCACATCATTTGTAATCATATACATTTATACAAGAGAATAGCCTACAATATTCCTAAATTTAAGAACATCACAAGTTCCCTATATTTACATCCCAATAAATCCCCAGAATTACAGCTATTAATTACCAGATATATAGCAAATTAGTAAAGATAATATACAATATTACAGCTGATATTGACTCACTATACAGCTGTTATTTGACACCCCCCCTCAAACTTGATGCTGAGTGAATCAGCAGGCATCAATTTGTTTACTAAAAATTGATGTCGAGCAAGCGTGAGGGGCTTGGTTCAGAGATATCGGCGATCTCTGTGTTGTAGAATATTATGGAGCTGATTACCATTATTATCAAAACATTCTACGGACTTGAATGACATCTATTTTCACGATGTGTTTGGTGCGGCTCATAGGTAGACTGGCATTAGCTGACATCTGGAGGCACTAGTATTATCCGCATGAGAGGAAGTTGACCCAGCTGAGTAAAAACCAATTCAGATAACAAACCACGCAACCATATTATTTTCTGGAGCATGTTGCAGACATTCGCCTATATTCCGCTCCAGTGGAAGATTGGAGACTTGTCTTGTTTCTTGCATTTCCAAGAATTTAGAGCTTCACTAAATTAATACACACCACCCCGGTTGTAGCGACGAGTATCCGCGGCAACCCGCCCAATCAGAGTACTATAAGCAAGCAAGTTTAAGGGAAGTTAGCTGGGAAAAATAGACCACGAATGTTGGAGTTCCATGCAAGTATCGAATTATGCGTTTATCACAGCACCCATTTTCACAGCAACCATATGTAAGTGGCGTGGAGATGCCATGAATTGACGACTCATCAAATTGACAGCAAAAGAGATATTCGGTCTTGTTATTGTCAAGTAGATAAGACTTCCAACAAGGCGCCGATATAATGTAGGATCCTGTAGAAGTTCACCCTCCTCTTTACGAAATTTGACATTAACTTCCATAGGAGTATCCACTGGTTTTGTGTTTGTTAACCCAACCAAGTGAATTAGTTCGTGAATGTACTTGTGTTGATTTACGAGGATTCCCTTGGTGCTTCTGTGAACTTCTAATCCCAGGAAATAAGTAAGAGACCCTAGATCTTGACCCTAGATCTTTCATGTGAAATGAAGCAGTTAAAGATGATTTCAATTGTTGAATGCAAACAGTATCACTACCAGTGATTAAAACATCATCCACATATACAAGTAACATAACTATGCCTTGAGTTGTCTTTTGGAAAAATAAAGAAGGATCATATTGACTCTGTTGGAAGGCGAGATCAAGCAAAGTTTGAAGAAATTTTGCAAACCAGGCACGAGGGGCTTGTTTCAACCCATACAGAGAACGTTGCAGTTGACATACCTCATTTGGACCAGTTTGCAATCCCTGTGGCGGACGCATAAAAACATTTTCTTTAAGATCCCCGTGAAGAAAGGCATTCTCATCCATTTGATGTATAAGCCAGTCTGAGAAGCTGCAATAGCCAAAATTGTACGAACTAATTGTACGAACTGTAGTCATTTTCGCGACCGGAGCAAATGTTTCGTCATAGTCAATCCCATATTCCTGGCGATTTCCTAGCGCTACCAGATGAGCTTTACAACGTTCAAAAGAACCATCTGCTTTCAATTTGACAGTAAAAACCCATTTGGAACCAATGGGAGTGATTTCTGGTGGACACGGTTTAAGTTGCCAAGTCTGATTCTCTGCCAGTCTGCCAGAGCATCCAGTTCATCTTGAATAGCTTTCTTCCAACAATCAGATTTAATTGCTTCTGAATATGACTTTGGTATGGCAATAGAAGACAAAGTAGCAACCATGGATGTATGAGATTTATTTTTTCTTTCTGGAGAGAAACCGTACATGTCTGGGGCTCTGATGGCTCGAGCAGATCTTCTAAGTGGTGGAGGTGCAATGTCGGGCTCAGGTGGCAGAGGGGACCCAGGCGAAGCTTCAAGTGCCATTACTGTTGATGGGGTATCAGATTGTTGTGGAATTTGTCTATGAACAGGTCTTCTAGTATACACAATCCCAGGATGAAATCGGGTTATTGGAAGAGAAGAGTTGGAAGGTGAGTCATTGAAGTTGTCTTCTTGTCTTCAAACAGATGGAAGCCAGTGTATAGAAGAGGTATTGGATGAGCTTCAAAGGGAAGAAGTAAAATTTTTTTGGTACTCGAAAAAATATGACATTACGAGAAATTACGAATCCCGTTGGAGTGGTTGCGATTCAAAAACACTGAAAACCCTTTTGATTTGAGTGCGTAGCAAGAAAGACACACTTTTTATTGATTGTGGGGAAAGCTTGGATTCAGTTCGTGAGGTGGGTAGAAAGGGGACAAAACCATACACATCCAAAAGGATGTAAATGTTTATAATTTTGGATATGGTTTATGAAGCAAAATATGGTGTTTGATTACTTGGGATCTTTGAGGGGAAGTGATTTTGAGATGTACGCAGTGGATAAGGCTTCAACCCAATTTTGGTGAACAATGATTCAATGAGCAAAGTTCGAACCACATCAAGTAAATGGCGAATTTTTTTTCGCTCAGCCACAACCATTTTGCTGAGGGGGTATATGGGACAACTTCGTTGAGATAGAATCCCTTTTGATTGAAGAAAAACTTGGATTTTTGTGAATGTATTCCCCACCCGAAATCAGAACGCAAGATTTTTGTAGTCTAGAATACTGCATTTTCGAATTAGGGCTAAAACATTTTTGGAAACATCCAAAGACCTCTGATTTTCATGTTCGCAAAAATAGATCAATGAGCGATTGTAATCATCAATGAACGTTACAATATTTGTAATTGATTTGAGAAAATAACAGGGTTGAAATTCCCCAACAATCAACTATGGATTAAATCAAAAGATTCATTTCATGAGTTAGCATGAGTGGAAAAGGTTTAAGGTTTTGCATTTACCCATTTTGCACTAGAAACAATTAAAAATCAATATTTTAGGGACAAGGTTTAGTTCCCAAATCACCAGGACTTAAACAAAAGAGAAATAGTCTTTATCATTAGGATTTGACCCAACTTCGTCATGCCATTAGTGGATAATTCATCTTGAACTGAGTAGTTAGAAAAGAAGACACACTTTGAAGCTTGGTCGGTTCATGGATAATTAAGAGGAACAATCATTGCCCCATTTAGGTCCCTTTGCCACCGTTTTCCCCGTCAATTTACCTTCCTGCCCACAACACAAACCAGAGGGGAAAAAATGACTTCCACAATTTTCTCCACTATTTGTTCCAACAGATAATAATTTTGTAGTGATTTTTAGGAGCCAATTAAAACATCTTCAGAAAAGGAGAGGAAGAAATATCACCGTAGCCATAATGGGAACATGATTCCCACTAGCAGTCTCGATTTCAAGTGCCCATCATATTTTTTTAATGTTACACAGATTGTCAAGTGATGGAGTCATGTGATTTGATGCTCAGCTGAATCACAAAAGCCAGATTATTAGAGAGGGATTTGTTTTTACCCGGTAATTCCAAGTGCAGGAAAGAGCTGAATACTAATTGTTGAACTGCTCTTGAGTAAGTACAGGGAACAGCTTGTGAGAGCATTAATTCGATGTTGATGACGCCAATGATTGGTTGTTGAAGCATGCAAGCCTGAGATGTACGATTCTGGGGGACGCTTCTACACTCTGAAGAATAATATGTCCCTTAGTTTTGCTTTCTACACTCTGAAATAATATGTCCCTTAGTTTTGCAATAGTTGCAAAATTTTTGGAACATTGACTTGCAATATGACCAAATCCTTTGCAGCTGTAACATTGGACTCCAGCCAGGTTCCGAGTTTTGGTTTGTGCTGCATACGCAGCTGCATACGCAACATTGAGAACATTGGATGAGCTGCCTTGCTGTTCTAAGGCATGCTGCGTCTTTTGACGTTGTTCCTCCCTAAGCAATTCACTCAAACAATCATCCAAAGATGGAATGTTAGTCCTAGCCAACAAATTGGATCTGACAATCTCAAATTCAGATCTGAGATTCATCAAAAAACGATCTCTTTAACTAGTTTGATGAAGGTTTATGACTGTCTCCAAAGATGCTTCAGGAATAGAAGCATATAGAATAGAAGCATATAAAATCTCAGTATATTCAGTCCACAAAGCAACAAAACCCGAATAATATTCCTGGATTGACAAATTTCCCTGCGTGTAAGTGGACACATCTTGCTCCAGTTGAAAACGCCTAGTTGAATTATCTTGAGCATACACTTTTTTTAGATACTCCCACATCGCTTTCACTGTTTTAAATGGTCTGAGGTTGGCAGCAATGGAAGGATCCATTGTTTGCAACAACCAGCTTTTCACACAAGCATCTTTTGTTTCCCATTCAGCTATTTTAGTTGAATCCGTCGGCTTACTAGTCGAACCATCAACAAGTCCCCATAAGTCTTTTCCCTGAACATAATCTTTGAATTGAAATTCCCAGCAAAGTAATTCTTTGCTGTGAATTTGATGCAAGAACAACGTCAGATTTTCCATGATTAAGAAACCAAGTGATATGAAAATAAGGGGAAAAAAAAAAAAAAAAAAAAAAAAAAAAAAAAACAACACAAGATGAGAACTATCTTCAGACAAGAAACACAAGAGGAGGTATCTACGTAAGGCTCTGATACCATAACAAGACAAAAAGAATTTGGAGAAAATTCTGTATATCTTCATGCTTCTGTATCATATACATTTTATACCAAGAGATAGCCTACATAATTCCTAATTTAAGCACATTCACATCCCATATTTACATCCCCAATAAAATCCCCAAATATTCCTAAATTTAAGCACATCACATCCCATATTTACATCCCCAATAAATCCCCAGATTACAGCTATTAAATACCAGAATTATAGCAAATTAGTAAAGATATATACAATAATTACAGCTGATATTGACTCACTATACAGCTGTTATTGACAGTCCATGCATAAGTTCTTGCCTTCACAACTTTACCATAATATGCCTTTTATATTATGTGGCAGCTACTAATTGTCCCAGCATAAAATTGATCACATTGGAGAGGAGTGCCATCTTAAATGTGTGCAATTATTGCCATTACATTATAATGATTGTGCTGAATATTTCTTTTTTCCTTTCCCCCCTTTTAAGTTAAGAGTTTGAGAAATTCAAATCTCACGAGTTCAAAAGAAAAAAACTTCGATTTTCCTCATAGTACTTACCCTGTATGGCAAGATATGAAATTTTATATGATGTTTCATTGCAGCACCTCGTTATAAGCCATGGAGATCATCTTCTTCAAACGATTAGAGATCTTTCACAAAAGTTAAACCTTTCCTTGGACGGAGAAGCAAGCTTACAGACTGCTAATTCCAGAAAGATGCATCCAATTCCAATACCCAACCACCAGAGAAAATTGCCATCAGCAAAGTATGAAGCATGGAAAATGTGGCATGAAGATGGTCTATCAATGGACAAAGTAGCAGTATGTCTTCGTAAATGTTTAGAACATTTTATCTGCATTTTGACAATTCTTTAATCCTTCACTATTTTTATATGTAGAATTTTCCGGCTAGATCAGCCCCTATAAAAGAACAAACTGTTTGTGAATATCTTCTGGAAGCTGCCAAAGAAGGATTTGAGATTGATTGGCCCAGATTTTGTGATGAGATTGGACTGACACGTCAAATTTTCTTAGTTATTCAAGGTGCCATCACAAAGGTTGGGTCAACAGACAAGTTGAAGCCCATTAAAAATGAATTACCTGAAGATGTAAGTTTGCCATGTTATTTCTTTCTCCTCCTTTATTTTGTTTGAATGATTGACATTTTCATCCAAATATATGAAAAAATCTATGCCTTATCAGTGAGTTGGATCACTTAAAACTGATTAACGTCTTGCTATAATGTCAGATAAGCTATATGCAGATCAAGACTTGTCTGCTGATGCAAAACTGTGGGATATCTCTAGAAGTGGCCTTGCCTAGCGACCCGAGTATTTCAAAGGCTAGTGAGCTCGAAAACAAAGTGACTGATAGTAGTACAAAAACAGCCCCTCTTGCTTTCACAATGACACAAGAACAAGAGGTGCCTCCTATCAATGATGATCTGCAGTTGCCAGAAAAGCGCCAAAAATTAAACACAACTGAAGGAAGTTCTGTCGCATTGGAGGCAACAGAGAATTCCATATTGAACTGGCTAGAGAAACTCAATGAAGGGGTTAGTGCAGTAAGAGCCTGAGGCTCTATATTAATTAATTAGATGAAAGGGCAGGTTTGGTTCACCTCTGAAATGGAATGAAAAAGGATGAATGCCTAAAATAAAAATCCAAAGAATCCTATTCATGGTTTTTTTTTTTTTTTATTTGGAATAACTAAACATAATTTATTAGTTATATATAATGAATTCTAAAATATATATTATTTCAAATTATTCAAAAATTAAAAAAATGAAAAACAAAAAAAAAAAGATTCCTTGTAAACTGAACCAGAAAGTGCAATCCTAATTCCAGAATTTCATTCAATACCTAATTTTAAAGTGAACCAAACTTGATTTATGAATTTTGTTCAGCTTGATCTGTTGTCTCCTGAATATGGAAATCTTGCAGGTTTCACTGTCTGATATTTTGGAGCACTTCAATGGGTCGAAAAAGGAGTCTGTGATTGATCTGGTAGCTTCCCTTGAATGTGACTTTTTGATATTTAAAAAGAATAATCTGTACAGGCTTTTGTAATGAGGAATTTCTTCACATTGCTGGGGGTGATCTAAGTTATGCTCAGTTCATACAGACTTCCAATGACTGAAAATTGGCATTTATTATTTGACAAATAGCATTGTTTGTTATGTGTAAATTGAGCAAGAAGCTTTGTTTACTATTTCATGAGATGTGTTGCAGTGCTGCAAAATTTTGGTTCCTATTTCAAAATTTATTTATTTACCAATACTTCAATCAGTGAAAAATGCAAGTTTTTACAAGATTTAATTTTTCTTCATAATTTTCTTCAAGATTTAATACAAGTTTTCACAAGTATTTAGCTTTGAAATCATTGATACAAGAGAAAAATATATTTGGGTCCTTAAATTATATCCTAATTAACAGTTTTGTCCCTTTAGAGATTATTATGACATTTCTAAGTTTTGCTTTAAACTAACTATGAAGTCCTTTTGTCCCAAAATTCAAATGTTTACCATCAGTCAAATTCACATTTACATGAAATATGCTCGCTTTTTCGATAAAAAAAAAATGTTTTTTGGATTGAATGATATATATGATAGTGAATTTTTAACAAGAGTTGGGAAATCATGATATAATATGATAGTATTAATTAGAATATAATTTAAAGACTCAAATATATTTTACACTTGATACAATTACTGTATAGGAAAAGTTGGTAACTTGGCATTTAAAAAAAAAAAATCGTTTATGGTTTTGTTTCTCAATTATAAAAGAAAACTCAATTGTTGAAATATATTTATTTTAGTATATGAAAAACATCCCAATAAGAGAAGCAAAAGTGATTTTTTTTTTTTTTTTTTTTTTTAACCTTGTAACATTTCCCATAAGAGAAGCAAAAGTGAAATTTTTTTTTTTTTATTTTTTTTTAACCTTGCTTTTCAAAACCTTTTTTTTTTTTTTTTTTTTTTAACCTTGCTTTTTCAAACCATGATTCAGCAATTTGCCAAAAAAAAAATAATAATAATAACAACCATAGCGAAATATTGAAACTTTTCCCACACCATAATTCATTTTAGTAATCCAAAAAAATAAAAAACAGGGAAAAGGAAAAACGGTAATAAAACACAATGTTGGAAAACAACTGGAAAGGGGGAAAGCAATGCCATATCGGCCTTTCATTTGCCAGCAATGCACAATTTCAGAACATTAGAAATTTTTTTCATTGTAAAGAAACTTTGCTATTAAGTTAGAATTTGATGGTATATTGGTGCTCTTGGAGAGTATCCAGACACATCAATACTGTTATAAATCTGTCTTAGCAACTGTAATTTCTGATGAATTATGGAGAAAGCATAATTCAACAAAACAGCACAATTCTCTTGTTATGGAGAAAGCTGCAACAATGCAAGTAAAAAGGAAGAGTTAAATGTTTGCCCAACCAAGATGAAAACAGGAAGGACAGATATCTAGTCCGTGTTAAATTCTGATGAATGATAAAAGAAAATAAAAAAAAAAGAAGTACCGCCTAAGAAGAAAAAATTAGTACTTATGGATAGCATCCTCCAGGTCCAATTCCAACCCCGTGCGATTTTTAATAGAGGTAGATGCATCCAGAGGTACCTTACATTTCTTTTGCAGCTCCTTGAATTTTTCGACATCGAACTTCTGTTTCTTGAACAATTTTCTCTGCCTGGAGAGAAATAGCCTCTTCATCAAGTCTTGGTAAGTGGGATCTCTTGAAGTGAACAAGAAGTAGGCATAGCCGACAATTATGCCAGTTGTTGTTGCAAAAAATGAGATAGGTTCCATTACATCCCATGAAAATTCCCAGAATGTTAGCCTAAAGAATAATCCGATATGCGCCAAAGCTATCCCAAGCCCGCACCAAAGGATGCGTCTAACTTGCCTATGTGCCAGTATGTCAATTTCTTCTTTCCTCTCCTGCAGTGTCCTTAGCTCAACCCTCATAGGATCATCTTCAGGAGTAAAAGCAAGTGGCATTGCTCTTCTAATCAGCTCTACCACCTAAATGCATTCAAGTTATTAGAGAGACAAAAATACGAATAAACAAGATTAATAATCCAATGAATCTACAAATAAACAAACGAGTAAAGGAGAAGAAAAGGAAGGCAGAAAAGTATCAAGCCTTTGAATTTTATTCAATCCTAAAACACATGTTTTCTAAGACCAGACCTGCTATGTTGACCCAGCAAAAAAAAAACATGTTTTCTACAGACCAGAACCTGCTATGTTGACCCAGCAAAAAAAAAAAAAAAAATATTATATGATATTATTACTATATATAATATATATATACTATAACAAGTAATATATACAAGTAAAACCCAAATCTGGCAGCAACATATGACAGAACATTGGTTACAGCTTTTGATCTGCATATAACAGTAGTCAGTTGCTTTTGATATGCTTGGCAGCTTTCACAAGCCAAGAAAAGTTTGCTTGACATGCTCAAGCATAGTTAGTTGCAAAACTGAAACAGCAGTACAAATGCATTATCCACCCAAGCCTACTACTGCAAGCACGATATATATTGAGGCATCCAACGCAAATGCTTTGAATTAAGCAGAGAGTTGTAGCTATCATCAGGCAAAGAAAGACAAAACACAAGCCATATATTTTCAGACAAGGGGATGAATTATTTAGTTAATGCAATCCTCTGACTTAATTACTAAAATAGCAAGACATGCTTGAGTTAAAGAGCAATCAGTTAAGATATAGATATACCTGTGTGCTTACACATCTATAGAAGAACACTTAACATATAGATGCTATGCTAAAACAAAGCACAAAAAGCAATGGGATTGGTTCAAATATAATTGTAGACATGAGCATCACATTTCTGCCCAAAAAAGAATCATCACACAATATATCAAAAAGGGAGATCACATAATACATGTATGAGCAATGAAAGGTCTGGAGAAGCTTCTGATTTACCAAAAGACTAGTTCCCTAGAGGACTTATGTGCAGATTTTAAAAAAAAAAAAAAAAAAAAAAAAAAAAAAAAAAAAAAAAAAAAAACTTCATATCAGATAAACGTAGTAAGGACCAACAAGATTTTAGCTTGGTTCTGACCTCTGATATCTACAATTGAATTAAAAAAAAAAAAAAAAAACGGATTGCCATGATACAGATACATCACTCATTGAATTAAAAAAAAAAAAAAAAAAAACGGATGCCATGAATACAAGAAGTCCACATCACATCATCCAGAGAACATTAATTCAAAGTTCTTATCATAAGGAATGTCGTGTCTTCAGCATGATTGATGAAATGGAAAGAGGCTAATGCTGAGGGAGACTAAAAGGTGAAGTTGCCGGTATCATGACCATCAAGTTCACTATATCTTGTCAACGAACATAAACTCGTCTATATAAAAGGGGAATCAAACTCTGTCAAACAGTCACTAAAAGGGACTGGTATTACATACTCCATAAGAATCTCTCTTTATTACACAACAAGCCAACTTCAAATGACAGATAAAACTTGTCTATATAAACTAGTAAATGTTGTGAACTCCACATTCCTTTTTACAAGACAACTTGAGATATTCTCAGAATTGTTATATTTATCTTCCCAGTAGGACCATAGCCACAAGGAACATCTCCAGAACAGCCCTTAAAGGAGCCTGATATTACTTAATTCAGAAGAATATTTCATAAAAAAAAACAAACCAACTTCAAATGACAGATCTGTCTCTTACATTATGAACTAGCATTTCTGACCTGCATATGCTTTTTCCTAAACATCTTGAAACATTCTCATAACTATTGCCTTTAGTTCCTGAGTACAGTGACCTTCCAACACTTACTGAATGTTTGATGAAATACATAATTACTAAACTGTCAAAGAGTCAACTTTGAAAAACAGAAATATAGTTTTCTCCTTGACTGCTACTGCTCACACCTTATGAACTAAAACTATCCTAGTTATCTACAGCATCATATCTTAAATGACTAAAGCAACTATATATAGATACATATGTTAGATCTTCCTTGGAGTTGGTCCAATTGGATTACAAATGCACTCCATAGGTAGTAAAACTTAATTTGGTTTCAAACTCAAGTTTGAACAGGAGTATGCCATGCTGTGGCATCTCCAAACACAAATAGCATGTGTTTCCATCCACTTTATCAATAGACAAATATAGTTATTCACGTAACTGCGAGTGGTTTTTACATCGAAGGTTGGGCATGGTAACTTAACAAAAGGCATCTCAGCATAGTGGATATTGATGCATATTCAGCAGTATCATAAAATGCGACTTAAAGAATAATAAACAATGATTCATATCTGCACACTACTTGTACATGAATTTTCCTCCTATTAATTTGTGAGAGAGCTTCAACAAACTAGATGTAAGCACAGCCATGGCTTCCTGATCGAAAGCACAAGCTAAACTCAAAATTCAACAGTATACAGCTTCTAACAAATCGACTTGTTCCTTCACAGTAAATCCTACATCACGCTAACTGGACAATAAAAAGAGAGAAAACAACCATGCTGTTTCTTAAGCCAACAATATCTAGTGGACCAAAATTAGCAAGGGACAGTAATTGTTACGATATTGGGCTATTTTAGAAAGAGAATTAATAATTAAAGAAAGGATGAAGTGTGTGGTAGCATCTAAGTAAGCAAAAGTCTGTTCCCTACTTCTCATTCCACTAAACAAAGAAAGAACTGAATCTGCCTCTCAATTGTCATTTCTAAGAGCCATTTATTAGGTCCACCCAAACCCCCAAAAGATAAATAGAGCAGCCTCATTCTCAAACCAACTGTTGATATCATAGTCTATCAGGTTAGGAAGCAATTCACAAACAAGCGTTCGCGACATCCACAAACTTAAAAGGAAAACAATATTCCCAAAACAGAATATAATAGGGAAATATGAGTATTGAAAATTTCAGAATAAAAGAAGACAGGATTGACAGAAGCATTTGTAAGAAGACGAAGTTGACAATGTCAAAGATCGAACATTTCCAGTTTACAGAAATACCAAGTTCCTTGCCATATACAAAAGAAAATATTAATAAGAGGTGCAAAGTTAAAATTACAAAGATTAACTTCAAGCAATAATTCAAATTAATGGCTAGACCTAAGCTGAATTCTATGTTATTGATGTCTTCACTCTTTACTATTGTAAGCATAAAATTTCATTTAATTCTCAATTTTACTCTTGTTTCACACAAGGGTGAGCATAACAAACAATATTAGGCAATATGAGGCAGGAGTGAACTTGAAAATCCCGTGACAACACCAATAAAGCAATAAAGAAAAAGAAAAAGACCACTACTGAGAGTCCAAAGAGAGCCAAGAAAATCAAATCAAGATGAAAGACCAACAAACACAGTACAGTACAAAGGGAATAACAAAATGTGTTATGTTCCAAGCGCCTCTCTCTAGTAGTAGTACTAGTCTGGTTTTATACTTATGGCATTCCTTAAGAGCATAGAAAAAAAGGTAGAGACAGAGACATGGGTCACAAAGAAAGCACATAAAGGAAACAATAAGTAAACCATTAATGAAAGCAAACAATAGCCTCAATAATACTAATTAAAAATGAAAAGTTTCAAAATATAACCAAAGAAACAAGAAGATGAAACGGAGAAAAGGCAAAGCGGACCTTGTCGGGGTGGAGATAAACCTTATCCCGGAAGAGAAGTACAACCCCAGCCTCATCAAGGACGCGTGCAAAAGCTGCAGCTTCTTCTTGAGATCTAGCTACACCCAAGCTTTGGCAAGCCTGCAATAGATCAGTATAAGGGATGACCTCTTTCCCTTCCATTCCCAATTTTATTTTCAATCCCTCCACATTCACAAGCCTCATCAATCTCTTCACCTCTGCACACGTTATATTCTCCGTACCACCTCCTCCGCCTCCTTCCTGTTTGTTGCTATCTTTCTCTGCAGTACCAGAAAAAGGAAACCTAGAATCCTCCTCCGATGACGACGGTGATGGCGACGTTGTCGTCGTCGTCGTCGTTGTCGACATTAAAACTGACTTGCTAAATAAGACAGCCAACGTCATCCCTCCTACTCCTCTTTCAAGAGGTTCAATTACCGGCCTCCATCCTGTTCCTGTAAAAAACGGTGCCGTATGCAATGACGGTGTCGTTCTCCCCACTGCCGCCGCCGCGGACGCAGTCTGTTTGAAAACGGCAGCCGACCATAATCTCCTCCACATTGTTGTTTAATTAAAAAAATTAGAGATAATAAATCAAAGATCGGACATCATAATTTTTTAGATTTGTTCCTCTATCTATATCTGTTCCTTCCTAAAATATAATTAAAAAAATAAAAAGTTAACCTTTTCTTTATTTATTCTTCTTGAATTGCTAAAACTGTGAAAAACAGATAAATAAACTAATACTTGAAGATGCAAGATGAGGTTACAGAAATGGAAATTTCAGTTTTTTTCTATTATTTTTCTGAAAAATTATCAAAAACTAATCATTGAGTGATCCAATTATATCAAACAAAAAGTAACTGATAGTTGTCAACGTTAAGAATGGTTGTTAAGAATGGGAACGGCAAAATAGGAGAAAAAAACAACTGTCCCAAGACAACATGGATGGTGAAGGACAGGTCCAAATGGCCAGCCATCTGTGGTTGTGTTGTGGTCTTAGGTTTCCATTCAAGATTTGACTCCTCAAAATTATCCTGTCCAAGTCTACCAACATATTATAAAGGGAAAATAATTAATTATTGTCTGACTTTCAATCAAACTAATTAACTCCTACTTGTATTTTATGGATATTAATTAATAGTCTTTAAAATTTACTTCCATTAAATCATTCGTCCTTCCATTCATTTTTTCTGATTTTGCCATTAAAATGTATGAAAAGATAAAAATAACTTCACAATTAAACAGGAAAATACAATAATACTCTCACTTTCCTTCTAATTTTCTCCTCTCATCTCTAACTTTCCACTTCTCCAAACACCACAGTTAACTCCAACCAAACCACTTTTCATTTTCCCCAATCCAGCAAGTTGCTCTCACTGTTTCCACCGACGACGATCCGACTCTGTCTCTTGGCGAATCAAGCTGACAAACTGCTGCTGTGAATTGTGCATACACCTAAATAAAAAAAATGCAAATTCTCAATTTTAAATCTGAAAATAAAAAGATGAATGAATCTGAAATATATAATTCATACCAAATAGAGAATTATAAAATTTCAAATGAATCATAGAAAATATTGTAGTTACATCTCTTTCATTGCACATCGGAATCTGAATAAGAACCATTAGAAAACTTGAAGGATCTTTAATGTCATAAGCTTCAGTATTAATCTCTAGCTTCAATTTCTTGTACTTAATCCAAAAACATCTAAGACAGAGTACTAATCGGTCTAGAGATTGAATCAAGAATAATACAATACAAAATTAAAGCATTATAACACAAGGAGCAATATAATCGACTCTAAATGATAACCCGGCTATATAAGACCATTGAACTAGACCTTCTTGAATATCTCATGGTGAAATAAGATTCAAGTTACATTTCTTGAAATGTGCAATAATTTCTATTACCAAAGCTATTATTGATATAAAGAGAAAAGCTTTGATAAATCTATACAACTTTCCTCTACTTCTTGGCTCTTATTCGTTCATTTCAGATAAAGTAATGTGTTTCTTGATTGAAAAAAGTCTAGATTTGAAAGTCATTGCTAACCAAAAGATGCAAGATAGAGCTTTATAAGCTTTACCCATGAAAATTGCTTTCGACTCACGTGACGGTTGAGAGAGTTGGATTGTCGTCGGTGGAAACTGTGAGAGCAACTTGTTCGATCTGGAATTCTCTTTCTCATTGTAGTTGTTGACGACGGGATTATATTTGGAGGTTCTATTGGAGTTAACTGTGGTGTTTGCAGAAGTGGAAAGTTAGAGATAGGAAGAGAGAAAATTAGAAGGAAAGTGAGGGTATTATTGTGTTTTCTTGTTTAATTGTGAGGTTATTTTTATCTTTTCACACCTTTTAACGGAAAAATAAGAAAAAATAGATGGAAGGACTAAAGGGTTTAACGGAAGTAAATCTCAGGGATTATTAATTAATATTGATAAAATACGAGGACGAGTTAATTAGTTTGGTGAAACCTCAGGGACTAATTAATTATTTTTCCTATTATAAATTCCATAAATTCTTCAGTGGTAAACCAGTGATTTTTTAAAAAATTTTATTTATTTAAAATTTTTACCACTTTTTTATTTTATTAATTATTTTTATAATAATAATATTATAAATTATGTCTATTAGTTATTTAAAATTAAATTTAGACAATATTTAAAAAGTAGTAATGGAACGTGGTTATACTTGCAAACAAGTTTAATTTCACCATTTCCCCTCAACTGCACACTCTATGACATTGGCATGCCTAACATTCAATTTGTTATGGAAAAATATATAAACTTTAATTTGTGTTACAATAAAGTGAATCTACTAGATTTTCCGTTAGACAATAAACAGAAAATCTAATGTGGATACTTTTAAACTATTATAATTGCCACAAAAGCTTGCCTCATTAGCTCCAGTCAACTGGATCACATCAAATAACAAGAAATCTTCATAGTGGTCTGTGTGTACAACTCCGCTCATCTTGCCATGCTAATGCTCCTTAACTGTCACCCTGAGCCAATGACCGTAGACCGTCTTCTGCTCCCTCCCTCCATTCATTCTTAACCTCCCTACTTTTGAGCTCGCTGGTCAACTTCTTGATTCTCTTAAGTATTGTCGTAGCCTCCAAACCTTTGATCTTTCTAACAATGTTCTTTTCCGTTCGATTCCACCTCAAATTTGTACTTGGTTGCCTTATATTGTTACTCTAGATCTCTCCGGTAATAGCTTCTCCAGTTCCATTTCGCCAGAAATCATTAGCTGCAAGTTCTTAAATAATCTCATTCTGAATGATAATGAGTTGTCCGGTTCGATATTGTACGGTCTCGGTGGTCTTTCTCAGTTGAAATGATTCTCGGTGGCAGACAACGATCTGATTTTAGGTTGCTGGTGTTATTAGTGCTACTGGGTCACTAATTTTAGGGTTTGTGATTTGGTAGTGGGTATATGTTAGACCAAGTGTGAAAAAGAAAGGTTATGGTGAAGGTAGTGGCAAGGATGATTCTAGTTGGGTTGAGTGTTAAAGTCACATAAACTTATTCAAGTCTCATTATTTCAAAAACTCATTGTTAAGATCAAAGTTGGCTGATCTATTACTAGCCATTAACAATTTTGATTTGGAAAATATAGTGATTTTGAAATACCTCGAATTTTTTATTTTCAAAACTTTCAAATTTTTTTTTATTAAATCAAAAGTTAGAATTTCGACTGTATGGGCTGCATGTACTGTATAATCTTAATTCGTGAGTTGGGCCAAGCCCAAAATGTAGTATCGTAACCCCTAACCGAGAATTTTCTAAACTCTTCAAGAATTATTTTGGGCATTGAATATTAAATCAGTTAAAATAAATTAATTGGACCTGTAAACCCGCTTGAAATTTTTGAAACCATATGAAAAGTCCGTAAACCAAGCAAATCGAGCTAAATCGTTGAATCAGACCAAACTGGTTCGAATCGAACCAGAATGGTCTAGAAATTCCTAGGTCTTCTTTCCCTCTTCCTTTTTCTCTTCTTCTTATTCCTTCTTTTCGGGCCGGCACCGCTCACCGCTCGCCTCCCTCCTTCTCTTTCATGGTTACCGGTCGCCTGCGACAGGCCCGACAACTGCCCCGCTACCCTTCATTGTCGCACCTTAGCTCCCCTCTCCCTCTGTTTTCGTTCGACTGGACGCAGCAACAGCGCCACGGCTCAGGCGCCATCGATCCCAGCCACCGATCACGCTCGACGTCATGCCTCTCTCCGTTCGCGACTCCGGTGGCTGCTACAGCACAGGCGAGATGCAGTTCTTCTCCCTTGGATCGACGGCGGTGATTGCACTGGCTGTCGAGCCCGATTCCAGCCAGTTGGCTCGCCAATCTCATAAACAGACACTGGATTTGAGCTCCTTGTAACGTTTCGAGCATTTTGGTATAATGTTGCTTAGTTCTGGCCATGGTCTATTTTCCGGCCACCGTGCACGGCGGCGGCTGTGGCGGCCCGGCGACACTCCGGCGAGGCATCAAAGAGACAGAATCATTTTCTCCTCGCGTGGACCCTGAAATCGTTACCTGAATTTCGATCGGTACGCCCTAAGCTCCATTTCCTGATTTGTGTTATAAATTTCAAATTTAGAACCATCAATTGATTAAATTGAATTCGAATAAATAATCGATCAAATATAACCCTTGCTAGAAATTAGTTAATTGGTATAATGTAGTTACAAATTAATCTTTAACATTGTTAAATAAACTACATGAATTAATATTATAATTAGGTGACTTGAGGAGGAGATAAATTAGAATTAATTAATTAGTTAATTAGATGTTAAATTGGTATACATGTAGTTTACAAATTTAAATCTTTAACAAATTGTTAAAACATTGTTAAATAAACTACATGAATTAATATTATAATTAGGTGACTTGAGGAGGAGATAAATTAGAATTAATTAATTAGTTAATTAGATGATCATTAGCCTAAAACTAGTTGGTTGTGTATAATGCAAAGTAAGATGAGTTTTAGTCGGTTAACGGTTAGATGCGAAATTTTGATAAACTAAGGTTTCGAAAGCCTAGCCATTTTCGATATTGATATAAGAATCGAATCTAAATAAATAGTAGTTATAAATAGTCATTGTTAAAAATGAGTTTTAACAACTTAACAAATTAATTACCATAAAGTTATTAATTTGGTCAGTTTATGATTTAGCAAATAATCTATGAAAGTCGCTATAATTATAAACTTATGGTTGAGATAGTTGGGTGTTAATACTGATGTTTAAGGAGGATGGGAACTTGATTTGATTGATTGCCCGACTATTTGATTGATTGCCCGACGGATGGGCTATGTGTATTGATTGATAAATATATAATATTATTATGATATTTAAACAGGTGGATAACCATATTTCTAGGGGAGTTTCTGCTGAAATTTCAATAGAAACTAATCTAGTTATAATTAATAACATAATAAATAAGCTTATTTAGATAAATTCTATAATTTGATACATAATAAATAAAGTACTCTAATGATTTAATTATTAACATTATTATTCATTTAAACATTTATTATTCATTTTAATTATTCAATTTTTTATTTATTATTCATTATTATTGTTTTTATTGTTATTATTTTATTTTATTAATTGTTTGTTTATTGTTAATTACTATTTATTTATTTATTGCAATTTGATTTTGATGTCTAATTATGCATTGCATTAACGATGTTTAATTGATTAATATGTTGCATTTAATGCAATACTTGATTAATTGTGTTGTGATAATGCTATGCCTTGTATGTGTGGAGTTGGGATGAAGTGGGTTCACCATGGAGTTTTGTGGAGGGCGGTCCACGAGACCATTGGCCGTAATGGGAGATCGGGCTACCCCGTGTGCAACCTGATAATATGATCTGGATGATATGAAAACCACAGGTGGTGCTCCTTATTGGGTCGCAAACACTTGATAATCTGGATTTGATGGCGCTCCGCACAGGTGGCCTCCCTTGTTGTGTGTGCCTGATGATTTAGAATTTGATGGAGAAATTAGAGAATGTAAAAACATGAGAGGGCTGGTCAAGTGGAGGAATTAGACCGGTACGCCAGGTATGAAGGGATCGACTCCCTGGTGCACATGTATGAGAGGGCGAGCGCATGTGTGAGACGGCTCGTTGGGGTTTCGGGTGACGCCAATTGCGACTAATTTCCACGTGATGTGATTATGTGAAGATAGTTAATAATTGTGAAGTGCAGGTGATATGCCATTGTGTGACTGACTGGCGTGAGCATATAACTAAAAAAAGGTTCGGATGACTAGATTGATAATATTTACACATTCGCTGTGAAATGATGTGGTTGGATAATTATTATTCATTTTAAACTCACATCTATTTGTTTAACCTTTCCAGAAAATAGATTTCTCTTGTCCCGGTTAAGCTCTGTTCCTTTCACGGTAGAGCTAGAAAAGAATCTTCTAATTTCAGTATTTAATTTATTTACTAACTATATGAACGAAAATTTATTTACACTTATCTGTTAGAAGACTTCGTAGGTCGTATGTTTTGCTAGTCATGTGATAAGATAAGCATGATAATTTATGTACCCATAAATTTTTTATTTATCTTCCTAAGTTTAGGCTAAACCTTATGTTTCACCCTCAACTTTTCGAGTTAAATCAATATCAGTCTAAAATGACTTTTATCCACTAGACACCGCGAATTCCACTTATAAGGTATAAGATGTATATTTGGGACCAAGTATAATATAAATCATGAGACTTATTATGCATACATATAGGGCTAATGGCTTGAGATTCACATTAATTTAGTTGAATTTTGTAGTCAGACTTACTACGGGCGCTCGGGGAGCGCTTAAACTGTACGCTGGGGCCCTATGCCGATCCGGCCCATAATTGGGCCAAAGTATAATATAAATATGAGACTTATTATGCATGACAATATGGGCTTAATGCTTGAGATTCACATTAATTTAGTTGAATTTTGTAGTCAGACTTACTACGGGCCTCGGGGGCCTTAAACTTACCTGGGCCCTAGTGCCGATCCGGCCCATAGAAACTGGTCGTGACAGATTTCAACTAGAACTGGAGATTCATACAAAGGTGTTTTGTCTGATGGGTCTCCTCTTGCTATGAAAAGGATTAGTGCTTGCAAGCTAAGTGAGAAGCAGTTCAGGTTTGAGATGAATAGGTTAGGCCAACTCAGGCATCCAAATTTGGTGCCTTTGTTTGGGTTTTATATCGTTGAAGAAGAGAAATTGCCGGTTCATAAGCATATGCCTAATGATACTTTGCATTTATAGACGTTACTATACATATTTTTCCTTTCTTTTTTTTAGAGATGATTGAGAAAATGCAAAAGACATTTTTAGCTTTTTATTTAATTTTTCTTTTGAAAATATAAATGATTATTATGTCTTTGATCATTCCTTTATTGATGCTTTTTTCAACCTTTTTGTTGCTTTTTTAGGTTAATATCAATGTATATGTAGTGGGAGAAAGAAAACGAAGAAGATGGTCTCCCTCATTGATAGACAAAAAAAATAAAAGAAAGAAAATGATTGTTCATGAGAGAGAAATTAAAAAGGCTGATTTGACAAGGCCGACAAAGCTAAGCTGGGAGCTTTTTACATTTAAAAATTGATTAAAACCATCTATACCATCTTTCCATCTATTATCTAATGAAATATCTAAAAGATTCACTTTATTGTAACACAAATTAAAATTTTATAAATTATTTGAATTGTTTGTGTTTTGACATAACAATTTAGTCTTATTTTATATATAAAAAAAAAGATTATTTAACTGTTTAGTTTTATTTTATAAAAAAAATATTTAGTATCAAATTTTTATCGAAATTACTATTGCAAAATTGTTTACTTGTCCGTAAAGTTTAGGCACAATGAATTATCTAGAAATGTTTTTTTTCATCGTTAAATATCTTTTAATATTTTAATTATTTTATCATTCATATTTAATAAAGTATTAGTACGTAGGAATCAATTAAAATATATGTCCCTAAGGGTTTATTTGATTTAATTATTCATAGTATCTATAGTTAATAGTAATTACTGATGGTGCAGAGATGGTAACTGATAGGGGTTAGTTGATAATTCATGATGTTTGATAAAATTTTAGAAAATTTTAGTAGCGTTAAAATATAAAATAATCATTAAAGATATAATTATTATAATGTATAATGTATATATATTTGTTTAATTTTTAAAGTGAATTTATTATTTTTTATTTTAGTGTATTGTATAAATAGAAAATATAATTAATTTTTAAAATAATATTAACTAAATTTGTTAAAATATATAATTATAAATTTAATTTAACAATATTATATTTAATTTAAAATATAATTATAAATTTAATTTAATTTAATATAAAATAATATTCACAATATTATTAAGGAACTAATAATTAAACTTACCAACTCAATTAGAAATCTTAAGAATTAATATTTTATAATTAACATTAAAAGAACCAATTAATATTTCATATTCCAATCTAAATAAAAATATAAAAGTTCATCTAAATTTGTTTACGTGTCTCAATATTGACAAACTAATTAAGTTTCTTACGTGGTATTTTATTATTATTTCTATTAAGATGAGTTTATTGTTTCAATTTATTAGGATATTAAGCCAAAAAGAAAAGAGAGGGCGTCTCCCTCCATAACTCTTAAAAGATAAATTTCAAAAGCATCTTCAATAAGATTTGTTACATTACAATCTTAAGAAGCCCCATTTAAGCTTAATCAGCAATCAAACAAGTCAAATCCATCTCAGACATTCAGTTGCAAACCTTTTCCGTTCAAACACCAAAACAGCAAAAATTTAAAAGTTGTACGTTTCAAATATAATAAACCCAAGACTTCCACTATAATATTTCAGCTTGCATAATGCTTTAATTCCTAATACTTTCCGTCCCCAACATACCCTTCTCCGGAAGGAAACTCAATAAAAAGCAGCATTCAAATGTTTCTCCAACTCAACAATGGCGTTTTTACATCAAGAAAGAAACAGTAACTTTTTGCTGCTAACTTACTTTATTTCAAAAGGAAAAACCTTAATCAATGGAATTCCAAATAATAATAATAAAAAAAAAGACAAGTTTAAGGATCAAGAATAGAGTTGTACCATAATTTTAATGTACATTTGCTAGAGCAACAATTACTGTGTCTAAAGCATTGCAAACAACATTATTGATCTGTGCAAAGCACTCTTCCCACAGTAACTTCGTTCTAAAATTAACAACCATCAGTTACTATAGTAAACGAGGGGCTTAATTTCACCTGTTAACCTAAACTTATAAATAGTGCACATTTATACGCCCCAATTTCAATCTTTTATAACAAAAAAAACCATATTATCCAATCTTATAGCTTTCGACAATAGAAAGACAATACAAATGACACATGAAAATTGAAAAAATCTTCTACTTCAAGCAAGTACCACGTAAGTTCTTCCTCTCTTTAACTCTCTCACTTACCACTTCAATCACACGCCTAATTTTTTATTCTCCGTGTATGAGTTCTCTTTCACGAAATATCTCTCTCCATTTAGGAAAAGTATTGGAAAAGTTAAAGAGCAAATATTTTAATCCCACAAGTCCTTCTTATCATCTTTCCGTCACTCAAATTTGTGAAGTATGATACTATGATTTTCATTGTTATACAAAATAATGTTTAGTTTGGTTTATGTTACAAATTGAAATCTAGGCACGTGTTTATATTCACCGATTATAAGTTCAAAGATGATGGGTGAACTTAAGCAGTAACGGAGTACACAATTGCACGGCCACCATCAATAGAATCATTGACTATGTCTTTTTGCTTTAGAAAGAGTTTTAATCAAACCTTTTGTTATCTTCCAAAACCAAATCAAATTCATCACTGCCAACACAGGAGGCACGAAAAGCAAGCTATAGAAGCCCAATGGAAAGATTTTTGTCACCTGAAATTTAAAAAAAAAAAAAACAAAAGAGAGAGAGAGAGAAAGAATCAGCGAAAGAAGGAAAAAGAGTTACGAATCAATTGCAGCAATCTTTTTATTGCTTTTGCATTTTATCCCGACTATGCAGCAAATATACTTAACAATTTTTTCTCCATATGTAAAAGAAACAAAATGGAGCAAATTACAATGCATATTTAGATAACCATTCTCTATAATATTATAATTTTCTCCTAAGGGCATATAACTCAGACTTCTGATTTGATAAGATTATTGTAAGTCAAAGGTTACTGATGCAGAAATACACAGATTGAAAGCAAAAACAATAATGCTTTTTTTTTTATTCATTGGGAGGCCAATGAGCTGAAATAACATGATGGGCTACACAATAAGGATAGTGCTTTTCTTGACTCACTAAATTGGTAAAAACACTAAGGGCTTGTTTGGTTCACCTTGGAATTGGAAAGAAAATGAAAAAGAATTTCTAAGTTCAAAATTATATTCCAAGTTTGCTTTTTTAAATGAAGAAGTAAAATTTGTTTGCTAAATTAAGAACTATAGTTAAAAATATATATCATTTCAATACATATTAAATTTATCCAAACATAAAATTATCAAAAGAAATTTTAGATTCCACACGTACCAAATGAAAAAAATGAAATCCTATTTCCATGAATTGCATTCCACTCCCAATTTTAGAGAAAACCAAAAATTGGCTTGTTTTCATGTTTGATAAAATATAATTGAACATAATGGAATATAGTTAAAAAAAAAAAAAAAAGCACTCATTGTTCTAATGGAATTTTATTTGATTACTACATTCTAATACTTCCAAACAGACGTGCAATAAAATATAAGCTTTTCACTGTTTCAGCTCTAGCTTTTAAGGGACAATCCAGAATAACCACTCACCTGATCAAAGTGGATAAACATGTGAGTGAAGAAGTAGATGAACAAAAGAATCCTTGCAACCTGAACACATAGCAGCTTTGTTACAAATCATTCAGTCATATTAAACAATTATGATAAAAACAAAGGACAAGTATCATGAGATTGCACAGAAGGATTCTAGCAGTAAGAAAAAACATAATGTCATTCCAGGAAACTTGTATCAGTCATCTCCCAACTACATCACCAATTCTTAAGAACTTTTTACACCTAAAGAACTCATGCAGAAGATGGAATTTGTTTTAAAAAACATGAATTCTTATTGAGGTAGAACAAAAACTAAAATATGTTTTCTTACTAAAAATAAAAACTAAAATAAAGTGAATTAAAAGAAATTTTAGTTTCCTCCAATTGGGAGTGAAGATAAAATTAATTGGTAAAATAGGGCCAGTTCATGTACAAGAATGGTATATACTAGCTCAGTTGGTTAGTTAACAGAAATAAATGAAAAGGATCACAACACTGTTGAATCGTCTCCCATTAATAGCAAAGAGAACCCAGATTTTCAAAGATACCTATTTAAGCAACGAATCACATAACTACTTTTTCTCCAAATGTCCCCATTCAATCTCCCACCATAACACCATAATGTTTGGGGCGTTTGGCTGTCCTGCATATGCCCAAATTACCATAGCTTTTTGCCCTCATGCATTCAGTGCAGATTTCAAAATATTGCCGGGCAAAAGAAAGGTCACCAGTATTATTAATAACATTGTTTATGCTGTAGCTAAAATGGCAAGCTAAGTTACTCTGCCTGGATATATAATAAAGTAGAACATGGCAATTGGCTTATTGCCAACATATGCCAATTTCATGAGCAAACGTTGCAAGCTAACTGAAACAGGTAAGGATTTTGAGTATGTCAGACAGTACCAACCACCCCAGGAACAATAGCACTCCATTGCAGACATATAAATTGGAGCTCTTCTGACCAGCAACATCCAAGTGCCTAAATTTGAATTTAGCATAAGTCAATGTGGGCAATCATAAATCAATATGGAACTTAAGAATCTTCTGAATTATAACTTTACCATCTTAAATTTACAAACGGAGTTGTGCTCTCAGAGAAGAGAACCATTAGTATGTAAATCTGCCCTTGACCACTTACAAGGGAGAGAAATATTGAATACATGGATAGTCCATGGTGCACAACCTTAAAGAATGAAACACATAAATGGTGTTAATAAACAAGCTTGCTATAAACTTCCGAAAACAAAAATCTGCCGACTAAATTCTCCAAGAGAAGGAGGACACTGTCACATACTTGTTCAAACAATCAAAATATGATTTCCACACTGCTTTAACCAAAACAATTTCCCAAATGGCTGTTGAAGAAAAACCAAAATTAAAAACTTTTACTACGAATAAAGATATTGTTATAGATAAAGATATAATTAGTTCCTTTTCTCTTTCACTGGGATCAGTGTAGATATTAGATAGTTTGAGGTCTCAGAAAATAACCAAATATAATATCCACCTAACATCAATGATGTGATTTTTTTACTTACATACTCCAGACCACCCAAAGCTGGGAAATACCAAAGAATCATTGCCAAGTCTGACAGAAAATAACCAACGGAGATCTGCAAAAAGAGGCAAAGTAATTAATAGAGACAACACATGAAAATGATTGAACAATAACGAGCTGGGTAAAAATACTGGAGCCTATGTTACAGTATCCAATTTCCAATAAACATAGAGAACTATTTACTCTATTTGGATGGATGAGATCATAAAGCATAGAGAACAAAGATGAGATTATTTTTCTATCTAAAATAACGAATCTATTGTCAATGAAACTAAGAATCCCAATTAGGCCTAACACCAAAAGATTAGAAACATTTTCGAAAAATTGCATTTATGACCAAACCTCTCAAAATAGATTATTTACCGTAATTTCAAGAATTAATTGCAATTATACCCGTTTAATCAAATCGAAATGAAAAATAGCTTATTATACCTATATTTTTTCTGGCTCCGTGTCACCAACCTCAATTCTATCATAATAAACCTCCATCAATCTCTCCTTAATTACAAGGAATAATGAGTGCAGTTTTGACCAAATGAGTAAAATCATAACTAATTTTTGAGATTACAATAATAGTCTATTTTGGGGAATTTGCATACAATTGCAATTTTTCAAAGAGTTTTGGGTCTTTTGGTGATTAGACCTCCACTTTATGTAAAATTAATGCATATAATAAAGCTAGTTCCCAACTCTGTGTTATGTTTAGTTGGGCTAGAATTATAACTAACTAAAAAGACAATAGATTAAAACCATGTATTCAATCCAGGGGTGCACAAAGAACAGCTTTGTTTTTCTTTGTTTTTTAAATATCAAGTATTGAGTCTCATTTGCAGATACATATATGATTTGCATCTTTCTATGCAGAAGGGCATTGCCAGCATACTTCCACAACCCCTAATGATGAAAATTTCAAGATATTGCCATTAACTTTAAATGATTGATATGAGCATAGGCACAGATGCAGACATGTGACATAACAAGCGATGCTATCAGTATCATATCAGCACGTATCAACTTTTATTACTGCAGCAAAACATATTTTAGTTGTACCATTAAATTAGTGTTTCTTGTGGGCATGACAAGAGATCTTGAATTTCAAAACCAACGATACACTTAATTCAGCAAAATGCAAATGACTCAAGTTAATTAGCCAAAGGGGTAGAAATGATAACAATGGATGTATTGCCTTTTCTCGGACAGCTTACCCCCAATACAAAGTTTGATATGTTCGAGGCTCTATTAACAATTGACTCATCTTGAGAATCCTCATCAAAAAGATTTGATAACAGCACAAGATAGAAAGCAGCTGCCGCTACAATGACAGCATGAAATGTAGAGAACCCCCTGCATGATTAAAACAGTCAATATTTATGCTTTGTAAAGAACCTAAACGTAGTTTTACAAGAGAACTTCTTAAACAGTGAAAGGAATCAACAAACAAAACAATCATACCTGTTGTTCCATTCAATTTTTTCTGCTTTGTTGAGCTTGCTATATGATTTGAAGCACAAAAGGCTAAGAAAAGCTGTTAATTTATAAACCTTCAAACACCAAACTTAACAAAATTAGAAATCATTAAAGACGCGAAATACATGATAAAAATGTAGAAGTTTCTTTCTCCCCAAAGAAATGAAATTTTGTTGAAGAAAAAAAAACAAAGGAGATGCATTGTGAAGGAAAGGGGATCCTACTTAAAAAGATCAACGAACAACCATGGATGAAAATAAAAGCAAGCTAAAAAAGAAACAATCTCCAATCAACAACCTCACACTTCTTTAATGTAGATGCATATCCTACATAGAAATCAAAAATACCACGTCATTTCATAATAAAATAAGGGACAACCTCTGATTTTTTTTTATGGTGTTGATCTTTTTCATCCAAAAACTTCCACCCAAAAAAAAAAAAAAAAATTTTACATCCAAAAACTTTCCACCCCAAAAAAAAAAAAAAAAATACAATGCTGAAGATCTCTTGGCATTCTTCTGATCATGATTATGTTCCCCCCAAAAAAAAAAAAAAAAATACAATGCTGAAGATCTCTGGCATTCTTCTGATCATGTATTATGTGTCATCATAAGCATGGTGCGCCTCACCCTCAATTGTTTCTAAATTATAAAGTGATTTGTGCAATTTGGAATAGCTTTTTTATCATTTGTGTCCAGAATATTTAGACTTTTGTTGGATTAAAATTGAGAGGATTGATAAAAGATGCCTTTGGAAAAATGTGCTTTCTTTGCAATTCTGTGGAGTATATGAAAGAAGGGAAATGCAATTCAAGATGAAAATTTGTCCTTTAGTTTGTTATGGAACAAGGTGATGTTTTTGGCTTCTACGTGAGCTTATGTTTTATGAGGGATTTCTTTGAATGTCATCCAACTTGATTGGAAGGCACTACTCTTTTAACTAGTGTTTTACCTTGATGCATTTGTTTTCAAGCCAAACCATTTGAGCAATCTACTAAGACTTAGCTCCATCGACTTGCTAATCAAAGAGTCAACTTTTTGTTATAGCCACAAATAGAGAGGAACCGCTCACATTAGTCAATTAGCAAATCCAAGTTACGACTATGTATAGAGCTATTGATGTTGCTATACCAAGTGAGTTGTAATCTTTTTTTTCCCTTTCTGTACTTCTTTTAGTTAGTGCCTGTAATCTATAGATAAAATCTAAATTTACATCCACCCAAGACAGCACCAACTGCACTTGCAAGGCAACCTTGTACCTTGGAATTACGAAGGCTGTCTCAAAACAAGTTATGATGAACTCTATTCTTTCAACTAGATACCATAGGCTTGTTTCTCATAAAACATACCATGATTTATTTTACACTATCCTGTGATATTGTGGCTTGATAAAAATGGGTTTACCAACTGAACACATGAATAAACAGAATTTAAAAAACATACTTACAAATATGCACATGATGATACCAGACAAGATGGATGCCAGCCTGGTTGGGCCAACAGTCTCCCCAATGGATGGAAGACCAGAAGGAAAATGTAAACCCACCATAATAGTTTGCAGGAACACCAAACTACACGAGATACACCATTCGTTCTATTTCAATTAGAAAGCATACATATTGATCACCTATAATTACCACACATATTAAAAAACAACACATATAGAAATCCTGAAGCTTCTTAAATCCTCAAACAGGACTACTTTATTAAATTCCCAAAGTAGAATCAATAACTTGTTCAAGCAATATGGTGGGTTATCTTAGAGCCAAGTGAAAAGAAAAAAAAAATGAAAATGCTAATGATGAATGTAATTGAGCCTAAGAAGTTCCATTAGGTAGTACCCAGTAATCAGTGATGTGCATGTTTTAAAATTAATGATAATATGACGCGTTGTAAATAAAAGCAGAAAAAGTCATTATAGCTAGCTAATATGAAATAAAAATAAAAGGAAAAACAATCTAAATAAAAGGGGCCTATAATCAACAAGGAAACATAATCAAGAGAAAAATGAAAAAAAAGTTACATACCCAGTTATTGGTAGAGAAAGAAAAGCAGCAAGAAATTACTACTTTTCTTGTCAACACTCGATCAATATTCAATAACCAAAGAAAACAATAAGAAGAAGGAGAAAGAGCAAAAAAAAAACGGGGAGGTTCGGTGTTTCGATGCTTTAATTGGCGCAGTAACGGACCTTTACGGGCATTAATGGACAGTATAGGCAAATAGGTTTGGTCTTTTGTTTTGCTGGTAAACACTTTCTCTCTCTTCTTTGTTATTGAAGAGAGAAGACTTGGCTCGGTCAACACCACCGATTCCAGTTCATCTAGCAATTGGGTAGAAATGAAACCCGTCAGGACAAGTTTTGGAATGAAATGGAACCCTATGCGTCCCCTTTGCTTCACGTCGGACAAGAGGCGCAGAGATCGAGCTTAGGGCCCGTTGGTGCTAGCGGATGGTGATACCAGTGGCGGAATGGTAGCACTTAGCCAATAAATAGTGTCACGCACCAATAAAAAAAATGCGCAAAATATTGCGCCCAGCCCGTGACAATAGGCTTAGGAGCAAGAGTATTTTAAATGGATTAATTAATTGAGTAAAGCATTAAAAATATTTTGAATTTTGCCTTTTGTTATAATTGGAAATCATTTTTAACTTAATCCATAAAATACCCCAATTTTTCATGTTTTTATAATTATACCCCAATTGAAATTGGAATTTCAGAAATAAATATAAATAAAATATTAAAAACTGGAATCCATATGTTCATCCCTTAGTTAATTAAAATGGCGTGTTGCTATATATATATATATATACATATATATATGATACTAGGGATTTATCTAAGTTTCAAGAATTAGGTCCCATTATATTGCAGATGGCTGGTGGGATCCTTATGTAAAGGTAGTATAACTTTTGAATTCCTTGACTAGTGTTTATCAAATTGATACGGATCGGATCAAAGAATGAGATATAAGTTCGCCTCTATGTCACCCCACGTTTATAATGAAACGGAAACACCAATAATCGAGATTAAACGCTCTATGGCACCCCACGTTTATACTGAAACGGTAACACCAATAATCGAGCAAAGAACAAGATAAACGCCACAAACAAGTTGATAAGCTTACCTTAATTCTTGATGCAATTAGAGGAAGCAAATCTCTCACTATCACTCTAAGCAAAGGAGTACAAGCAAGCTTAAACAAATGAAGTTTTTTCAATTCTTCAAAAAATCGTCTTGTTCCTTACATTGGAATTACAAGATATTTATACTAAAACAAGAAACTAGGGCTTAATGAAGCATAAAACACATAAAACGCGTTACTGTAGCGCGTCTGAGTTCCTGTAGCACGTTATTGTAGCACTGTCAAAATTTACTGTAGCAAAGTCAAACTGATTGGCGCGGCACTATAGCGCTTCTGAGTTCCTGTAGCACTGTAGCGCTTCTGAGTTCCTGTAGCACGTTACTATAGCAGCGTGCTTTCCTCCACTTAAAGAGCCACCAACAACATTAGAAGCCTAGGAATGCCTTCAAGTTCCTCACAACACTTGTTGAATGCAACATCAGTTCCTCCACAACACTTGTTTGAATGCAAACATTCATGCAGTTTCTTGTGTTATTTTGGGCTTGAACAAATAATGATATGGCTGCCCCATATCGCTTGGCACGGCTCCTTGTAAATCGGTCCAATGGAAGCACCAATGGATCTTCCTTCGTCGTTCCACATTTGCCTCCTTGCTGTGATCAAGCGACGAGTGATGGATGGAATCCGTATCATTTTCGCAAACCAAAACTGTCTTTCCCCATCTTTTCGGTTCCTTGTAATCGGTCCAATAGGAAGCACCAATGGATCTCCTTCGTCGTTCACCATGCCTCCTTGTGATCCAGCGACGAGTGATGATGGATCCGTATCATTTTCGCAAACCAAAACTGTCTTTCCCCATCTTTCGCTCGACCAAAAACTCATCGTCGAGAATTTTCGAGTGAGTTTACCATAAAATTATATCTCCCAGCACTGATCCATCCACTGTAATAAAACTCAGAGAGAGAAACAAAAAACTTGCCTTTACTCACCCTGTCCCTCATAGCTTTTATTTTTGAAATAGAAAGAGCAATCCGTACTAATAAATAGTCAATAAAAAATAATTATTTTGTATTGAGACAACTGATTAAACTGATAGTCTCAATATAAAATAAAATTTTTAAATTGTTAAATAACCTTTTCATCAAAATACACAATTCATTTGGTGGTTTTAGTGCAAAAAACTTGCCTTTACTCACCCTCCCCCAATAGAAAAAGTAATCTCAGCAAAAAACAATTATTTTATATTGAGACAACCAACTAAATTAATAGTCTTACTATAAAATAAAAATTTTAAATTGTCAAATGACCTTTTTATCGAAATACACAATTCATTTGGTGGTTTTAGTGCAAATATTTGATGTGACTACTACTCGATGAAAAGTACACGATAAAATAGTATTTTTATCAATAATCCACTAAGTTAACCAATGATTTTAATTATAAAATATTTATTTAATTAAAGTATCTTTTTAGCCAAATATACATTTTTTTTTTCAGATTAGGTAAGAAGCTTCATTTATGATTATCAAGAAAGGAAATAAAGACCGCGACTTTAATAGAAGTGCTATTGAATAAGACCGAACCAAACCTTGAGAACTAAATAATTAATAGTCAAAAATATGATGATGAGTTGAATAATTTTATAAAATTTTAGGGACCAAATAAATATTTTCCCAATTATTTATATCAATAAAAAATTTAAAAAAAATTCTTGGACCTTTTAATATGTAGCAGTTCATCTTATTATTATTAGATGTGTAAAAAAATTTTATTTGTTCTTTTTATATGTAAATAGTGTACGCATATCTTTAAAAAAAATTGATTTTGTGTTATATATTTACTTAACGTTATTTAAGAGGTTTTAGAAATTTAATAAATCATACTATTAGATTTTAAATTTAGATAATTTGTATTAAATAAAATTTTCCTAATATTATCTAACATTTTCAATTAAACTTTGCAAAGCAATTTAGTATATTCTTATTTTATGGATTCTTAATAATTTTAATTTATTCATGCAAATTATATTTAATATTTAAATTTATTAAAACTGTGCTTATTTTAAAATAAGCTCATGAATGGAAGAATTAATTTATGTACTATAACTTAATGGTAAAAATATTTATGATTTTCTTTTAAAAATGTATTTATAATCTGGCATAGATTTATATTTAAATCTCACTCTTACGTAGATATAGGGAGAGTTGATTCTTATCTCTTGCGACAGTCTCTCCCTATTTTTTTTTATTTTATTGCAAATTTTTATGTTTTTTTTGTCAATAAATTACAAATCTATGACAAGTTGGAATATATTTATATTATTTATATTTCTACTATTTTTTATAGTTTATCTCCGTGTGGAGTTTGTGATCTCTCCATTATATATAGGGTATTTATTTTTGTTTTATTTAGACATATGTGCAATTCATGATGATCATCTTCTGTGAAATATGACCTGTTCTCTCTATTGAATTTAATGGTTTAAAAACTCTATATTCATGTAAGCAATTAATTAATAGATATTAAATCATATATCGAATATTAAAAGAGTTTATTTAGCCGATCACTGAAGATTTATTAATTTTTTTAAATTCAATTTTCAATATTAAAAGGGTTTATGATTTGTATTAATTGAAGTTTTTAATGAAATTTTAGTATATTATATTAAAAAAAAAACATATTTTAATCTTCTCTCCTAATATTAAAAAAAAGACTAATTTTTTTATCAATTATTAGTAAACAAATAGACACACGTGGAATGCCCACGCTGTAACGATTATAACATGCTTTTGACATTTTTTTAAGTTATTACAGTATCCACACAAACGGAATTTTCGAATCTAAAAATCAATTTCATAAAGTAATTTCGTACGAGGTACTATTGTATTTTTTTTATTTATAGAAAAACAATAAAACAGTATGAGGAAAATTCTCTTCAAAACAAAAAAAACAGTATGAGGAAAAGTGAAAGATTTATAACCATCATTAAATTTTCATCTTAACCGTTGGTTCAATGGCCTTTTATTTATATTTGTGATCAAAAACCACCCGTTCGATCTAGGTTTCCGCAGTATTTCCCGACTCTTGCTCTCCATCGACCGTTCGATCTAGGTTTATATTTTCTATTGACAGTATTTAAACCCTCACTTTCTAGTCAAGTCTCCAGCTAAGTGCATTTTGTTTTTTTCTCTTCTCATCCATTGAGAAAAGAAAAAAAAAAAATCTTGCGGTCAAAAGCTGCCAGTAACTGCCTCACTCCTTAGGTGACGTCAATTATCTTCTTCTCCGGTCACGCGAAAAACAGCCTCCGGCGAAGTCAGAGATGGATTCACACGATGGTGCAGTTGGTAATGGGTCACATGACGCACTGCCTCCACCTCCACCGGTCGTTCCTCCAGATGTTGTTCCACTGCGAGCTGAACTACCAGCGGAACCGGCGAAGAAGAAGCCTGCTAGGGTTCCGATGAGTAGGCGTGGTCTTGGATCCAAAGGCAATAAGATACCTCTCCTGACTAATCATTTCAAAGTCAACGTTACTAACGTTGATGGCTACTTCTTTCACTATTCTGTATGTTCTTCTTTTTCTCGCTCTGTTATTTCCTTATTTGGTAAAATGTAGCTTTTCTGTGCTTCTGTATTCTTCAGTTCTCTTGTCCTCGTGAAGATATTTTTTTCCTGCCATTATTCAGCTGTCATTACGCTAATTTTCGTCGATTTAGTGTTTGTTTGAACATTTTTGAGACGTTATTTCCGTTGCATGTGTCGTATATATGAATTGCAGCTGATTTGGGGTTATTTTGCTGTTATTGTGTTTGTTTAAACAGGTTTCTTTGTCTTACGAAGATGGTCGTCCTGTAGATGGTAAGGGTGTTGGGCGAAAAGTGATTGATAGAGTGCAAGAGACTTACGATTCTGAGCTGGGTGGAAAGAACTTTGCGTATGATGGAGAGAAGAGCTTGTTCACTGTTGGGTCTCTTCCTCGCAACAAGCTAGAGTTCACTGTTGTGCTTGAGGACATCAGCTCTAACAGGAGTAATGGCAACGCAAGCCCTGATGGTCATGGTAGTCCTAATGAGAGTGACAGGAAGAGGATGCGGAGACCATATCGGTCCAAAACATTCAAGGTGGAAATAAGTTTTGCTGCTAAAATACCCATGCAAGCCATTGCAAATGCTCTTCGTGGTCAAGAGTCTGAAAACTCTCAAGAAGCCATTAGGGTTCTGGATATTATCTTGCGGCAACATGCAGCTAAACAGTAATGAAACATGCTACTTTTTTCTGTCTTCTGATATTTGGGAGGCTGTAACTCTCTTCATTCTAACTTTTAAATTGTCCATTACAGGGGATGCCTACTTGTTCGTCAGAATTTCTTTCACAATGATCCTAAGAATTTTGCTGATGTTGGAGGTGGTGTTCTAGGCTGCAGAGGGTTTCATTCTAGTTTTAGAACAACTCAAGGAGGCTTGTCTCTGAATATAGGTACCTGTATTTTTGTTATTGCTCTATTGGGGTTTGTTGCTCTTCTGGATGAGTTTTTAGTTGTTCCATCTCTCTCCAGATGTATCCACCACCATGATTATTCAGCCTGGTCCTGTTGTTGATTTTCTAATTTCCAACCAAAACGCTAGAGACCCCTTTCAGTTAGACTGGGCTAAGGTGATAAACTTTTCTTGGTATTGCTTGTCAATGTCTGTGTTTTATTTATGTTTAGCTTTGATTGTTGGGTATGTTGACAGGCAAAAAGAACTCTAAAAAATCTGAGAATCAAGGCAAGCCCATCCAATCAAGAGTACAAGATAACTGGATTGAGCGAGAGACCATGCAAAGAGCAAATGTATTCTTCTAGTATTCATCTTTCTTTTACCAAAAGATTGCAGTATTTGACATTTGGTGCTGTTTTTTTGTTAGCTTTGAATTAAAGCAAAAGAGTACTGGTGAGGCACTTGAATTAACAGTGTATGATTATTTTGTTAATCATCGCCGAATTGATTTGCGATATTCTGCTGATCTTCCCTGCATCAATGTTGGGAAGGCAAAGCGCCCAACATATATTCCAATAGAGGTTACCCTTTTAATTTATAGTTAATCAGTTTGCTCTCTCGCTCTCATCATGGTGTATTTACTTTTCTATTGTTTTTTAGCTTTGTGAATTGGTGTCCTTGCAACGTTACACAAAAGCACTAAACACTCTTCAAAGAGCTTCTTTGGTGGAAAAATCAAGACAAAAGCCACAAGAGAGAATGACAACTTTATCAAATGTGGGTAGCTTACCTTAATTTTCTTGTATGATTTAAGACTTTTGAAAAATTTATTGTCATGGATCTCTTATGTTGCAGGCTTTGAAGACCAGCAACTATGCTGCTGAACCTATGCTAAGACAATGTGGCATTTCAATTAGTAATACTTTTGCCCAAGTTGAGGGTCGTGTTTTGCCTGCTCCAAGGGTATGAATCGGACTTTATGTGGCATTTGTTAGTTTTGTTATCTATGCCCTTTGTGTGTAGTATAGCAATGATGGTAGGTATTTTGTTTGTGCTTTTTGCTTGTGCTATCTTCAGGAGATAGTGAAAGTCTGTTCATTAAAATCTTTACTTATTTTCACCTTTTTGCAACAGCTTAAAGTAGGTAATGGTGAAGATTTCTATCCCAGGAATGGGCGCTGGAACTTTAATAACAAGGTGCCTGTTCCTCTTCTCACTTGGTTATTGTTTTGATTTCCTTTCTGACATTATCATGTAATTATTGTGCAGAAACTTGCGGAGCCATGCAAGGTAGAGAAATGGGCTGTTGTAAACTTCTCTGCACGATGTGATGTGCGAAAACTTGTGCAAGATCTGATGAAATGTGCAGATATGAAAGGAATAGTAAGTGGCCTCATTTTGTGCTCATTAGTGGTATGCTTAATGTAGCAACTGACTCGGCTTCCTTTTGCTGTCTATTGTAGCCTATTGAGCCTCCTTTTGAAGTAATTGAGGAGAGTCCGCAGTTGAGGCGTGCCCCACCAACTGTTAGAGTGGAGAAAATGTTTGAAGAGATACAGTCTAGACTTCCTGGTGCTCCAAAGTTCCTTTTGTGTTTACTTCCTGAGAGGAAAAACTCTGACTTATATGGTAGGTGATTTGATCTTGTCTTACTTTTTCAATGAGGTATGTTGTGGGGAATTCCTGTTTACTGAAATCAAAGCAATCTTCAGGTCCTTGGAAGAAGAAAAATCTTGCTGAGTTTGGTATTGTCACTCAGTGCCTTTCTCCACAACGGGTCAATGATCAGTATCTGACTAATCTTCTGTTGAAGATCAATGCTAAGGTTAGATATCAGACAAATATGTTTTTTATCTAGATCCTTGTGCCGTTAGCATTCCAGCCAACAGCATCTCCCTGTATTACTTCTTTTTTTTTTTTGAATTACCTGATTGCTGGGTACGAGGATAGTTTTGGTTATTGTGATTCCTGTTAATCTGGCACATATTTTCTTGAATTCATTGCAGCTTGGTGGGTTAAATTCAATGTTAGCAGTTGAACATTCTCCTAATATTCCAGTGGTTTCTAAGGTTCCTACACTCATCCTATTCTTGAATTCATTGCAGCTAGGTGGGTTAAATTCAATGTTAGCAATTGAACATTCTCCTAATATTCCAGTGGTTTCTAAGGTTCCTACACTCATCCTATTCTTGAATTCATTGCAGCTAGGTGGGTTAAATTCAATGTTAGCAATTGAACATTCTCCTAATATTCCAGTGGTTTCTAAGGTTCCTACACTCATCCTATTCTTGAATTCATTGCAGCTAGGTGGGTTAAATTCAATGTTAGCAATTGAACATTCTCCTAATATTCCAGTGGTTTCTAAGGTTCCTACACTCATCCTAAAATGTTTTAGAGAAGTAAGCTGTGATTTGATGTAAAATTTTTTCTGATTTGCTATTGTTGAATTTATAGGTTGTCAGTTCGAGGCAGTGGCCATTGATTTCTCGCTATAGGGCCTCTGTACGTACACAGTCTCCAAAGGTTGAAATGATAGATAATCTGTTTAAGAAAGTGTCTGATACTGAAGATGAAGGGATGATGAGGTGAAGTTTTGATCTCATAAGTGGTTGTCAGATATGTTATTTCTCTGTAGATGTTGAATTTAGGTCACAGAATATATATACTGCCATACTCAAGTGGTTATTTTGTGGTTGTATTTTCAATATTTGTACCTTGTTGCTTAGTGCTTTTGTGACAGCTTTCCCTTATTTCCCCTCTTTTTCAGAGAGATTCTGCTGGACTTTTATCTTAGTTCAGGGAAAAGGAAGCCTGATCAGATCATTATATTCAGGTATAGGATATTCATCAATTGATAAGCATATGAAGTGAAATGCATATGTGAAGAAATTCCAATATATTCATCTAATCTCTTTAAAAGTGCTTCTATTAGTTTGCATATAAGTCTAAATACAAAACCACAACGGAAATGCATTCATGTAGTGAGATGAAAATGAAGTCTAATTAAAGGAACATGTGATCTCATATCCTTGGACATATGGAAATCTGGAAACCATGTTGGAGTTAGCTATTTTAATAGAACATCCGATGTATTATTATTGTTTCCAAGTGTTGTTGATGCAGTTGTAATGCTGCATCAAATAGCTTAAGTTTTTGGAATGAACTATATATTTTTGTTTGGTTGATCACTCTGAGCAAAACTTGTCTGATTTGTCATATTTATTGGTTTGCATTTTTATTCTCTCTTAAAGGTTATTACCTACCTTTTTTGGCTTTTCAAGCATGATTATGTCTGAAGCTAATTGATTCTTTTCAAGCAACTTTAATTCGATTAAATTTTTTTGCTTATGTCTTGATCTGTATGCTTATCTATAGGGATGGTGTCAGTGAATCACAATTTAATCAAGTATTGAATATTGAACTGGATCAAATAATTGAGGTAATGCCTTCAAATGGCCAATTGCCTTTCTGGTTATACTTATTTATTAATTTTGTCAAGTTTATAACTTCATTTTAATTTTGCAGGCATGCAAGTTCCTTGATGAGAAGTGGTTCCCCAAGTTTGTGGTAATTGTTGCACAGAAGAACCACCACACAAAGTTCTTCCAGCCAGGAGCTCCAGAGAATGTTCAACCTGGTAAACCTCTAAATGATTTGCCTCTACTTCTTGGGATGTGTTTTATACTATATATATATATATTATATACTATTAATATATTATATTAATATGTTTTTTTGGCTTCCAGGTACTATCATTGACAATAAAGTCTGTCATCCATAAGATACAATGACTTTCTTATCTCTGTGCACAATCTATATATATATGTTTTTTTTTGGCTTTTCAGGTACTATCATTGACAATAAAGTCTGTCATCCAAAGAACAATGACTTCTATCTCTGTGCACATGCGGGAATGATTGTGAGTATCAACATTAGCTTTTGTATTTTATTAGAATCTGTTGGTGTTTTGTATTGCTGCTTAGGTATGTGGCTTACGATCAGGCGGGATATCATTTAGTTTAATTTTACTTAAAATCATGATTGGGTAATTTACTCAAGTTACAAAAGATGAATATATATGTTTCTTATCAATGTAATTGGACCCACTCGCCTGCCCTTTACCACATCAGAAATTACTATGGAGTAGGGGGATACAGATTTTTCTTTTCCCATATTTATTGAAAACTGATTTTGGTATGCTCTGATTTCTTGACCCTTTGATCGAGTTATTTAGCAACTGATATGTATTTATTTGTTATTCGCTGACGTCTGTTTCATCTGTTATAAATTAATTGTATTTTTACTTGTTTCTTATCAGGGAACTACTAGGCCCACTCACTATCATGTTTTATTGGATGAGGTTGGCTATTCACCAGATGACCTCCAGGAACTTGTGCATTCTCTGTCATATGTGTAAGTAAAATTTAGTGCGACGGAATGAGCATTAGATGATTCGTTTCAAGACATTAGGAATTATTGTTGTTGTTCTAAATGGCTTCTGCTCATGATTGCAGGTACCAAAGAAGCACAACTGCCATATCTGTAGGTAAGTCCAGGGTTTCTACCCTCTAAAGAGTTATTTTGGGTAGTATAGCATCGTTGAGAAGATGCTTTTTAAACGTGGTGACCTTGGTGCTGAACTTCATCTCGTGTTTGGAAACTGGGAAATCAACTACTACCATTGCATTTGGATCACTCTGCTATTCATTGTTGTTTCAATTGTGATTGCATTTTTTAGTTTATCAATTTATTGATGGTTTTATTTTGTCTGCTATTTGAACAGTTGCACCAATATGCTATGCTCACCTAGCTGCCACTCAGATGGGACAATTCATGAAATTTGAAGATACTTCTGAGACATCCTCGAGCCACGGTGGTGTAACTGCTCCTGGTGTTGTTCCTGTCCCGCAGCTGCCTAAACTAAATGAAAAAGTTTGCAACACGATGTTCTTTTGTTGAGGCTAAGTTAGTAGTTATTACCTAAAAACATATCCTTTGTAAATGGTCTCTGGGATATCGAATCTCCTTCACTGTGCAGGTGTTTGAACATTGGCAGTAGGTTAATCTCTGTTAGTTCGTCTTTTGGACATAGAATTAACACTCCTGCATCTTTAGGCCCTTTTGTTTCTCTGGCTTTTCAGTAAAAGCCCTTTGATAACGCCTGTAAGTAATGCTTAACACGACGGACAGCGTATTTATGACTAAGCTGCTGCGTTTTGCTATCATTTGTATTGCTGGTTATTTTGCTTCGATTTGGAAGCACTTGTGTGTATACATTGGCCGTTGGATCTTCAAATCACATGGTCAAAATGCAATAGGCCTAAATTTGGAACGCTTGTTGTCTTCCATACGATAAAGACGACTAATCATTTGATATCAAAATATTCTTCTCAGGTCAATGGCGTGATTAAAAAATATTTTTAATATACTACAACATTTGTCATGGGGTTTCGTCAAGTCCCTCGTTGGGTTTGGAACCCTCAGTTGACTGCCGGTGATAAGCTGGATGGATGGTTAGGATTATTGAGATACACAAAAGGGTTAGGGAAATTACTTGTTTATTGGGTCTATGGTTTTTATTGTCCAAACAAATGAAAAATTATTATAATAATAATATCTTTATTTTAATAAAAATATTTCATTTTATTAGCTTTGATCTATAAGTTAAGTCTAGCTATGAAGGGTGTATTTAGGGTAGTAGTAGCCCTCCCCACCCCAGTAAGTGAAATTTTCTAATCGAAGAAGGGCTCTCTGTCTTTGACTCTTGAGAGTTGCTTTCTGTTGTTCATTTCAGACCATAGGTTTTTTGGGACCATCGGATGTGCACGTCTGTTCTGTTGGAGTTGGACTATGTCTCGTTTGAAGCCGTACCTGTCTGTCCTATGGTTCCCTGGATGTGGACCTGGTACATCAAGTTCCAAAGATTCTGGTGTGAAATATAAATATAATATCAAAAGAAAATTTTGAACCTCTTTTACTTAAACATTGGGTTTGACGTCTTATCCTCCAGGTGTTGGCTGGCTGTCTGTCTGTTGTAAATAGCTTTATCAATATCCGTTTTAAATTTCCTTTTGTTGGTATTCTTAAGGAAACTTCGGCAAGCACGGACGTTTTGAGATTGACCTCCAGAATAGATTCCTCATCCTTCTTTGCTGTCTCTCTCTACTTCTTTTGTTTAGGTTGAGGATAAGGCTCTTTTAAATTTATATTTATATATATATTTTTTCTTCAAAAAAATTTATTCTACTGCGTGTCATTTTTTTATTAAACCCATTGCCTCCTTTTTTCTTTTTATTCTTTTCAATTTATAAAACAACTTTCTTTTCTAAAAGGATGCAATTATTTTTAAAGTACGATAAATTTCTTTAGTATATTCCTATTTAGCATCCTTTTTACAAACAATTTTTTCCTCTTACTTTTTTGTATTGAAGGTGATGTATAATTATTAATCCGGTAGGAATAGATTCAAGCTTGAATTTTCTAAAAAAAAAAAAAAAATCTAATATCAATAGGTTAAAATATATTTGAGTCCCCAGATTATATTCTAATTAACCTTTCATCAATTAAAAGATGGGTTATAGAGCCCGTGTATTTTACTCTATTTTAAATAATTAAATCATTTCAATCTTTTTTTTTTTAAAAATATGACTTTTTAGACAAAGATCTGACAATGAGATAAAAATAAAAGTTATGGACGTTAAAATTATTTATTGAAAATAAAGGGATTTAAATCTTAATTAAAACAAATTTACTAAACTAAATACATATTAATATTTTGTGATGTAGGTAAAAGTTGATTGTTTAAGCCAGGTTAACTAATCCTTTTAGTCTATCTAAAAATAAAGATATGTTCTTGAGGGGAGCAGAGAAATATTAAAAAGATAATCTTCTAAAAAAATGAATTATTGAATGGTTTAATTATAAAATTGATAATAGATTTTAGCTAAATACATAAATTTACTTTTCAAAATTTAATCTATTGTACTTTTTTAACTTGCGATGAATTTTGTACGCATAATCCATCTATTTATAACAATAAATTTGATTGTTTTTCTCTTTTCATACTATATAAACATTAATTTTATATATAATCAGTCGTCTTTCGTGTGTGGATGTTATATAGTGTTTAAAAATAAAAATGTTATTTTTGTTATAATAAATAATCATTTTCAATATTTCAAATATCAAATATATTATATTTACTAATTTTTTAAATAAAAAAAATAAAAAATAATTTCTTTCCTAGATTCTTGCCAAAGGATTAATATATTAATATACACATACATAAATAAAGTTTATAATTAAGCTTGAAATTTTTATTTTCTAGAAATATTTTAATAGATTTTAAAATAATTTTTATAAATATCGGTTATTAGTGAATTTAGTTTGAGTAAATAATCTAAAATCTGGCCATAAATCTAATAAACATTAAAAACTTCAAAAAAAAAAAAAAATCATCAAAGTTTGCCCAGATTTGAAATAGGTTGAGAAATACTGTCATTTTCCTTCACAAAAGAAAATATGTATATATATCAATTTATCATAAAATATTTCTATATTTTACACATAATGACATTAGAAAATGAATTTTAATTTTAATTTCATTAAATAAAGTACTGTGAAAAGATGAATTTTATCATTTAGGTGGCATTGTATTAAATAAAAATAAACATTTAATTGTAATAACAATAAATAAAATGCTTTTATATGGATCAAATGTGCTAATAGTTATGAAATAATTTGCAAATAGCAAAATCATACCTTAGTTAATAATCAAAACTGAATACACTTCATAATTTCATTGTCATCACTGTATTGATCAAGCTCATATCTATAAAATGTCATAAAAATGGTCTTATGTTATTTGTAAAGAATCTATTTCTTTTTGTTGAAAGTATAATGTGATTTTTTTTATGGTTTCGTTTATATTGAAATACATGTCTATAGAGATTCTGTGAAAATATGAAAGTAAAAAAAAAAAATGAAAATGAAAAGAATTAATATTAATAACATTGTTAATTATTTACAAAAATAAAGTGAAAAATTTTAAAATACTAATGATATTTAATTTTATTAATTATTTAAAAATTAAAAATATTATTAATGATATTAATTAAATTATCTATTTAATTATATTAAAATAAAATTTTAAAATATAAAAATTATTTCCAACTCAATAGATTAACATTGCCATATAAGTAATTTAATACTCTAAAATGATCCCACGTAAACTTTTATGACCCAACTTTTATATATTTATATAGATATAGATTAGTATAATTTTTTAAAATGGTGAAGAGTTTAATGATAATATATTTACAAATTAAAATGTTTAATTTGTGAGGTTTTATTTATAAGGGTACAATAATTTACTTATCAACAACTAAACCAAATGGGTTTTAATTGCTAAATTATTAATTATTTTAGACATTTATGAAATTAAAATATTAATATTAGTAATATTAAAATTTCTTAGTTTTTTTTAAATAATCAAAGGAATTAATAATATCATTAATATATTTTCTAAAAGTAATTCAACTATTCGATTCCTTTCTCTAATAATTAATGAAATTAATAATAATATTTGCAAGTAGTAAATTGAGTAATAATATTGTAAGTCTTCAATATCTTTCTTTATTGATATTCCAATTTCAGTATATTAAAAATATATTACTCGTGTTGTTCTCATTTTCATTATTCCTTTTCTTTGTTTAATTTTTTTATTAGTGATTTGGTATATATAATTATACAAATCTTTATATTAATATTTATATTTGTATTTTATAAATTTACATGTTCAAATTATACCTTGACAACTATTACCATGAAATAATTTTTCATTCAATTCTATTAGCACATATAAATACTTTTAGTTCATTTTATAATAGAACTTCACAATTAGCAATGGTGGCAAACTATAGAACCTTTAAGCCAAAGAAAATATTTCAAAAGAATAATCTTTAATATTTATATTATCAAATAATAATGCTACGATAAAACACACATGCAATCAATCAGAGTCAGATGGTCTTCTTACTTATATAAATATTTTCACAGAAATGGTCTTCTTACTTCATTATAAATATTTTCACTAATTTTGTAATAACTCTGATTGTCTTTTTACTTATATTAAATATTTTCACCTAATTTTGTAAATCCAAAGGAGGTATATAAATATTTTCACTAATTTTGTAAATCCAAAGGAGGCTACTCTTGTTGTGTAATGCATATTATGCATATTATTCTTTCAGCCTATCGGGCCTTTGAGTTAATAGAAAAAAACAACACATGCAATGTCATGAATGTTCCGCAGCAAAGCAGAGCAAATCCTGCTTGTTTCTTCTAATTTCAGAGTAGAGATATCGTTAACTAGATTGGCAGAAAGAGGTAATTTAAGACATCCAAATTAAAATTTTTTGAAGGATTTTGATATTAGAAGTTCACAAGCATCCATGTCTCAAACAACATGCCTACTAATTATTAACTTGATCAGTCCATATACTGTCACTTGACATCAGATATCCTGATAGGGAAATGGGTAAAACCACATAACAACGGAGGAAACACAACATGCCATATTTACAAGCTCTTGGCTTACTGGACTCTGGAGAGCCAAGCAGCATATCTGAAGCACTTTATGAGTTTGTCATCATCATCTAATAACCTCCTTGTATGTAAGCATTCAGGCGTTCCAGCTCCTCCCGGTGTTCAGCCACCACAGCACGGACAACATCTCCAATGGACACCATGCCAATCATTTCCTTGTCATTGATCACAGGAATGTGCCTGATGCGGTTATCTGCCAACAGTTACAGATTGCAGTTTACACTACCTTCCATTTGGGAAGAAATCAGGGCACCAACAAATTTGAAAACATCCCATAAAGGTAAACGGCGTGTAATACCTGTCATCAATTGCATTGCTTGCAGAACTTTTGTGTTGGGAGTGACTGTAATGAGCTTGTTCTGCAATCACCATTGGATCAATTTGGATACTTGATATGAAGATGGAAGAGAAACACATAGTCTTAGAAAGTAAATAGCATCATACCTCTTCAGTCATGATGTCCCCAACCTTAGTTGACTTGGATGATCTTCCTTGTACAATGATTTTCCTCAGGTAATCTGGAATTTATCAACAAACAAAACTATAATAGCTTGCAGCATGTTTGGCAGTATTTATAGCCATTATCATCATTCCCGGAAGAAGAAAAGAAAACAAATTTCAACAAATAGAATAAGCAGAAACCTCCTATATTGTAATAGCAATTTCTCCCAAGGAAGCATGTTCTGGGAATATTCACTCTCCTATACCACGACTTTAAAACAGTAACAACTTTTTCTGATCAAGTAATAAAGGAATTTGAAAATTGGAATACTACTTTTCTTTTTCTTGTTTTATATTTTTGGGGCATCATCACTTGCAATCCCTGGAATCATAGTCCGGTTCTAGGTGAGGAGAAAACTTGATGCTGGTTTATGGAACTACCATGGTGAGTAACTTGTGTGGTAATATATGACTGTAAAGTTACAAACACTTCTAGATGGAAAATCATGCACAGTGATAGCATCGATGCATGTTTGAAAGCTAAGAAAATTGTTAAACTAGTCTTACAAAATTATAATTAGAATTTAGAATGCTTTATCAATTACCAAATACCTATAGCAAATTAAAGGCAGTTCAAAGGAGAAAATAACAATGAAAATTTAGATATTATAATAAAAAAAAAACCCATAAAGAATTCTTTATATGCTAAGAAATTGATCCATAAGCTTCTCAATGCAAGTAAGATATCACCCAAATACCTCTCTCTGTGATAATTCCTGCAAGTGATTTCTGCTCTCCAGGTTTCACGACCACCAAGGCTCCTCTCTCTGTGATAATTCCTGCAAGTGATTTCTGCTCTCCAGGTTTCACGACCACCAAGGCTCCAACATTGTGATGTGTCATCTGCAGGAAACTTCTATAGTTAGGCTAAGCACTAAAAAGACGGAGTGGAGTGAGTTCTGATGATTCTTCCAATCAACAACAGCAAGAAAAATAGCAGTAACTTGTGGTGAAGCAAAGTAGCATACCGACTTGACAGCATCATAAACAGTATCATCAGTAGTGCACCAAAGCCAAGAACCATCAGCACCTTTTCCTTTTGCTTTCAATATGTCTGAAATGGTAGTGCTTTCAAAGCTTTGCTCCTCCATACGGGCAGATGAAACAGACTCAGAGCGCGAAAACAAAATAGGCCTCAGTACCGGATTAGCAACACGAACATGTTGCAGAACTGCATTTTTGATGAAATTTCCACGAGACAAAAATGCATTCACCGCCCCTTGCATTTTTCCTGTAAACAAAAAGATTGATCATATTCAATAAGATTGAATGCCAAATCTTGCAGGTAACAAATTCTTATTCTAAATAAATATGCATCAAGGTCTGACACACAGGTTCTAATTACCAAAGGAACAGAGAATTTAAAGTGCAGAGCCTATATAGTTACAATTATTTGAATATGCAATTGGCACATGATGGAGCATCAGTCAGGCTATTAGCTACTAGCTAGTGACTAGTGCATGCCATTTTTTCAAGAATAGATCGGTATGATATGGATAAACCAGATTAAGAATGTTGAAAGTATTTCCCTATTTCCCTGAGAAATTATTTAATCCCATTTGTTTTTTGAGTTCAAAGGGTACAGGTTTTCAACAAAAGAAATCTCTCTCTCTCTCTCGCACACACACGTATAAATTGCATTAAATGCTGAAAATCCATCAGTAAACCTGGTTGAATTAAGAACAAAAAAGAAAAGAATGTTATACTGAAAGTCAAACTACAGTCGCATAAGTTGAAAATAACTCAATCAAGAAGAAAAATGAACTTGAAAAAAATTAATATTCATATAGACAGAGATATACACAAGAAATAGCAGGAAATCAAAAATAAATGCTCCATAGTCAAATTTCTCAAAAAATAAAATAATAATAATAATAATAATAAAAGTTAAGATCTAGACACCTTCTAAAAAGAAAAAGCATAAAAGCAATACCAAAAAGAAAAAGAAGAAGAAAAAGAAAAATAGCTATGTATCTATCTATCTATCTACCAATCAATCAATCAATCAATCTATTCATCATTAGAAAAGAATCAATCAAGACTCAAAGAGCTAACTAGTTTCTGATCAGCAGCATAACCATAGAAATAGAAGGAATCAAATCAAGGATTAAATTGTAATACCTGATCTGAAGAAGCCAAAGACAAGATCAGAACCACCAAAACAGCGGAGGAAAAGAAGAAGAAGGAGAAGAAAGAAATGAATATCAAGTGAGGATAAAGCAAAGGAACCCTACCCTGCCAATAGCTAAGTAGCAAGAGTCAGATATTTTACTGTCATAGTACAGCGTTATGTCTCCCCACTGTATATATATTTTATCCACTCCGCTATTTGCTTATCAGCTTATGGATAGACACTAAAGAGCACAGAACAGTAAAATATTAATTAATTAATTAATGTTTTTAGGACAGTTATCTAATCTAAGATTCGATTCCAAAGACCTAATTCTGGCTTCACTGCTAATTTTCTTAAAAATTAAGAAAATATTACCAGTTTTCAAAATCTATTTCACACTGTATGTATCTGGGCATGGCCATGGTTCGGTTCTAATCGAAATCGAATCGAAATCAAATTGTACTGTAGTTGAATTGAAATTGGACCAGAACCAGCGGTTCATAATTTTGAACCGGAACCAGCGGTTCAAGGACCAGTTAAAGTTCATGTGAATATTAAAATATGAACCGGAATCGGCCCGAAATCGGCAGTTACGGCAGTTAACCGGCGGTTCCGGTCCGGTTCAAACCGGATGCACAAAAAAAATTATCTTAAAATTTTTATAAAAAAAATTATATCACTTGATTTAATTGTAGTTGATTTGATTTTTGGTGAAGAGAAGTACAACGGTACATAAGTTATAAAGAGTGGTGAAAAAAATACACATTTTTTGACTTAATTTATACAAAAATTGGTAAATGAATAGTTGATTTATATAAAAAAATACTTTCAAGTGTACAAAAAAGAGTGTATCAGATAGTTTTTGATATGATACGTTTTTTTTATTTATTTTTTGATAAATAAATTTTATTCATTTTTTAATCATTTATTTATTTATTTACTGTAATTTACTAAATTATCCAAAAATATAAAAATATAGCTATTATTTTTCTGTTATAAGGGACAATTTGGAAAACTAAATAATGAGAACTGTATATAATATAATGAGTTGGATGATTTTTATTTTCACAGTACCAATTATATCCTAACTTTTCTCTCTTATTCTCAATCAATAAATTCTCCTTCAATTTCCATAGTTCCATTATTTTTTCTAATTGCTTTAATTTCCTTAATATTGGAATTATCTATTGTTTATTTTTTATTTTCTTACATCCAATTCCAAAAATTCTTTCTCTAAAATTTCAATTTTTTCCCAATTCATGAAATTTACTTCATTTTATTTTTTTAAATAATTTTCTTATATTTGAAAAATAATTAATTTTCCGAACTCATTCCATTAATTTTACTATTCCATTTAATAGTTTTCTATATTAGTGAATTACAAAATTTTGTAAATTAATGTAATAATAGTTTTAAGTTTAGTTAATAGAAGTTTCTTTTAAAATTTTTAAATTATTTATTTAGTTAATAAAATTTAAAACCATTTTAATTATTTATTTTTAATAAAATTTAAACATTTTAAAATTATTATTTATTTATGAATTCGGAATCAAAATTTTATTATTTTTTTAAAAATTTACGTATTGCCGGAACCGAATCTGAACCATAATTCGAACCGTCGGTTCGCCAAAACTGTGCCGAAATCAGAAACGGACATGAACCGGAAGTTCAAGGGTCGGTTCCGATTCAAAATTTTAAACATCTCGAACCGGTGGTTCACTGAACCGGCCATGCCTAACTGTATCTTATATTTTCTACGTTAATATTCATATATTTCACCGTTTTTTAACAAAATCATTCAATTTATTTAAATTATAATAAATTAAAATAAATAAATAATATTATTTTTAATTTATTATTTTGATGAACCATTCAATTATTATTAGTCATATATAAAAAGAAAAAAATTATTATTTATTAAATCTATAGATGTTACAAATATTTAGAAATATAATATTTTCTCAAAATGTAGAGGAAGTAAATTAGAGTATAATAATAATTAATTTAAAAATACAATAATTTTTTTTAAGAGAAAAATATTAAAAGAAAAACAAAAATCATAAAATTTTGATAAAATAAATTTATTAGGCTTTATATTGCCTTTGGTTTGGCTTGTCACATGATAATGGAGACCAGGATGTATGAACGTGACACGTGTACACTCTGGTTTTAAGTAGGCATGCCTATGTTAGGATTTCGCTTTTTCTAAGAAGAAAATAGAAGCTTTATTAATCACTCAAATCTGCCGACAAAGAAGGTTCTACTCAGTTTTTTTTTTTTTTTTTTTTCTTTATCAGCATTATTTTCATTATATATATATATAATATATATATATATATATAGTAGTCTGAAAAAATTTTATATAGTCTAGAAAAAATTTAATATATCTAAATAATAATCTAAGTCAATATATCCGAGTAAAAAGACCTAATACTTTAAATTGAAATCAAAGTAAAATAAAAATATGATTAAATACTATAATCAAACCTAATACTTTAAATTTAGTTTAAAAAGAAAATATTAGTTTCATCAATTTAAAATTTTAAGATCAATTAAATATTAAATCGCCACAAAATTAATTGAATGCTAAAATCAGACTAAAATAATCAAATTAAAAAAAAGAAAAAAAAAATCACAGCAAAATCATTCATTGCTGAATGCGTAAAACGGTTAACTTCCTTCAGTGCAACACAACAGCAGTTCAGATAAAAGGCTACGCCTGACATCTGATAAGCTTTGGCCAACGGCGACTCCCTGTTTTTTGTTCTTTGGATTAGTAAGGTTTCTTTTTCTCTCTCTTGCTCTTATGTTTATTACTCATTATTATTATTATTATTATTATGAATTTTTGGCATTTGCAAAAGTTAAACTACATGAACTTGGTGTTACTATGTCATCTAATTAGGTTTTCTTCTTTTACTTTGTAGAAACCTTTTGGCATCTTTAGTTTTCTCTCCTGTTTCTTATTCTTTATGTGATTTATTGTTATTGGTTCATTTGTTAATTGGATATGGGAAAAAAAAATTTGTTTATCCATTTTTCCAATGGAGTTTGAAATGCTGGAGCTTGTGTTAATAAATAATATTGCTATGTTGTATTTGGTTGATGCTTTTCATATTGTTTATCAAATACCAGCCTGTTAATTTGCTTGGCAAGTTATTTTCATGTTAATTATGTTACTTATAGGAATTCTACTTTAAGAACTTTATATTGTAATATCTGTATTATTTGAATGCTACTCATTTTAGGGATTCAGTACTTGATTATACTATTCAATTTTACGAGCCCTTGCAGATAGATATAGGTAAAATATCATCTGACGAACTTGTCCATACAATGGAGAGGCTGAAGTCTTTGGTTCCGGAAGGTCTTAAACAAATAGTGGCAGATAGTAATCCCGATGATCTTCAGTCAACATCATCTTCTCTTCTTCGATTTCTCATGAACTTGCCACAATTTCACCAAGTAAATATCACCTGGTATTTCCTTTGCTGAAATTTTATGGTTTAAGGTGATGTTATGGTTTTAAAATTTCATATTTTGAAATCTTTTTTGTCCCTTCTTTTTTTTTTTTTTTTTTTTTTTTTTTTTTTTTTTTGTGTAGCTCTTAGATGGTTAGAGATTTTAACAGATGTGGATGGCCTGCTCTTTGTTTTTTTTTTTTTTTTTTTGTGTACTCTTAGATGGTTAGAGATTTAACAGATGTGGAGGCTGCTCTTTGCGCGAAGAATAAGGAGAAGGCATTGGAGTTGAAGCATAAAGCCAATACATGCTATATGAATGGAAATTACAACACAGCACTGGCTTGCTATTCCCAGGTACGTCTTATGCACCATTCAGTCTTCTCCTACCATGATAATCCTTTCTTTTTCTTTTTTTTCAAAGGAAAAAAAATTCTTTTTCCTAGATTGAAGACATATTCATTTAGATTAAATTCTACACCTTGAGAGTTGAGAACTGAATAACTTGTCTTTGGAGTTTAGCTACTAGTAGAGCTAGGTAAGTTTGAGGAAAATTTAGGTATTGGGTTGATTTATCTATTATGCATATAGTTGTCTGTGTGTTTTGGCTCTTTTTTTTTTTGGTGTGGAGGTTTGGGAGGCAGAGTGCGTGATACTTTAGAGCTTTTTGATAAGAAAGAGGCTGAATGATTACGGTTACAATAATTTGGAGATTCAGTTTGAGACAAATCCTTGCACCTTTAAAAATCAGAGTCTGCCTCTATAATGTTAGTGGGTAATGCAATTTTCTGGTTTCATTAAGAGTTTCTGCTTTAGGGGATTTGATAGCATGTCTTTAGCTGAGATATTGTGATATTTGAGGGCATTACTTGAATTGCCCTTTCTTGGATTTGTTGGCTTCCTTTCAAGGAGGATTCCTTATCCTATGTTTTGCAATGTTTTTTTCTTTCTTAGTTAATTAAATTTTCATCTTTCATGAGAATGAGCAGTAAAGAGGAGAGGGAAGATGGGTTTGTGGAATTCTTTAATCAGATTGCTATCACCCAGGGCAATCCCTAAATATTATTTGGGGATGAGATACTTTGTGCTTTTTTGTTTTGTTTTTGCAGTATTATGGAGTTTTTGGATGGAGAAGATTTTGCATATGTTAGCATATTAGAATTTTTCTTTTGATCTGCTATGGTGCTTGTTGGTTTCTTTGCTTCTCTATGGGCTTGCTTTGGGATCTTTTAGAGGGGTTTCTACAGGTGTCATTTATGTCAATTCTTGTCTTTATGGTGTTTTTGGAGTTTTTTTCGTTTCGTTTTGCTCTTATTTTGTTTTTTTTATTGGGAGTTTCTTTGTTGGATTGCAATGAAGTTGGGGAGCTGTTCTATTTTGATATAGACATCTGTCCTATTTCATTTTATTGTTTTTTCTTAGGAAAAAATCTTTACCTCCTTTTTGCACTTAGCTGATTGTAAGCTGAATGCTCTCTTTTAATACAATTTCCTCTTTGTATCCCCCCAAACAGGAAAAAAGGTTTGGTTGTACAACTAGCTTTCAGCTTTTTTTTTGTTTAATTTTTTTTTTTTTTTTTTTTATGTATTCTTCTTCCTCATTCCCATCCAACAGGCATTGCGTGTTGCTCCAGCAGATGCTATTGACATTGACAAAAATCTGATTGCGACATTGTATCTGAACCGAGCTTCTTTATTGCACGTGAGTTCGACAATTTTTTGTATTGCAAAATATGCTTATTTCTAGGCTGCATAGCTTCAATGAATTAACATTCTCTTGCAGCACATAGAATATAATGAACCAAGTCGATTTGGTTTGGTCTAATGTTTCGGGTGTTTATGACTCATAATGCAACTAAACTAAGTCTCATTGTTTTTTTTGGGTTTGATATAAGATAATTTCAAGATATCCATATCCAATATTCACATAAATTAGAAGAGAGTAAATGATAAGGAGGTCATCAAATTAGTAAAGGAAAAGAGTTCTACATCATTGGTTATTTAAAATGGTAACGGGCTTGAGAGAATAACATCTCTTGGATTTAGGGAACTCCAGGAAATATTACCCCATTGTAAAACATGGACATCAAAGAAGTTAAATAAATTGCAGAGACATTTAATGAAGTAAAAGAATTAAAAATATGAGCGGAAAGCTGATAATGACATCAAGATATCAAATATGAGTTGGAGTATATTACCTTGGAAGTCTTAGTAACAATTGGATTATGAAGATAAACTTATCTATGATAAAGAAAGCCTTTGAATTGTTCTGAAGCTGTATGCATTTGTAGCTATTGATTCAGTAAGGACAACGAATGCTGGTGAAACATTTCTCACATGGTGATATGAAAATAAAGAGAGACAAAAATAGGAAGCTTAGTGTCCCCCTAACACCATCAAATGCAACATTGAAAACAACACCAAACTCTCCCCTAAAACTTCCAACCATAATACACACCGGTTGCTCCAACTTTAATTTTAAACCAATTGCATCTCTAATCAAACTCGCTAAACTAAATGTGACCTTCTTACCAAGATATCCATTCTAAAATAGAAAACACAAGTGTTCTAATTACAGTATTTTCTTCTTTCTTTGTTACATTATGCATATGTACTAAGCAAATTAGAAACTCTTTTCACTGATTATTTTTATGTGTCAATAGAAAATAGGACTGTTAGTGGAGTGCGTAAGAGATTGCAATCGGGCCCTGCAAATTTCTCCATGCTATGCAAAGGTCAGTACGCTTATTTGATAACTTCATCATTCCATCTTTTGTCAAATCTATTACATGGAGAATAGTGGCTTTTGATTAACTAATTGTTCAATTGATTGCTAGCAATTGTTTGAAATATATTCCTATTTTTTAATCCTTTGCCATGGGCTTGTCTTCAGAACAGGGACTTGGAATTTTGGTGGTGTGTTTATTTTGTATTTCAATTAAATAATTTGCCATTAGTTTATTCTTCAGTAGAAACTTCTTTTATCAAGATCAGTTCTCCCTGGACATTCTTTCATGCTTTTTTTTTCTTTTATTTTTTTATTGCTCATAGGCTTGTTTTGGTTGAGATAGGAGGACATGTTATTCTCTATGTTGTAATATTTTCATTTTTCCAGTGAAGAAATTTCTTTTCGTATGTAAATGGTATTCCTAAAGGGATTCTTCTTGGAATGAAAATTTTCTTTATCCTCCATTTCAAGAATTTAGTCATGGATGGGTGACAATAATAGTGATCATGAACGATTGAGATGATATTAGTGTCTTAATATGAATTAGGAAAAATGCTAACAAGTTTGAGATCCTAATTAGGTTGTTTGTTGTGTAACCAACACAAATACAAGTTTACAAGTTTGCTGATTGATTGAAGTGTTAAAGTAGGATTTGAAGATAGCACTGTGTATTTACAGTTGGAAGAAAAAATAATAATTTTTTCAAAAGAGATTAAAGATAATCTTCTAATATTTTCCTACTTGTTAATTTGTTGGGTATAAAGTTTAATATTTCTATCACACCCCAATTTGATAGTTTAGTTGCAATTGTATTCTAAAATCAAAAATGGAAAAAGTAATAATATTTTACTACTTGTAAGAATAAGATATTCAAATTTTCTAATTTCTTTCTCTTCACCACCTCTACCACCATTGTCTCTACCATCTTTGTATTGCACATAACTCAAAGATTCGTAAGAATCTACAATTACGGTTGCTAATGGCAAGCACACAGAGAACTCTAATTCCGATTGTAAATCAACTCATCCACATAAAAGAGTTTCTTTGCCATACTTTTGGATCCTTAGTGTTTAATGCAATTGTTGTCTCCTTGGACTAACTTCGAGTGACTTTCTATCCAAGTTTGCAGTTTACTTTGTTGCCACTTTGCTAGTGTGTTATACATTGTCATCTAATTCGTCATCGCTAATAGAAGCCAAAACCTTAACCGAACACAAAATCCTAATTTTGTTGATTCTAACTCTTCACTATCTGAAGAAGAGGAGATTGTGATTAAGCTATGATGTAGTGAAGCTCACAAACAAGAAGTAGTAATTTCATTGAGAAAGTTAATTGGAATAACAAGAATTCCACTCTGTATTCCTTGATATCTATTGATGAGAGTGGAGAGTGGAGATCATGGTTGTGGTTGGCGGTGGAATATTGCAGGGTTTTAAAATGATTGATTAAGTACAAAAAAGGAAAGAAAGAAAGAAAGGCTGATAAGGTAGAGGTTGAGAGATTGGTGTTGGGGGGAGAGAGAGAGAGAGGTTGATGAGTATGAATTGGCAAAGAAAGGCGAAGATAGAGAGAGAGAGATTAGAAAACAAATTGAAAATTAATTATTTAAATTCTGATGTGTAATAAAATATATTATTCCTTTCTTAATTTTTGATTGTATGGTACAATTGGAATTAAACTATCGCATTGAGGTTGTTAAGGACTAGTTGTAAATAGAGTTCTGTCAGGAATTTGATTCCTAATAGGTTTATAGTATCCTGTATTTGTATATATATGTGTCCCTATTGATGAAAATTATATGAGAGTATTTTTTCCATATTGAATTATATGGTATCAGAGCCTTTAGCTCGTTAGTTTTTTTTTTTTTTTTTTTTATGTGTCCCTATTGAATGAAATTATATGAGAGTATTTTTTCATATTTGAAATTATATTGGTATCAGAGCCTTTAGCTCGTTAGTTTTTTTTTTTTTTTTTTTTTTTTTTTTTTTTTTTTTTTTTTTTTTTTTTTTTTTTTTTTTCCGTCTGCGTTGATGCTTCCGGCTAGAAGCTCCCTGTTTTTCGTGACTGTCAGTCTAGGTCTCCCGCTTAGGCTTGTCCGTTTGTCTCACTGCCATCCAAGGAAGGGAGAGTGACCTCCGATTGGCCTCTCCACTAAATCCGGTGGCCTGAAGATCGGCGAGTGAGCCTCACGCGCCGTCAGAAGAATCTGATGTTATCTCACGCGCCGGCGAGTGGAGGCGCGTCCGGCAGTTTTCAGCGACCGGCTTTCGTCTTCCACGATCGACACAGTGTCAGAAGTCTTTTCCAGTGGGTAGTTTTCCGCTCCGGCAACATCTGGTAGGCGCTTTCTTTGTTTTTTGCTATTGCAGTTTGCGGCTTTCGGTTTGTTTTGGTGTTGCTACTGTTCTATTGGGTTCGTGCTATTTGATGCCTCTGTTTTTGAGTTGCTGTTGGGGTGTTTAGTTTTTATTAACGGGTATTGAACCTACAGATTTTAAAGCTACTATTATTGAATTGATCCCAGCAATGAATAAAATCATCGAACATAAACTGAAAGGAACTAATTATTTAGATTGGAGTAAGACAATTATAATTTATTTGAGGGGTGTTGTAAAAGATAATCATCTAATTGATGATCCACCAACTGGTGACACTAGACAAAGTTGGCTAGAGGAAGATGCTAAGTTATTTCTAATGATTCGAAATTCTATTGACAGTGAAGTGGTTGGTTAATTAATCATTGTGAGTTTGTTAAAGAATTAATGGAATATCTTGAATTCTTGTATTCGGGAAAAGGATTTTGTCTCTACTGCATGTTTTTTAATTAATCGCATGCCTTCTTCTGTACTTATTGTTGCAATTCCTTATAGTGTCTTGTTTCCTTCTAAACTTCTATTCCCCGTTGAACCTCGTATTTTTGGTTGTACTTGTTTTGTTCGTTATGTCGTCCACAGGTTTTCAAATTAGATCCAATGTGCATTTGTTGTGTTTTACTTGGGTATTCTCAACATAAAAAGGGGTATCGTTGTTTCTCTCCTGATCTTGACTGTTATCTTATTTCTATAGATGTCACATTTTTTGAGACTACTCCATTTTTTCCTTCTCCTATATATAAGAGCGAGGGGGAGGATGATGAGCTTTTAGTCTATGCTATCCAGCAATTTCCTAGCTCTCCTGCACCTGCTCCTATTCCTGACCTTGCACTTGCTCCTGCTATAGCATCTGCTGCTCCTATTCCCCCTCCTGCACCAGCGTCTGCTCGCCCTGGGTTTGAACAGATTATTCCAGGAGATCAGGAACTCTTGACTCACTTCTTCCACCTTCTGCTTCAACAGAAGATCCGGTTCCCTCCACTCAACTTGAGCCAGTGCCATTCACTCCTCAGTTCGACCTTGACCTTCCCATTGCTCTTCGAAAAGGTAAACGCAAGTGTACCTATCTTATTTCTTCTTTTGTTAGTTATGATCATCTTTCTTCTTCATCTTGTTGTTTTGTAAGTAACCTCGACTCTGTCTCTACCCCTAAAACTTATTTCTTCTTTTGTTAGTTATGATCATCTTTCTTCTTCATCTTGTTGTTTTGTAAGTAACCTCGACTCTGTCTCTACCCCTAAAACTGTTGTCCAAGCTTTGTCTCATCATGGTTGGTGTGCAGCAATGAAAGAGGAGATGGCTGCCTTAGATACTAATGGTACTTAGGATCTTATGCCTCTCCCGGCAGGTAAGAAAGCTATTGGTTGTAAATGAGTTTTCACCGTTAAAATGAATCCTGATGGGTCTGTTGCTCATCTCAAGGCTCGATTAGTTGCTAAGGGCTATTCTCAGATTTATGTCATTGATTACTCTGATACTTTTTCTCCTGTAGCCAAATTATCTTTTGTCCGTTTGTTTATTTCTTTAGCAGCTACTTTTGACTGGCCTTTACATCAGCTGGATGTTAAGAATGCCTTTCTTCATGGGGATCTTCAGGAGGAAGTTTACATGGAGCAACTACCAGGCATTGTTGCTCAGGGGGAGTTGGTAAAGTGTGTAAAATTCGAAAATCTCTTTATGGCCTAAAATAGAGTCCTTGAGCTTGGTTTGGTAGATTTTGCAATGTTGTACACCAATTTGGCATGCAAAAGAGTACTTCTGATCATTCTGTATTTTTCAGAAGTACTAAGACTGGTTTGATTCTCCTTGTGGTTTATGTTGATGACATTGTTATTATAGGGAGTGATTCAGTGGGCATTACATCACTTAAGTCATTCCTCCAGACTCAGTTCTAAACAAAAGACTTAGGATTGTTGAAGTATTTTTTGGATATTGAAGTGTCTAGGTGTAAGAGAGACATCTTCTTATCTCAAAGGAAGTATGTCCTCCCCCCCCCCCCCCCCCCCCCCCCCCCCCCCCCCCCCCCCCCGCCCCCCCCCCCCCCCCCCCCCCCCCCCCCCCCCCCTCCCCCCCCCACCCCCCCCCCCCCCCCCCCCCCCCCCCCCCCCCCCCCCCCCCCCGCCCCCCCCCTTTTACATCACTTAAGTCATTATCCAGTCAGTTCAAACAAAAGACTTCGGATTGTTGAAGTAAGACTTAGGATTGTTGAAGTATTTTTTGGATATTGAAGTGTCTAGGTGTAAGAGAGACATCTTCTTATCTCAAAGGAAGTATGTCCTTGACTTGCTGAAGGAAACTGGAAAGTTGGGTGCCAAGCCATGCAGTGCTCCAAGGACTCCTAATTTGCAACTTTCAATTGGTGGTGAGCCATTTGATGATCCTAAAATGTATAGAAGATTGGTGGACAAACTGAATTATCTTACGGTAGCACATCCAGACATTGCTTACTCTGTGAGCGTCTTAAGCCAGTTTATGTCGTCTCCTACTGTTATCCATTGGGAAGCTTTAGGATAGATTTTGAGCTACTTGAAAGATAATCCAGGCCGTGGCCCCCTTTACAGTAATCATGGGCATTTGGACATTGAGTGTTTTTCAGATGCGGATTGGGTAGGTTCGAAGGTTGACAGAAGATCAACTTCAGGATATTGTGTCTTTGTGGGTGGAAACTTGATATCGTGGAGGAGCAAGAAACAAAATGTAGTCTCATGATCGAGTGCTGAATCTCAAAAAATATCTTAGCTTATGACCACAATCTGACTTCGTGAAATAATTTTGGATTGCACCAAGTTGTTAAAAGGAAAAATGGCTCTCAAGTCGTCTTTAGACTGCAAAGTTATGGTGTGGTAATCAAGTACTCTTTCACATTGCATCAAATCAGTTTTTCCATGAACGACAAAATTATTATCGAGATTGATTGTTCATTTCATTCGTGAAAAGAGTTACCAACAGGGTGTTATTTCTCCACAGGGGTACGTTAAAAAAACAAGTGAACAGGTTAGTGAGATATCTTTACAAAGCAGCTCTAATGGACTCTCGGTGGTTAACTATCTTTTGTACACAAGTTAGGTATGATTAACATCTCATGCTCCAACTTGAGGGGAGAGTGTTAAGGCGACTAGTTGTAAATAGATTTAGTTAGGAGAAAAGCTCTAAATGGACCTCGGGTTAACTATCTTTGTAACAAGTTAGGTATGATTAACATCTATGCTCCAACTTGAGGGGGAGTGTTAAGGACTAGTTGTAAATAGAGTTCTGTTAGGAGTTTGATTCCTAATAAGTATATAGTATCCTGTATTTGTATATATATGTGTCCTTATTGATGAAAATTATATGAGATTATTTTTTCCATATTGAATTACAGAGGTAAAAGAAAAAAAAAATGGATGTAATTGTAGCAAGTTGTAAATTTTGTGGTACATAAATATATTAAGTAATTCTGGAAGTGGGTTGACATATATTATTTGATTCTATGGCGTGGGGGTTGGGGCGGGTGGGTTCATGTTTGTTCTAAGAGTGGTTGTTGACCTACTTGGAGGTTATTTTAGGTGGTAATCCTGGTAAGGAAATAGAAATTTTACTTTAGTTTTACAAATTGCCAAAGTATAAAATAAGGCTAAAAATAATTATTAGTAATTAATAATTTATTATATAGCCCCCCTAAATGAAAATTTTCACATATCTAATTAAATGTCGATACCACATGGCCAACTGTAATTAATACACTTCCCTGAATTCCTCTATGTGTAGAAAGGCCTTGAATTCATTTGGCCAAGGATCCCAAGTCAACAAGCCTACATGAGAGATTAGAAACTTTGCCAAATTAGAGTCTCAAGACTCTCAAGAACTTCTACATCCAAGCAACAAAACTATAAATCAAGTCCACCATACCCTACGAATGAAGCCTTCTGAATTACCAGTCTTGAAGTTGGATATGTAACTCATATTCTCAAACTGAAGAAGTATTTTCGTAACAATCCAAGGACAAGCTCTACATGCTGGGAGATTCTGCCTAATCCTTCCTCAAACCGAAGAAGGATTTTCTACCGGTTCAAGAACAAGCTTTGTCAAGCCCCTGGATCGTGCTTGTCTTGAAGGAAAGAATCAAAGGACACAATTTCTTTGTTGCAGAAATTCTTCATTAGAGATTGAGTCCATTGCTTTGTTCAAATCAATAGAATTCAATTTTTGTCACTTCTTCTCGTTGTGAATTTTTGGACACGAATTTTGTGCACACCTCGGTCTGAATTTTTTTTGCATTTGGTAATCTCTAAGATTGGAAGTAAGTTGGACATTTAAAAGGGAGCCGCTTTTTTTTTTAAATTTTTTTTTAATTTTTTTATCTGAGAGGATATGTTATTCTAATTCAGGCTTGTTTTTCCAATATTTCTCTATACTGTATATCCTTCCTATAAATTTTAGTCAAGATTGGTGGATAACATTAAGAAGGTGATGGAAAGATTTTTCTGGTCTCGAGGAGGGGGAAATAAGTGAATCATTTTATCAATTGGAAGCCAGTTTGAAAGCATCTCATTGAGGGTTTAGGGCTTGGAAACTTGGTGTATAAAAAAATTGGCCTCACAGGAAAATGGTAATGGTGATTGCCATTCGAGTTGAAGTTACTAAGAGCATATATTTTCATCAGATTGTTATAGAAGACTATGGCAGGAGTTAATGTTACCTATTGAGGTTGGTGAAAGTTTACATCTTAAGTATCTTCTTCTTTCTTTCCTCTTATCAGGTACAAGTTAAATGGCAGTATTGCTCAACGTTATCTTTTAATTTTTTTTTTAAAACAATTTTTTGGCTGCTTTAGTGAAAAATTGGTTGTTTTTTCTTTTTTTTTGATTAAATGCTTGTAACTGTATTACTTTTGTGCTACACGTTCATTTGTACATTTGCACAATTTAAAGAGTACTTTATGTTGGAATTTTATGATCTGGATACTAGTGCTTCTTTCATTCAGTCGTTCTGAAAATGACTTGTCTATATTGCAGGCATGGTACAGGAGGGGAAAGGTAAATGCTGCTTTAGGAAACTACAAAGATGCAGTCCAAGACTTGAATGTTGCTGAGTATGTGGAGTCATCATTGGGTGGAAAGAAACAAATAGCAAGTGAAAGAAAGATAATCTTAGAAAAAAATGAGGGCACAGGTGGTCGACCGGTTCATTGTATTGAGAGGAGCTCGGGGAACTTGAGTAAGACATTCAGCTGTTCCACTATTAAAATTGTTTTTGTTATTATCTTTGACTATCTATTTACCTTGATGAATCTGAACTCACATCTATTGTCTTATTGTCACTTTGTCTGCCAAACTTGCATATATTATTTCATGGTCACTTTGTCTCTGAGACTGACATCGTAGTATTTGTCATGTCCTCTCTCTCTCTCTTCTGATTTTTCTTTGCACAAGTGTAAATGTTTTAAAGAATTAAGTCAATTTTACTAGTCTTTGTGAGGATTCTTTTAAGAGAGTGAGAATGACCCACATTTATTTGCTATCTCCCACAGAAAAGCTAGCAAAAGCAGTATAACTGGTTCTTTTTCAAGAGCCAAAAGATGAGTATTAAGAGTGGAATTGGAATATTAACCAAAAAGCATGAATCTAGCAAAGAAAAGCCTTTAAGTTTAATATTAAAACTGAACCATTTTAATATAGAAGATGCTGCTTTCTGCTAGAAAGAAATTTTAAAACTACTTCTGATGAAATAAAGGCTGGAATTTAGAACAATTGAAAGACCATAATTATACCTTAAGCTTGTTAATACAACTTAAAGATATTTAATATTATATGATTTAACATTATAAATTTAGCTGTGATTTGTAAGCATAATAATGATAATCAACTAATGAAAAATAAACAGCTCATATAAAGTGTAATTTACAATTAAATAACTATGTTTAGCTGAAAGAGACAAGAAAAAAGTGTAATTTACCTGACAACATTCCCTCATGTATTCTTTGTTGGTGGAAATTATTTAGATGTGTTTGGTATGTAGCTTTTGTTTAAGAAAAAGGTTGTTTTTGTTGAGGCTTTTTAGAAGCTCAATAGTCAAATATTTATCACATTTGACATGGCACTGAATTCTTCATAGACTCCTTGAGAGAAGGGCCTGGCTTTGCTTCATTGAATGTAACATGTATTTGCCAAATTATGTTTGACATTTAAATCGGCGTTCGCATTTAGATTTAATTAAAATTGAAATCAAGATATGTTAATTTGTTATTATTATTTTTATGAACACTTGGTTCAAAGAAAACGTATTGGTCAATGAAATGTTGTATGCCTTTGAATACTTCCTAGGGTGCAGAATGTTTCTGGTTGAATTCTACTAAGTTTCTATGATTTAAGTAAGAATCATTGATCTGAAACTTTAGTGCATCTTTTAGTTGTAAATTTGAAGTGAAATGTCTATAGACCATTCATGACAGATGAGCTACCTCAAATAAAGTTATTATGTGTTACCACACAAGACAAAGGAAGAGGTATGGCTTCACCATGTGAGATTCCTCAAGCCTCCTTGATCCACATGGAAGAACCTTATGCGCTGGTATGAAACATGAATCTATCTGATTTTGGTTAATGATAAAATATTTTACTTTCTTGTGTTAATATGCTTCAATTGGATGCCTCTGTCTACAAGTTTTTATCTTTGAAGTCCAAGTAGTGTGCATGCTTCTGTAAAATGTAAAAGGGTGCATTGATTACCTGAGAAATTTAATAAGTTCGTGAATGGTAATGAGCTAGGAGTGGCTATGGGAGTTTCCTGTATCCTTTGCTTCTGCAAAAGAAAAGACTGTTTCCCGTCACACATTTTAATTCCTGCATTTATTTTCATTTTGTAAATGCATTCATGAAATTTTAGCCAAGTTCTTGGAAATTATGCATTTAGTGCTACTAGTCATTCCCGGAAAAATTGCTCTGACTACAAAACCAAACTATTACATTATGTATGCAATGACCTCAATCCTCTGATTGGGGACTGTAGCAGCTACAGTTTTCTAAATATGTAATGTGTTCATGCATATGTAAATGCGTGTATACATATATACATGACTATGGCTGTTACAGCAAGTGTTCAAGAGTTGTTGATTAAACCTTGTAATTAATAGGCTATCCAGAATCACAAGCATACCTGTCAAAAGTGGCTATTACATTAAGGTCCAGAGTTTCATTTTTGGGGAAGAGCCTGAAGCATGGAATAAATTACAGTTTAAACTCCATAGTTTAAAGATTATTTGAACCCTGAACAATTTAATACCTGCTAAAAATATCTTTCCCTACTTCTCACTAATTTCACCATAAAATCTTGTGAATATGGTGCCAAATAGAATATTAGTTTAATTTGTGCATAGAACAATAATTAATGTGTGAATTATAGTTAAAAGAATTCAAAATTATATTGAAAACTCTCCAGAAAATTTCTTGCAGAATGCTCAACCATTTATTTGAGCATATATTAAATTAAAGCTTATATTTGAGTAGTTCAAAACCCCAAGCAAATTTTTTCTAACCAAAAACCAGTTGAAGAAGTTATGAAAAGGTGTATATGGGCTTAAACTTTGTTTATTAGAAGTGTTATCTTGGATCTATCATCTATGGTTAAATCAACATGCTTGACGAAATCCCAGCCATTCCATATCTTTTCCTAGAAGCTAGCAACAAAACTACTTTCACAATAGGATCTTCGGAAGGTCCACTTCTATCTATGGTGCTGCTTCCTTTCACCACAGATTATCTTCTCGAGTCTAAATTGCCACGACCACTTTCCTAGCAAAAAGATATGCTGACAATTATCAACTACCTTTACTCGATCTCTCTTTCTTTCAAAACCCACTGAAAGCCTAAGAGAATTCATTTCTGCACAGTGTAGCTAGTGATGCATAAATCATTATCATAGCATTTAAGGTAGGTACTACCTTTTTCTGTATAACTAGCCTTTCTTATTTTTCTCTAGCAAGATATTTAAACTGTCATATACAAAAAGGTTACTGCTTCTCAATTTTCTTATGTCTTGTGGTAGTTCCCATGCAAATACTTTTCAGAACCAACATCTTTACTGAGTATTTGACTTCTTTTCTTATCAGAACCAATATCCTTGTTGAGTATTTCCTCCTCTCTCTCTCTCTCTCTCTCTCTCTCTCTTTTAATCTTAATCTGTATAAGTACTATTCTTGCGTTTTTCATTAACAGAGTTCTTTATCATTAACATCCAGTAATATTACCTAATGAGCAGTGTGAATTTTCTTGGACCTTTGATTTCTAGATTATATTGAAGAGTTGCAGAGAGACGCATTGTCATTACTGCTTGAATGAATTACCAGCAGATACAGTCCCCTGTATATCATGTTCAATACCACTGTACTGCTCCCAGCATTGCCAAGAACAGGCAGGAGGAGAAACAATCAGTTGCTTCAAAACAAAAGACAGAATTAGTGAAAACCTTCCCAGCAATCTTAAAGGGTATATTATTGAGGTTACATCATATAGTGACTCCGGTCCAGATGTTGAGTGCTTTCCTGAACATAAACATGAATGCCTCGGTGTGCACTGGCCTGCAGTATTTCCACCTGATATCGTTTTGGCTGGTCGAATGCTAGCAAAATCTGTATCTCAAAGAAGAGGTTTTGTGGAGTCTAACCTTCTGGGACCTCTGGTATATCTATGACTATATTGTATGTGTCCGTTGCTTGTAATAGCTATTTTTGTCTAAGAATTTGACTTCCCAGTTCATTGCCTTGTAGGAACTTTCTCACAGTTATTCAAAAATGAATCCAGAAGGCAAATTGGAATTGCATATATATGCTATAGTCTTGTTATACTGTCTTCAACGCCCTTTTCGCTTTGAACTTCCAATAAATGGAGTCTCTTTATCACAGGTTGCTCCTCCTTCCTTCCTTTCCTGTCTCTCTTTTTCTTTTGTTCAGTCTTCACATGCTAAGACAACAATGCCCCTAATTTATTCCAAGTTTCCCATACCAGGCTCTTAAAATTTTCATGTTCCTAGTACTAGCTTCACAATTCCAAATGGGATCATCAGTCTCATATTTGTAATTTGATTGCTGCCAGTTTGAAATTCCATGTTCTCCTGTTCATGCAGACCATCATTCTTGTATCTCAAATCAGAGTAAATGCTATGGCAGTTGTCCGAATGAAGTCTATTGATTCTTGTTGCCCACTGGATCAGTTTAGGAAATTTTCTCATATTGGAGATGCTCTAACTAGTAGTGTGGATCAGGTTCATGTTAAGGCTCTGACTTTCCATCTCTATTTCTATGTTTCATTTATCAAATAGGAAGGTTTGGACATATTTCATTTGCATAGAAGTTGCTCGTGACTTATGTCCTCTTTCTTTGGTTCAGATAGGACAAGCTTCTCTATTTATGCTGATTGACTTGGCTATAACCTGTATAGGTTTCTGTGGGTCAAGCCATTTATCGAGCTGGGAGTTTGTTCAACCATTCATGTCAGCCAAACATCCATGCATATTTCCTTTCCCGAACTCTATTTGTTCGAACAACAGAACTTGTAGCAACAGGTTGCCCTCTGGAGCTGTCCTATGGTCCTCGGGTACGTCTTATTTAGCACTTTTCTTATCAGATGTATACTTCCATTTGCCGGAAAAGAACACAAACAACATAATTTTCCCATCCATGTCCTTTTACTGTTCCTCTGCTTCCAGTTGCATTATGTTTCTGGTTTGAGTTTTTGTTTGTTTTATGTAATAGAAATTAAATGCAATATAGGCAGTTCTAACGGTGAATGTATAGTTATGTTTTACAGGTTGGGCAATGGGACTGTAAAGACCGCCTCAAGTTTCTGGAAGATAGGTACTCATTTAGATGT